CTTTTAGGAATGTTGAGGCATACTATTTAGATCTGATTCTGCTTTCTTCTCCTAATGAAGATATAGCCAGTGAAAGTTTTATCACACTTTAAAAGACATGATTAGTGAAATAAGAAAATTGCTAATATGAATTTTCATATTACCATATGACTGATAATTCTTTCATCTCACCACTTCCCCATCTTTGGATTATTTTAAAGCAAATCCCAGATATGCTTTCTTTTCATCTGCAAATATGTATGTATTCTAAGAAATAACTTCTTAAACACATAACCATAATACATACCACTATCATACTGCTTGTTGCCTTTATCCTGAGTTTTAAAATGACTGGCAATGTTTTTATTAACAATGTTACTGTTCTTAGGATATAAGTCTACTAGGGATGTATGATTGATCATATTACTACTGTTTTATTTATTTATTTATTTACTTATTTTTGGTATGTGCCCCTAGCAGGAACCGAACCCGGGACTCTCTGGTCCACAGGCCGACGCTCCAACCGCTGAGCCATACCGGCCAGGGCATATTACTACTGTTTTAAAGTCTCTAGAATAATTCTCTTCTGTGGATAAGCTTGATATACATAGGTTCCTTTGTTTTTGATTTAGGGGGTTGCTCATTTTCCATTTTGATATAATTTTGTTTTATAATTATATAGAAGATTCTCATGGTTCTAAAGCAAGGTGATTCATATGTCTAATGCTCCATTATCTTTCCTTTTATAAACTTAATGGAGGCTTATGAAACCCCTGATAAAATAATGAAAAATTTTTACATGTGTGTATTTTGAGAGAATCATAGTTATTCTCGTTTTTTTTCACCCCCCCCCCAAAGATTCCAAGGGCAAAAAAATACTGGAACCATTACTATAGGGCAGTGGTTCTTGAACTTTTTTGGTTTCAGGATCCCTTTACACTTTCAAAAACATGAAGATTAAGAAGAGCTTTTATTTTCCATATGAGAAAATAAAAAAAATTGGAAATATTTATTAATCCACTTAACATACCCATTATGTATTAATATAAACTCTTTTCATGAAAATAACTGTACTAAACCCAAAATATTGGTGAGAAGAGTAGATTTGCCTTATATTTGCAAATCTCTTAAATGTCTGGTTTAATGGGAGGCTGCTGAATTTTTTTGCTCTGTGGCTGCATTCAGTCAGTTGTCTCATGTAGCATCTGGAAAACTCCACTGTAAACGGGCAAGACAATGACAGTAAAAGATAGATAGTATCTTTCTGTTACAATGAAAGTAGTTCTGACCTTGCAGAGGCAGGGTGAGTTCCAGTTTTCTAAACTGGACTAGATTAGGCAGAGTCTGGGTGTTTGATTTAGATTTGTTGTGTTTGCTTAGTTTTGTATTTGTTGGTTTGTCATTCAGAAGGATGGGGTCTTCTGAAAATCTGTGACCCCTCTTATTCAGGTATGTTCCTCAGTCCCCCCTAAATGGAGATCCAGTGTCTTAAGCATCCTCCCCTCACCACCCCCAAGCTGGCCGCTGCCAGGTCCTTGCCACAATTTCCTCCCGCCACGTGGGACAGGGTTGCCCTCGGGGCTGGACAACCCACCTGGATCCTGTTCATGTCCACTTGCATTTTGCTCCTAGTGTAGCCCTTGCATCCTGCTGACATTAGTGTGCCACAAAGGACAGTCCCTGCCCTACCCCAGTCCATTGCTGCATTTGCGGTGGCTGACCAGTTACTGTGTTTATGGAGGGCTAAGTACCCACTCTAATTGCGGTGGGTGACCTCGGTGCCCCCACCGCCTTCCTCTGCACTGTTCTGCTTATGGAACACCCCTTGCCACGCTGTTGCTGGTGTGTTCTACTTCCTACATCCACAGCTGCTGTCTTGAGAGATGCCTGGGGAAATCGGACAAGGTGGGACCGGCTTGGCTCCATGTTTGACTGGCCCACCCATATTTGTTCCCAACCCACCCTACATTGCTGATTTTGCAGTAGTAGCATGTGCCTATAGCTAAGTTAACCCTGGGCATCCAAATACTTGGGGCTGGTTGGGCAACGTTGCTAATGGCTTTGAATGCTTGTTCGGTTCCTACCTGGATAACTGGCATTCTAGAACTAATCCATGCCCACGGGCACCAGTGATTCTGGTGATTTTAGATAATTAAGGTAGATCCAGTACTTTAGGTGGAAGTCCGTAGTGCCTTAGGGTGATGGGGAATCCAGGTGATAGGGACTCGGGTTCGGTTCCATAGAGGGAACCTAATAATGGACTATCCCAACCAAGGACGGCAGTAGAAGCGCAAAATTACTTACTCCCGATTGGGGAAAGCAATGGTGAAAGACTGTACTGGACCCTTTTCAGATCCTATAGTTGGAATGAGTCCACTTTAAATCTTTTAAGGAGGATCCATTTCCATTGCACGGCAAAACTGGTGCTGGCAGCCTGGGTAATCCCAGCTTCAGTGCTGGGTATTGAATTAGGTGTAAATTGTGGAGTTTGGATCTCTGGCGTGCGGTCCATGGCAGGGGAGCCTTGGTCCCCATCCGCGCCCCCTGCCTCTGCCCTCCTGGCTCTTAGCCGAGTTTCCCTAGGCTGAAGTGTGCACTTGGAGAAAATTAAGAGTGCTCAAAGCCGGAACGAGCTTCCTGTGTGCTGCTGCTGGGTATCGTGGAATGCGAGCATGATTCAATTTTTTGTGTCGGAACTTCGCGGAGGCTGATAAGGCGGCTAACTGTTATTACACCAAGTCTTAGAGCAGTGCACTCGGACCGGAGTGGAAACTTTTTGCCAAGAATGCTTTAAGTAATCAAGGATGAAGGTGAAAGTGAGATTTGAAGAGGTATGGATCTCTTGTAGTTCTGTCTATAAACGGTGCAAACCGCCAGTATTATTTCCGTGAACTCCCGGCAGCTTCCAGGAAACCAAAGTCCGGGAGCCCCGGCATGGTGGTAGCTCGGGGGTCTGGTTTCAAAGCTGAATTGAAAGACACCGCAATGGAGTGTGCTCTTAATTTGACTTAGTCTAGACAACCCCACCCCGGCAGGGACAGGGTTGGTACTTGGGCAGCTCCTCTGTGGGTGGCGGTGTGAGGCGTTTCGTTTGCAGAATGATTTGTCTGGCTTATTGATAACCGGGGGTACTTGCGGGCTAACCGTTTAGGCAATGCTGAGTGCTCAGTATCCCGCATCTTCGACCAGTCACGTTCAGTTGCCGGAGATTAAGCAGTTGTTAAGCCTGTGATGCTCTTAAATGTCTGGGACTGCTTGCCGCACTGCTCAGCATGTGGGCACCCTGGTCCAGCGGTGCCAGGAGCCCATTAAATAACATTAGTGATGGTCTTGGATTGCAATTGTTCCTCATTAAGGAGTTCCCTGAAAGATATATGAAAAGATTGCATTAAGTCCCTGCCCCTTGTACATACTGCCCATGGCCCCTCAGATTGCACACTTGGGGTTGGCACTTGACTCTAGAAGATCACAGAGAAGATTGTTTAAGTGAAAGTTGCAACCAGGTTTTGGTAGGTGGTCCTGCAGGAGGAGCATTCAGGAGCGAGTCAGCATGATGGATCTGTTGCAGTTCCTTTTCTGTGATTATTCCTCCTTATGCTTCGAGCCACCCCTGGTGAGAAGATAAGATGGACAGATGTTCCTGAGAGCTACTTGTGGCAGTGGTTAGGAGGGTGAGGGATGAGCTGCTTCCCTCTTGGGGTAATTCCCCTTCCCCCAACCACCCCCAATCACCTGTGCTCTCGTGTGTCTTTCTGTCTCCCCCTCTGGTGGAATGAGGTAAAGCTAAAGGGAAGTCTGTGCTGCCCTCTGCTGTTACTATATTAAGTCCTTAGATGGGTTTTTGTAGAGTATAAACTATTAGGGGGCTGGGCTTAGGACTTTAACTTTATTCATTTCATTTATTTGTTTTTTTTAAATGTTTTTATTTGTTTAGGGAAAGGGAGATATAAATGTGTGTGTGTGTATACATATATATTGTTGACACTATTACAGATGTTCCCCATTTCCTCCCAACCCCTCTTTACCCACCTCCACCCAGCCCCCTCCTCTCCTCCCCAGGCCTTCTGTTGTATGTATCCATGGGCTATGCATATATACTCTTTGGCTACTCTCTTCACCTTCTTTTATCTGGTCTCTCCTCCCCCATGCCCCTCTGACCTCTGGAGACTTTAAATTTATTATTATTATTTTAAAAATATTTTTTCTTTGTTGATTTTAGAGAGAGAGGGAGAGAGAGGGAGAGAAAGAAACATCGATGAGAGAGAACATTCATTGGCCACCTCCTGCATGCCCTCCACTGGGGATGGGGCCCATAACCTGGGCATGTGCCCTGACCAGGACTGGAACTGGTGACCTCTTGGTGCATGGGTTGACACCCAGCCACTGAGCCACACCAGCCAGGCTTGGATACTTTAACTTTAAACTGTTGGGATATTAATGGTGACTTGATTTTGCATATTTATACTTAGCATTTGTTAGTTATGAAAGAGTGTAGTTTTATTTTATTTTTTTATCCTCATCCGAGGACATTTTTCCATCTCTCTGCCCAGATAGAGTGGGAGGGAGAGAGAGAGAGAGAAGCATCAACATGAAAGGGACACATCGAGTGGTTGCCACCCGCACGACCCAACCAGGGCTGGGGACAAACTGCAACCGAGGTATGTGCCCTTAGCGGGAACCGAACCCGGTTCTCTCTGGACCACAGGCCGATGCTCTAACCGCTGAGCCAAACCAGCTAGGGTGGAAGAGTGTAGTTTTAAATAAAAAATGTTAGTTTCAACTTTGTTATACTTGCAGAGCTCTTATGCCAAGGAACAATTGACCTTTTTATATGTTAGGAAATTTTAAAGTTATGTATGTTTTATTATCCTAATCACACCTTTTTGGTTTTCCATGCTGTTGATTAATGTTTTACCAAGTGATAGGTTCTTGCTTTAACATTCAGTATTTTAATTTTTGGTGGTCTATTTAAAAAAAAAATTATAACCAAAGATAATCCAATTTTTCTTTTTCATTAACAGACATATGTAGAGTGTGTCGGTCAGAAGGAACACCTGAGAAACCTCTTTATCATCCTTGTGTATGTACTGGCAGTATTAAGTTTATACATCAAGAATGGTGAGTCATCCTTTTAGAAAATTTTATGTCTGAGCTCCAGTTTGTCATGTATATATGTAAGGGGGATTGTTTCAAGGAACTTTCTCTATAATTAATTATTTTAAAAAATTTTGGTTGTGAATATTTGGAAATTACCCATATTTCTTACTGCTAAGCCATGCCATTTAGTATATTGTTTTTCAGGTGTATGTGAGTCCTGTTTATTTATTTCTACCATACAAGGTTTATTTTGTTCATTGGCAGTGTTAAGGTTTTCTAGTTTTGCTTGGCATGGTAATAGCTTACATTATGAAATTCTTTGTGCCAAGTAGTGCTCAGTGTTTTTACACATCTTTACTATTTAATCCTTACAATAAAACCACAAGGTGGAGTTGTTATTGTTATTATTATGCAGATGAAGAAACTGAAGCATAGAAAGGTTAAGTAAACTGTCCTAGGTCACATAGGCAGCAAATTAGTTATAGAACCAGGATTCAGACCTAGCCCCCAGGATAGCAGTATTATCAGACCAGTATTAGAACTGATGTTGATGTTTGGAGACTCTCTCATATTCAATTAGCTTTGAGGAGATTACACTTTAAATTAATGTAACTGTTTTAATAGTAGGAATACATATTGTTTTTATCTTTACTGTTATTCTCTATCTTAGAAGGCATCTGTTATTAAAAGTTTGGAATATTTAAAATTTTAAATTGTTAAAATTATAAAAGTTCTGTGAAATGTAACATTTTATTTAATTTTTAAATAAATATGTTTCTATTAAATTTTTTTTTTAGAGAGAGAGCAGGGGAGAGAGAAACATCGATGTGAGAGACATACATAGATTGGCTGCCTCCTGCACGCCCCCTACTGGGGATTGAGCCGGTAACCCAGGCATGTACCCTGACTGGGAATCCAACCTGGACCTCCCTCTCTCTCAGTCCATGGGAAGACGCTCAGTCCACTGAACCACACCGGCTGAGTGAAATGCAACATTTTAATAAAATAGAACATTAGTTTTCAATGAAACCTTAAAGTTTCCTTGTTATAAATACTGTATTTATGAGTGTATTTGTAATTGCAGCTTAGTTCAGTGGCTGAAACACAGTCGAAAAGAATACTGTGAATTATGCAAGCACAGATTTGCTTTCACACCAAGTAAGTTTTTTTTTAGAAGTTTTCACTGCATTTTTGGGCTATAACTGGCCACATAAAAGTGTTTAATGAATATAAAATAACTACTTTTAATTAGTTTGTCTTTGATAGTAATGAAAGGTCTCGCTTTAGAAATTATTTTTGAAAATACATCTCATCTTTTAACACACTCATACATGAGAGATAATGATCATTTTAATTTGTGTGATATTTATTTATTTATTTTTTATTACGGACAAGTTCAACTGTATCCACACATGTACACATCACTCAGTTTAACCCATTTTCAACTCATGGTCTTTACATGCTATTAATTGTGTTCTTGTTCTCCACCTCTCCATTCTTCATAATGCATATGCCATTATTTATAATTTCATCGGTACATATTTTAGTATGTATCTCTAAAAAGTAGGGGTTTTTTAAATTTTAATTTATGTTTTACTTTTACTTTTTGTTAATCCTCACCTGAGGATATTTTTCTATTGATTTTCTAGATAGAGTAGAAGAAAGGGAAGGGGAGAGGAAGAGAGAGAGAAATAGAAAGAGAAACTTTGATTGGTTGCCTCCCACACAACTCCAACCAGGGCTGGGGATCGAACCTGCAACCCAGGCATGTGTCCTTGACTGGGAATTGAACCCAAGACCCCTTAGGTCTGAGGGCCAATGCTCTAACTGCTGAGCCAAATTGGCCAGGGCAGTAAGGATTTCTTTTTTAAAAATATGTTTTTATTGACTTTTTTATTATTTTTTAAGATAGAGAGGAAGGGAGAGAGAGAGAGAGAGAAACCTCCATGTGAGAGAAACATTGATCCGCTGCCTCCTGCATGCCGCCTACTGGGAATTGAGCCTGAAACCCAGGCATGTGCCCTGGCCTGAATGGAACCAACACCTTTAAGTCCATAGAACGATGCTCCATCCACTGAGCTACATCAACCAGGCAGTAAGGATTTCTTTTTTAGAAAAAGAAACATAACTATAATACCATTATTTATCCAGAAAAATTAATAATGATGCCTTGATTTTATGAAATATCATATCACTGTTCAAATTTGGGATATATTTTGAGTTAAAAGTATATAGATTGGCCCTGGCCAGTTTGGCTTAGTAGTTGGAGCGTCGGCCCAAGGACCAAAGAATTGCAGGTTCAACTTCCAGTCAAGGGCACGTACCTTGGTTGCAGTTCGGTCCTGGCCCCTGGCCAGGGTCATGCGGGAGGCAACTAGTCAGTTGTGTCTCTTTCACCTCGATATTTCTCTCCCTCTTTCTTCCTCCCACTCTATCTGAAGATAAATGGAGAAATATCCTTGGGTGAGGATTAAAAAACAAACAAACATGTAGGTTGGAATAATAATAAGGACAAAGTTTTAGCTCACTTTTTTAAATGAAGTTTTTATTTATTTATTTATTTATTTTATCCTCACCCGAGGACATTTTTTGTACAGATAGAGTGGGAGGGAGAGAGAGGAAGGGAGAGAGAGTGAGAAACATCGACGTGAAGGGACACATCGAGTGGCTGCCACCCGCACGACCAACCAGGGCTGGGGACAAACTGCAACCGAAGTACGTGCCTTTAGCGGGAACCGAACCCGGGTCTCTCCAGACCGCAGGCCGACGCTCTAACCACTGAGCCAAACTGGCCAGGGCTAAATGAAGTTTTTTTAAGCTTAATATTTTATAAGCCTATAGTAAATATTTTACAGGTCTTTAAAATTTAAATTATATTTTATTATTCCTGTGCTTATTGATTGATACTTAATTTTGCAAACTTCATTGCAAACAATTAGAGACTATACTAGCAAATTGTGAAGAATTTGAAGCATAATATTGATTCTGGGATCTTAGTACATTGCCCTCCTCCCTCAAAGGTTTTTTTGTATTTAAGTTTTTTTTTTTAAGTATTTTGAGCTGCTGAGTAACAGTGCTATAAATTAGTATTAGTTTTACTTTGTTTTTATGTGATGAGTACAATTTATTTTTTTGATTTTAGAGAGAGGAATTAAGATAGAGAAATACTGATTTGTTCCACTTATTTATACATTCATTGGTTGATTCTTGTATGTGCCCAGACCAGGGATTGAACCCACAACCTTGGCGTATTGGAAGGACGCTATAACTAACTGAGCTATTCGACCAGGGCCAGAATACAATTTAATAAAGTCATTACAGTTTCACTTTTAGAGTTTTGAATTCATCACCATCAAAATGTCAATTCTTTTGTTTCATAGTGTTTAATTTTTTGTAGGGTGTAAAAACTCAACAGCTTAGTTATAGCAAACTGTAAGACTAAATAATTGAATATCTTCATGAAGTTTGATTAGAAATACTTGTGAGCTTTTTTACTTTGAGGCCAATAAATTTTAGTTTTCATTTGACAGTTACATGCTGTATTCTTTATCTTTCTCAAAAACTCTATTTACTGATTTAATGACTTGTTCTTATATGTCAAATATCTTAAAGCAAGTGATCTTTGTGAGTGTGGTGTAAAAAGTTACTATTTGTTAATTGTTTATCCCTTAATGTTTGTAGCTGGGAATAGTTTTGTGATAGTGTTCTCTTAATATAGATATTATTAAAACTTTATGCATCATAATTCTTGTTTTGGCCTTACTGGAGACATTCTACTTCTATGTCCTTTCAGAGATACCTGTGGTGGAGCAGTGGTTTACATTGGAAATATTTCTAAAACATGGCATAATGTCTTTCTCTGAGCGTATTGAACAAAATTTTACCATTTGCAGTGTTAATTATTGTGCTAAAATTGACAAGTGGGTGACTAACAAATGCCAGTTTGCTTCTCATAAAATGAATCTGCTGCAGATTGTTATGCTTTTTGAGTACTATTTCTGAGGCTTGTATTTGGAAGGATGGTTTATTCTTGATGACATGTCATCATCTTAACTTTTTTCTCCTGTTAGCTTTATCTGATCTTTTATAATCTGGGAAACCAGATAATTATATTGTTTGAATGTTAAAGTATGTGTAAATTAGCTTGTCATGAAGTTCATGGCTTTCAGTGAGATGCAGACTTCTCTTGAATCTTTTTTTGTTGGCTTCTACATAAATGTGGTATTACTATAAGTATTTGATTCATTTTTTATAGGAAAAATATTTAAGTGTAATACAAATATTGAAAGTTAAGATAGCTTTACATGCCTATTTTATATTTATGAATTAATCTATTTTTTAATTTTCATGAAATTTTATGTACTTTCCCCCTATAATAGTTTATTCCCCAGATATGCCTTCACGGCTTCCAATCCAAGACATATTTGCTGGACTGGTTACAAGTATTGGCACTGCAATACGATACTGGTTTCATTATACACTTGTGGCCTTCGCATGGTTGGGAGTTGTTCCTCTTACAGCATGTGAGTATTCATTCCTCTGTGGTTGGAGTTAATAACTATTTAATATTGTAGAGTAATATTGCATGATACTTTTATTCAAATGATGTTTAATTATTTGATGTTATTATGTCATATATTAGAAAAGCCTCACTTAGGAAACATTATTCACCTGGATTAAGAAGTTTTTTGTTTTTTTTTTATCCTCATCCAAGGGCATTTTTGCATTTATCTTCAGATAGAGCGGGAGGGAGAGAGGGAGGAAGAGAGAGAGAGAGAAACATCGATGTGAGAGAGACACATCGACTGGCTGCCACCCACGCGACCCCAACCTGGGCTGAGGACAAACCACAACTGAGGTATGCACCCTTAGTGGGAACTAAACCCAGGACTCTCTGGTCCACGGGCTGACACTCTAACTGCTGAGCCAAATTGGCCAGGGCAAGAAGTATTTTTTAATACGCCAGTTTTCTTGCATGAAGTGGGAAAGAAAAAATACAGCCTACAGAGGCCAATAATGAGAGTTCGTGAAAGAATTGGAAAAGCAATATCAAACCCTACTAATAAGGAACTTGAATTTTATTTCTTGGAGTTTGTTAGAGCTTTCAAGGATAAAAGATGGATTCTTTTGAGATTTTTTTTCTCCTTTTAAAGGACTCATATCAAATGGTCCTGAATAAGTGGGAGGCTTATCTTTCAGATACAGGAGGCTCTCAGAGAGGTTGGTATACTAACCCTTAATTGATAACTTTGGGGTTCTTTGTTGTTCTTAAAGGCATGGAGAGGGGTATATGGTACCAGAATATAGAGATAGGTTTTTTCGAGTTAAATACAAACAAGATTTTTGAATAAATATAGTTAATATTCTAATGTCTCCTTAAAATAAAATAAACTTGCTCATTACTGGAAATGAAAATCTTGGAAGATACACCAAATAGTGGAGTAGGTGCTTTGGTGAACTAGAAGATTGAGCAAGGGTTCTCTGGGATGTAACTCAAAGAGACAAGAAGTTGAAAGTATGAGAGAAGAAAAGAGATGCAAGTTTTTTTTAGTATCTGCCTAATAGGTAGTTCCAGAAGGTAAGAGGTAATGGAAGAGGAAATGATTAGTGTTTTATAAATTAAAAGAGAGCTAACCATGATAAAGTAAAGAGACTCAAAAACCTAAATACATTCCAAAGTTTTTCAGTGCTGAGTAAGGTGTTGTATAGATGTTATGCTTCTAGATTATCCCACAAAGTAATGAAAATCAGATTGATGTCAGACTTAAAATCAGCAAATATTTTGCTGAAACTAGAAGACAGCAGAAACTTCAAATTCAATACTAGAAGACAAACTTCCAAATTTGACAAAATTTTGAACCTAAAATTTTCTACCCTTAAATTATTATCAGATGGAGGAGCAATTAGACATTTCAGTATGTTCAAAGGATTAGGCAGTTTATCACTCAAACTATGAAAAATGTGTTTGAGAATGTACTTGCATAAAATGAGCAAGGAATCAGAGGAAGAAAGTTGTGAGCTACAAAGAAAAAGAAACATGTCTTACAGCTAAATTGTAATTGTTTTTAATCTACAATAATTAATTTTTAGGTAATGCTTAGAACTAAAATTCTAGATCTTAACGTGGGAGAAATTGTGAGGGGAGGATAGAAATGAGAGCTGGTTAAGTTGTTTTATTTGTGGGAGGTTGTATATGTAGATAGGAACATGTAGTATAACTGTGCATTAAAAATATAGGGGTAACCAAATAAGAGGCCAGAACTAGATCCACACCTGCTTTGTTACTTGAGTAATACCAGAAGTGCCACCACTGTTTGGTGGAGAAAAGACTTTTTCTTTAAAAAAAAAAAATTATTTTTGTTTTAAATTGATTTTGAGAGCAAGAAACATCCATGTAAGAGTAAAACATTGTTGGGCTGCCACCTGCATGCCCCTACCAGAGATCAAGCCCACAAACTGGACATGTGCCCTGATCAGGAATCAAGCTGACAACCTTTTGGTACACAGGATGGTATCCAGCCAACTGAGTCACACTGGCCAGGGCAAAGATGATCTTTTTTCATAAATGATGCAGCATCAACTGGATGGCCAAATGGGGGAAATGAGCCATATCATTACCTCACACCTTGAACAAAAATTAATTCAAGAGGGATCATTAGCCTAAATGTGTAAAACCAAAAAACTCCTAAAACAATAGAATTACCATAAAAGAAAATACTGATAAGTTGGACTTTAATTAAAATTAAGAACTTTATTCATGCTCAGATATCTTTAAGATAGAAAGGCATGCCACAGAGTGAGAAAAGATATTTGTAATTCACATATCCAGCAAAGGACTAGTATCTAAAGTATATAAATAACACAAATCAGTAAGAAAAAGGTAGACAACCCAGTTAAAAAGTGGACAGAAGATTTGAGCAGGTGTTTCTGGAAAGATTATTTAAACAAGGAAAGGTGTGCAGCATCATTGATGATCAGGGAAGTGCACAAGAAGATACTGCTATGTACTCAGAAGAATGGCTAAAATTAAAAGACAAGACAATGCCAAATGTTCCTAATGATATGGAGCATCTGGAACATATGTACATTGATGGTTGGAGTATGAATGGTATAACCATTTTGGAAAATTGGTAGTACCTACCAATGCTAAATATTACAAATACCTTAAAGTACGGCCATTGTTTTCCTGGGAATGCAATTAACAGAACTAAGAGCCTTGTGTTCACAAAAAGACACATGTATAAGAATTATCACAGCAGCTTTGCTAGTAGTAGTTAAAAACCAGGACCACCCAAATGCCTACCAACAATAGTAGGATGGATACATTGTAATTTATTCAATACAACTGAATACTACATAGCAGTGAAAAAAGAACTGACTGTTGTGACATGGATGACTTTCACTTTGTGAAAAAGAAGCCAGGCACCAAAGAGTATGGATTGTATGATTCCATTTAATCGAAATTTAAAAATAGGCCAAATTGGTCTATAGTAATAGAGATCAGAATCGTGGTTACCTCTTCCCAGAGATATTGACTAGAAAGGGGCTTGAGGGAGCCTTCTGGGGAGCTAGAAATTGTGAATGTCTTGATCTGGGTGGCAGTGTTCTAGATATATACATATATAAAAATTTACCCAAACATATACTTAAGGTTTATGTAAATTTTACCTTAATAAAAACTAACAAAACAAAACTTAAAGGAGAATAGAAACAAGGTGATCAGTTTTTGTCCTGGGGAGTGGGAGTAGGAAACAATAAATAAAATTTGTAAAGTCCTACAAGACAGAAAGACAGGAAGGGAAGGCAGAGGGAGGGAAGTAAAAGAGATAAGGATAAGGGTAAGTGATCATAAGGGTTTAGATTTCTCTTTCGTAAGAGAGCCTCACAATTATGCACATTTAAAAGTGTTCCACTAAAGAGATTAAGTACAAATCAGCCCAGATTAATGCTAGAGGGATTTGTTAGCAAATGCTAGCAAAATGCAGGAGTTTTAATGAGCCAGATACATCTAAGATGAAAAGCTTTAAATGGGGAAAGCATTATATTTCATATTAATAAAAGGTGTAGTCCACTAAGAATATAAAACTTAAGAACTTTTATATTACAGACAATAGGACTTAAATATACAAAGCATTCAGTTGTAGTGGAAGACTAAATACCGCTTTGAATTCAGTAGATCAGATAATAAAAAATTAATAGTTTAATACAGCTAACAAGTTTGATTTCTGTTCTGACTTTTTTATACACACACATACACACACAATTAAAATTAAATTATATCACACTATACATACTCTGTAACTTTTTTCTTTTAAGTTAGCAATGTACCCTGTTTTTCATGTAAGTACATGTTGAGCTACCTTATTTTTATTTTTATTTTTTTTGAGATTTGATATTTCTTGTTTATTTGTCACTCTTAGAAAAAGCTCATTGTTGACTGGACTCATACTTAGAGGTAGAAGCTCTCAGAGAGGACAGCCTATGTCTCTTGGCGATCTGTTCCTGGCACTTTTCTTTTGCCTCCTTCATTCTCTCAGCCAAAAGTTTAGCATATTCTGCAGCCTCTTCCTTATTTTTCTTAATACGTTGTTTCTTCAGAGCAACACGCCGACGTTTGTGTTGCAGGACATGTGGGGTAACAAGTCGCTGAATCTTGGGTGCTTTAGTCCTAGGTTTCTTACCTTCTTTGTTTAGGGGCTTCCTCACAACATACTGGCGGACATCATCTTCAGAGAGATTGAAAAGTTTTCGGATTCTGCTAGCTCTCTTGGGACCCAGGCGACGAGGCACAGTAGTATCAGTGAGACCAGGAATATCTTTCTCCCCTTTTTTTACAATGACCAAATTGAGAACACTGAGATTGGCATCCACAATGCAACCCGGAACAGATTTGCGCTTCCTCTCTCCTGTCCTCCTTGGTCTGTAGCAGGAATGCCCCTTACTCAGGAGTAGGCACACAGGGCCATGGGTCAAGACGCCCTGCTTCATGGGGAAACCTTGTTTGTCGTTCCCACCACTGATCCGAACCACATAGCCCTTCCATTCTTCACCCAGGGCGCCAGCAGCAACTTCTCTGGCCATACACTTCTCATAAAAGGTTCGAAGTTTGCATTCATTGTGCACTTCAATGAGTTTCTGACAGCCAGTGGCTGGGAAAGAGATGTTCAGCTTCATCCTGAAGCAGCCGACCGCCTCCGAGGCGCCACGAAAAAGAGGCCCAACTTCCGCTTAGCCCAGATCACATAGTCACCAAGCTACCTTATTTTTTAATGACTGCATAGAACTCTGTAATAAGGCGGCTTGTCATTTATGAATCCATTTTTCTATCTACAGACATGTAGTTTATCATTAGTTTTACTCTGTTATCATGTGCTTGCTTTGAATATTTTATATACATATGTAAGTTATTTCTTTTACAGAAAATCTTTTCTTACTATCCCATTTTGACATGGTTTTTGAAAACAGCCATTGAAGTCACTGAAATTTCTGATACAAGGCTATAGGGAATGTTTAAACTAATATGCAAGTTCTGGTTTGAAAGAAAATTTTAGCTGTTTCCTCTTGGCCCCCATTTCCAAATCTATTCCAGCCTCTTTTTTTTTTTTTTTTTAAATCTTCACCTGAGGACATTTTTGCATTTATTTTTAGAGAGAGGGAGAGAGGGAAGAAGAGAAAGAGAGAGAGAGAGAGAAATACCGATGCGAGAGAGACACATCAACTGGCTGCCACCCGCACAAACCCAGCCGGGGCTGGGGACAAACTGCAACCAAGGTACATGCCATTAGCAGGAACTGAACTCCAGACTCTCTGATCCGCGGGCCGACACTCTAATCTCTGAGCCAAACCGGCCAGGGCTACTCCTGCCTTTTTTGACTAAGAGGATAAAGGAATGATGGCTGTGCCTATATGTTATCTTTTCTCTTCATGGTCAGATTTAAGATTTTCTCTTTTTGAGAACCTTGAATCTGTGTAATTTAAAAATGGTTATTAGTTTGCTGTTCATGGCATTGGAGTATGTACTGTATTGAGAAGTTATCTTAATTTCAAAAATTTGTACTCCCAAAATTGAAACTCTTTAATTTCATGAGCAGACTCAATGAATTTAGAATTCTAGGTTAAAAAGTTCTTCATATTGTAATTTTGAAAATATCTTTAGATTTTTTTCTCTTTCAGACATCTAAGCTCATTCAATAAAAGCATGCAAGTGAATCTAGAATCTAAACTTTTAAACATTTTTGTGTAACTTTTCACTGTCACTGTTTTTTTTCTTATCCTCACCCAAGGACATTTTTGGATATTTTGTTCAGATAGAGTGGGAGGTAGAGAGAGAAAGAGAGAGAGAGAGAAACATCAATGTGAAAGGGACACATCGAATAGTTGCCACCCACACAACACAACCAGGGCCGGGGATAAACTGCAACTGAGGTACGTGCCCTTAGCAGGAACCGAACCCAGATCTCTTGGAACTGCAGGCCAACGCTCTAACCGCTGAGCCAAACTGGCCAGGGCCACTGTCACTATTTTTATGTTTGACCATTAAACAACTTTTTTATTTGTTGATTTTTAGAGAGAGAGAAGACGGTGGGAGAGAGAGAAAGAGAAACATCAACCTGTTGTTCCACCCATTTATGCATTCATTGGTTGATTCCTCTGTGTTCTCTGGTTGGGGATTGAACCCAAAACCTTGGTGTAGTGGGACAATGCTTCCTGGTCAGGACCTTTACAATGTTTAAAAAAATTAGTATTTTGAGACTCAGCCTTTTAAAGACTAAATGTTTATATCAGTGTCATTCACCGCATTCCACTTTACCTGTTTAATTGAACAATTGTGTGTGATTTATGACAAGAATTGTGACTGTGTGCCATTGTGCCCTTTTTTGGTAGGCCGAATCTACAAGTGCTTGTTTACTGGCTCTGTGAGCTCACTACTGACACTGCCACTGGACATGCTGTCCACGTGAGTATGAACCTTGTGATGGTAGAAGGCTGCATAATGTAGATGGTGTTTGTTTTTCCTCTACAAATATATATATATATATATATATATATTTTTGTTTTGAATCCTCACCCGAAGACCCTTTACCATTTATCTTCAGATAAGTGGGAGGGGGAAGGAGAGAGAGAAGGAGAGAGAGAGAAACATTGATGTGAGAGAGGCACATTGACTGGTTGCCTCCCACACAACCCCAGCCAAGGCTGGGGACCAAACCACAACTGAGGTACATGCACTTGACTGGAATCGAACCTGTGACTCTTTGATCCATGGTCCGACACTTCAGTAGCTAAGCCAAACTGACCAGGGCTGTATGTATACTTTAAATCCTCACCTGAGGATGTGTTTATTGATTTTGTTTTAGAGAGAGGGGAAAGAAGAGAGAAACATAGCTTGGTTGCCTCCCGAACACATCCCAACCAGGGCCAGTTATGAACCCACAACCTAGGTATGTGCCCTGACTGGGAATTGAACCCTGGACCTTTCAGTGTACTGGGTGACACTCCAAACCAACTGAGTTACACCAGCCAGGGCTCCTCCACATGTTTATTTTTGTTATAATTTGAGAAGTTTTTCTGTCCTGAAGACAAATAAGAATTTATATCTCTTTTATTTACTTATTTTTTTATCCTCACTTGACATTTTTTGTTTTTTTGTTCAGATAGAGTGGGAGGGAGAGAGAGAGAGAGAAACACTGTCATGAAAGGGACACATCGAGTGGTTGCCACCGCATGACCCAACTAGGGCCGGGGACAAACTGCAACTGAGGTAGGTGCTCTTAACGGGAACCGAACTCGGGTCTCTCTGGACGGCAGGTGGACGCTCTAACCTCTGAGCCAGACTGGCCAGGGCTATATCTCTTATTCTAACAGTTATAGCTACAGTAGAAGTAGCTGACACACACACACTGTAGCTGATATACACACATGCTGTTTGTTTTAAAATATACTTAAAGGACACTTTTGTAACAGTGGGCTGGGTTGTTAAATTGGTTGTCATGCATTGTGGGATATATACTATTATGTTCACATGCTGAGAGTTCATTTCACTATGTTTTTTGCAATATAGACATTTGAATTAAAATTTATTTTTTAAATGTTTCTCGTGGTTATTAGAGTCTGAACGATAAAAACATGTTCACTATAGTTTTACTGTATCTTGATTTAACATTAAGCATTATAATTGCATTTTCTTGGGGAAGACATATTAGATGTTTTATTTATTATTGGTGTCAGAATTAGAAATGCTATAAATGATTAACTATGTCAAGATCGTTAGAATATCAAACCTGAAAAAGATTATATGTGTATTTACTACATCTTCTTTTGTGCCCAACTGCCATTAAGTTTCTGATCCTTATGTCAGTAAAGGGAAAAAGCAGTGATATACTCTTTTGGAACAAAAACCTTCAGAATATATCACCATCAAAATAAGCCACGTGGCAACAGGAGAGCATATTACGTTTCTGATAGGACAGAAATTGAGGAGGAGGTCTTTTAATTTTGTGTCTATCATTTTAATCATGGTTGAAAATACTTAGAAACATTAGATGTGTCTGCAACACATCTACTTGCTGGTTGTATCTCTTTTTGGATAGAACAGGTGAGTTATGTCTATTTCTTTGGCAGTGTAGGGAGTAGATAACAAAGGTTTTGAACTTGAACCTTATTTACATTAGAATTGTTTTTTTGTTTTCATTATTGAAGAATGGCTTTAAGTAATATTTAGAAGTAGACAGGGGCTTTGAAATTAGGGCACTAAAAGCTGTGGCCATAACATAAAGGGGAAGCAGTAATTTGACACACTTCAGAGATTGGAAATGGTGTAAGAAGACAACCCTTTGTATAAAAATATAGGCCTTCTGGGGAGTGATGCAGTAGAAGCAAATTGGACAACATTCCTATTTCTAAACATCAGATTTTCATCTCAGCCATCCAGAACACAGTCTTAATACAGAAGCAAGAAAACTCAGTCTTAAATGGCCCAGCTGTTATTCATTGAGTCTGTATGTGAAATAGTTCACCCCTGACTTTTATCTAGGAATTGTGTATAAAACAAAGATGCATATTAGAAGTAGTGGGCAGTCAGAAAAAAGCAAGGGTGACTGCTGAGAGTTATGGAAGTTATATTTTAACATCTGTAAACCAATGAAAAAGCCATTTCATACTTACCTGGCAGGGGAGATACCATGATCATGAAGGTGGTTTTTCCAGGGCGAGGCTTGTCCATTGCACTAAGGATGTGCTAACCCCTGCGATTTCCCCAAATGTGAGAAACTCAACTGCGTAATTTGTGGTGGTGGGGGACTGCATTTGTGCTTTCCCCTGCTTTCTAAGTGACAGATTTCAAACAGGGCAGTCTTATTCCTATTTGTTCAGTGCTAAAACTCCAAATATCATTGTAGTTTTTGAGAGTACAGTATAATAGCAAGTCAGTATCTCAGTTGACTAGAAAAGGTGACTTGAGTTTCCACCTGTGTTGCTTAATAAAGTAAAGGTATATTACTTAAATGGCTTCTGTTGTAAATGGTTAAATGTGTTATTATTTATCACAGCTTAAATTGATAGACTTTGGCTGTGTGAAAAACAGGTGTTTATGGAAGCCATGTCAGTGAAAGTGCCTGATAAACAATGTGGCATTACTACTTGGAACCATTTAACATCAGTTGTTTGGCAGATGTGATCACTTAGATAATGCACTGAGGTAGCTGGTTGTAACAGAAGAAACCCTGGCATTGAAATAGAAAAGTTTCTGCATCTGCCATTTTGGGCAAATTACTGACCTTTTTGAATCCCAATTTCCTCTTCTGTAAAATGAGAAAGGTTGTGCCTCAGGGATTTGGGTGAGCCATTCAAAGATTAAATTCACAAATATATGTAAAAACTGTATGTGAAGTTTGAGCGTTACATTAATGTACAGCAGAATTACCACAGAAGCTCACTGTTGTCTGCCTTATGTAGGCAGGCGCCCCTTTTCTTTCTGACCTGATTGGTTAGTGGGCCACCTGAATTGCCTTTATGAGACTACTCATTCACATGGGAGGACTGCTGCAGGCATGGTGGGAATAGACAAAAGAAATTATAAACATGGTTTGATATAACCCTATGATACCTTTTACATTTTGAAGAATTGAACCCATTTTTTTTCTGAAAACATTTGTAACTAAACTACTTTTTATTCTGAGTAATGTTTTATTTTTTCTATATTATTGCTTTTATTTTTGAAATTCTACTTTAAATTTCTAAATAGCATAGCAGCTGCTATATATTCCGTAGCTCAGTTCTTCAAGTCATCTCTAGGCACAGCTTGTCAGTTATTGCTTCAAAATATGCTATCCCTAAAATTTAATGACTTAAAACAATAGCTTTTTTATTTGTTCATAATTCTGGAAGTCAGCAAATTGGGCTGGTCTCAACTGATCAGTTCATATGTTGGGCTCTGCCTCTGTTAACGCATGTGTTTCACTGGGATTGGATGGTGTAAAATGGCTCCAACTGGGGTGCATTGATTCTCTTCCATGAGGGCTCTCATCTTCCAGAAGGTTAGTAGGGCATTTTTTACTTCATATCTCCGGGCATCATTCTGAAAGGGTGAGAATGGTAGCTAGCAAGCTCTCTTCTAGGCTCTGGAGCATGATGTGCAATATCACCTCTGGTCCAGGCAATTAAAAAAACCAGCCCGGATTCAAGGTGGAAGGGAAAAGAGTTTGTCATTTAAAATCTACAACAAGCAGTTGTTACTCTTACTGCTGAGGACAAGGAAGTACTAGAGAAGAGAGTAACTTAGTCCCAACCTATCAAAGTTTTAATGATTTGGAGGGTTTCTCAGCAAGGGAGTGGTTAGGATTTCTCTTTTGATCAGGGTATATTCCAGATACTATCTGAGGGCCCCATCAGTTAAGTTTGGAGCTTCTAGACCAAGGTCTCCCAAATTGACCTTTTCTTAGGTTTTCCATGGAGGAAAAAAGTAATTCCATTATGACAATGGATTTCTAAAAGCTACCAAGATTCTTGAGTTATCCTTGAATTATCCTGAAATCAGACATAGATTAGGGAAGGAAAAGAACAAAGAGCTCTTCTGTATTATACTCCATATATTTTTATGTATGGTTATAAAGGAATCACACTTCGTCTATCTGAATTTGTTGAGAAACTAATATACTTTTGGTGTATTTGCAGTTAGCATCAAAATAGGCAACCTTTTGGTGCATGGACGACACCCAAACAATTGAGTCACACCAGCCAGGGTGAATCTGCTTCCTAAGTGACAGATTTTTAAAGTGTTACAGACTTCTTTGTCTTGTACATGCATACTGAATTGTTTTCAGCCTTCCTTCCTTTACATTGTATTTAGGCCTTTCTGGAGGCGTTTTTCCTACCTTTCTGATTTGCTAATTTTCTTCATTTGTGTGGGCTCAGGTATCAGCTAACCATGTTTGTTAAATTTGTGTGTAAAATGAGGTCAAGGAAATTCTTAGGGTTGGGTAGTCATTAACCTTTAGTAAATTACATGCATTCTTGGTCTTTGTCTAGTTTTGGCCGCTTTTGGTGTGTTTAAAAATTTTTTTTTTCCTTTATTGATCTTAGAGAGAGAGGAAGGGAGAGGGAGAAAGAGATAGACACATTGATGAGAGAGAACATTGATTGGCCGCCTCCTGCATGCCCCATACTGGGGATTGGGCCCACAACCTGGCATATGCCCTGACTGGGAATCGATCCGGCCACGTCTTGGTGCAGGGGTCAATGCTCAACCACTCAGCCACACTGACCGGGCTGCTTTTGGGTTTTTGCTTGCCACCTTCCTGTTTCTAAGCCATGTCCAAACAGAATTCTGATGTTATTCTTTGCCTACTATAATATACACATGTAATAAAAAATATGATTAAGTATATTTGGCCAGCTTATAAGATAGAGTTTTACTATCCTCAGAAGTAATTATTTTTGAGAAACTGATTTTCACCCCCAAAATTATGAGTTTCCTGGCTGTTTTTTTTTTCCTGAGATTTTAGTGTAAAGTGAAATGTTGTTACCTTTGGTTTCTTTGATTTCCTTAGGTGTTCTTTGGAGTAATTCCATATAATTTATTTTTTACTAGGGACAATTTGTTGGCGGATTGTTTGCAGGGTTGTTTTGTGGTGACGTGCACATTGTGCGCATTCATCAGCCTGGTGTGGTTGCGAGAGCAGATCGTCCACGGGGGAGCGCCGATTTGGTTGGAACATGCTGCTCCACCCTTCAATGCTGCTGGACACCACCAAAATGAGGTAACTCTCCCCACCCTCAAATTCATTTTATTGGGGCAAGACATGAGAGTTGTGATCACCTTCTAAGACCCAAGTCCTTGACTCCCATGTTCCTTATTGCAAAGCAGAATAGTGAAAAGGTTTGGGAGAAGGTTAAGGGAGATGTGAAAAGTCAAAAGAATGCTGCTGTGACTTGGCCTCTTAATTTTCTAGCAAAATTGGGAGCAGTATTAGAGGTATACTAAAGCTCTTTCATTGCTTTTGCCTGGGTTAGCTACTTAACGCTGGCCTGGAAGTCAAGGTACATGCTTCTGACATGCTGGGTAACATTAAGGAGGCCACTCATGCTCTTTGTTCATCAGTTTCTTTGTATGTAAAATGCCTCCCCTTGTTGCTCCCAGCAGGTACATTACCAAAAATAGAAATATTGGAGCACTATAACAACGATGTGCAGTTCTACTTTTTCTTTATGAGAGATGACATGCTTAGATATAAGAACATTTACTAGAGATCTTAAGAAGAGGAGAAAGACATAAATCATTTTTAGTATTTTACTTGCTGAGAAGTTATGGGGCTGAAAAGTAAAATTAGCTACTTACATATGAAAACAATTTGCACTTCATAAAATTTTGTTATGAAAAAATTGTAAGATTCTCAAAATGAAGATTAACAACATAATTAACTGCAACCATGTCTTTGGTTGGTAGGTAGCTGCACTCACGAAGAGCAGAGGAAGATGCATGTGAGAACTGATCAAGTCTATATGGACAGGCTTACCTACAGAGTAGAAATTAGCTATGTTTTCCTCAAGTATTTAACTGATAACTGAGAATTCAGTTTTATATCTGTATGTGTACAAACAAATAGATGCATGAATAAATATATTTTTATCCCTGAGGTGGTCATTAAAGACAGGAGTTATCTTTTAAAGAAGAATTATGTATGGAATGATGTATTCAAGATAGCTATATTGTTAACTCATTATCTATAATGCTTTATGAAATGGTAGTCCCTAAATTATACTAAATGAATATATACACTGTGAAGTGAGTTTATATCCTTATATACCATGTTGACCCAAAATAAGATACATTTAGAAAAGATGACTTTGAGAGGTGTATTTTGGAATTTCACTAGTTTGTGTGCTAGTTTATGTTGTTGTTAATCCTCACCCGAAGATATTTTTTCTATATTTTTTAGAGAACATGGAAGGGAGGGAGGAAGGTTGGGGAGGAGGGGTAGAGAGAGCAAGATACCGGGAGGAGGGGGGAAATGTTGATGTAAGAGAGACACGTCGATTGGTTGCCTCCCACACAGGTCCTGACCAGGGCTGGGGATTTGAGCCTGCTACCCAGGTTCGTGCCCTTGACTGGGAATTGAACTGAGACCCTTTGGTGCATGAGCCAATGCTGTAACCAGTGAGCCACACTGGCTAAGATGCTAGTTTGTTTTTTGTAGAAGGGAGAGCTTGATTTGGAAATAAAGCAAAACTGAGATAAGTTAGCTAAATGTCAGGGCTTTTCTGTCATTTTAGGCTCCAGCGGGAGGAAATGGTGCTGAAAATGTTGCCCCTGACCAGCCTGCTAACCCACCAGCTGAGAACGCGGTGGTGGGGGAAAACCCGGATGCCCAGGATGATCAGGCAGAAGAGGAGGAGGAGGAGAATGAGGAGGAAGATGAGGCAGGCGGGGAAGATGCAGCGGATGCCAACAATGGGGCCCAGGGTAATGGCTGCTCACTTGTTCTTACCACTCCTTTTCTACCAAGAGTCCATTTTCAACTTGCCTTGGGGAGAAAGATAGTTTTCAAATTTAATGGGTTAACATTATATTTTTAACCTGTTTTTACTTTATTTTGGCAAACTTGCATGTATGGATATACATATGCATACATATTTTTTCCATGAATCTGCACATAAAATCCTACTTATGCAGCACTTTTTTAGGATGGATAGGAAGAAATTATTTGTAAGTTGGTATAGATCCTAGTTTTTATAAAAAAGGGAATTTGATATATATATATATTTTTTTCATTCTTTTTTGAGTTAGTACTTTTTGTTGTTACTCCTCACCTGTGGATATTTTTCCTGTTGATTTTTAGAGTGAGTGGAAGGAAGGGAGGGAGGGAGGGTGAGTGAGCGAGCAAGAGAGAAACATCAATGTGAGAGACACACATGGATTGGTTGCCTCTTGCACGTGCCCTGACTAGGGCCGGGTATCGAACCTGAGACCCTTTGGTGTGTGGGCTGATGCTCTAACCACTGGCCCACACTGACCAGGGCTTGAGTTAGTACTTTTAATATCAAAGAAGAATTCTTGAAGAGTGAGTACACTGTAGATGAGATGCCATCCAAAGAAACCAATTTCTCTTTTTTTCTTTTATTTATTGATTTGAGTGGGGGAACATTGATTTGTTGTTCCACTTATTTATGCATTAATTGGTTGCTTCTTGTATGTGCCCTGACTGGGAATCAAACTTGCAACCGTCACATGTGGGGACGACGCTCTAACCTGAGCTACCCGGCCAGGGCTCAATTTCTCCTTTGCTAGCAGTGTAACTGTAGTGTAACTTTTTTGGCCCCCCAAGTCAGCTGTCAATAGCTCAATGCCTCCTTTTCTCTCTTTCCACCCCAGAGTTTTCCTGTCAGGCGCTGCACTGTCTCTAGGTCCACTTGGCATTGCTAATACCTGAGTGTTTCCCGTGTGCCAGGCACTCAAACACCAGGGCTCTGCCTTCATGGAGTTTTGGTCTAGTGAAGAATACCCAAGTGAGCAGATTTATCATTACACATTGTAATAAATGTTGTGCAGGTTGCTCTGAAGATGCTATTGGGGAGGGTCTTATTTAAACAAGATGCGCCTGTAGCTCAGAGTAAGTGCTTTTTGAGCTTCGACCTAAAGGATGATAAGTGAGTTGTGTAATGGGGCCTTTGCCAGGGAGAGGCAAGTATCTATCTGTTTAAAGACTCTGAGAAATGCAGCCTATTGCTACCCCAGTGCTGGCCACCATTTCTATTTTAGTCTAATGCATTAGCTCCTAATTGGTCTTTCTTCCACTCTTGCTCCACATAGTATACGGATTGCTCTCCTGCCTCTAAAAATCTTTCAGTGGTTTTTTCATGATACAGAAGAACGAAGTGAAATCCAGCTTCACATTTCTTTTGTATGATCTGATCCCTATTTGTCTTTCATACTATATCTTCTACCTCCTCATCACCCAGAGAATTCTAGTCCTCTGGCTTCCTTATTTCTCCCAATTCTACTGGAGTCATTCCTGCTTCAGAGCTGTTTTATTCCTTTCTTGCACATAACCCTATTTATTTCCTTTCACGTACTTACCACATACTAGAAAGAACCACCTTGTTTATCTTATATGTTGTATTTATGTATATGTATTCTTATTTATTGCCTAACAAGCAAGTACTCATATGGAAAATTTTTAAATGTAGTTTAGCTTCTCAACAACAGCTAACAAAACACTAAATTAAGAGGGTGCATTTTATTATTTATAGTTCAAATTACATCAATTTTATTTCCAGACGACATGAACTGGAATGCTTTAGAATGGGACAGAGCTGCAGAAGAGCTTACATGGGAAAGAGTGAGTAAGACTTCTTTCCATCAACCATCAGTGTTTTAATTCTAAAGTATATTTTAAAGTTGAGTGTATAAATGTATACACTCATTTTGTAGTTTCATTTGATGAAAACTTTACTTTCTAGAGTAAATTAAGTGATGCTTTGTTTGTGTTGAAAATATTAAAAATGATGAAGATCTACTGATAACTGTTTTTCTGTCTTTTGGCATTTAAAACAAAACTTCCTCTACTTAGAGAATGTTTAACCTGAAATTTTGGACTTTCAAAAAATGAAGTAACAATTTAAATTTATTATTCTGATGCTTTAGTTGACAAAATCGTTGATTCATGAAGTCTTTTTTTTTTTTTAATCCTCACTCGAGCATATTTTTCCATTTTTATCTTCAGATAGAGCGGAAGAGAGGAAGAGAGAGAGACACATCGACTGGTTGCCTCCCACACGAGCCCAACCGGGGCCTGGGATGAACCGCAACCGAGGTACGTGCCTTTGGCTGGAATCTAACCTGGGACTCTTTGGTCCGAGGGCCGACGCTCTAACCGCTGAGCCAAACCAGCCAGGGCATATCATGAAGTCTTGACTGGCTCCATAGCTAATGTAAGAATCAAACCCAAGACGGAATTTTTTTTTTTTTTTACTTTAAAACCATGATATGGAATAAAAGGAGACCCAAAATATAAAACTTCTATAAACAGGAGTTTTTTACTCTCTGAAAATGATTGGCTATATTGGAAAGTAGTGGGTAAGGATCATGTTTAAAGATATTGAGAGGAAAATGAGCCTTTTAATAAACAATAAAACTGTTTCATCTTAAATTAATGCATATTATTATTCATTTTAGATGCTAGGACTTGATGGATCACTAGTTTTTCTAGTAAGTAAAGCTAATATTTTTTAATAATAGAATTGTGACGTAATTGTTTGTCTTAGTGATTCAGTGTTTTCAGAGTTACAATATGTGCTGGCTTTTTACACTAAAGATCAAAATGCCCTTTGAATTTTGAGTATTTGGTATGTTAAAGTAAGTTTGTTATATATATTGAAAATATTGGCAAAGCATAAAGGTAGTACTGTTTAAAAGCAAATTATTAATTACTTTATTTTTAGAAAAGAAAATGAAATACAAAATTAATAACAGTTAAGAACTTGTTTTTTTAAAGTTCCACCTTGTGATGTCTAAATGCTGGAACTGGTGAAAACAGAGCAGCAGCTTTGTAATGTTCACATTGATAGCCTAGGCTCATCATAGGTTTCCACTTTTTGCTGAATGCCACCTATCTTTACCTTATTAGTAAAGAGTACAACTCAAAGGTGAGAAATAATTCTTTAAAGAATCTGTCCTTTAAAGGAGAAATGATACTATTTTAAGATTCTGTAATATGAATTCACTTGCTATTTGGGATTTAAAATGGCTTTGGGTATTAAGATGATTTTGGCTGGAGGTGGGAGAAGCCCTAGTGACCAAAACAATAACAAAAAGACCAGAAGAAGGATGGGCTTGAGTAGTGCTTGATTCAGAGGCCCAGCTGTGTCACCAAAGACCTAAATAAGTTCTGTACATCTCCTCTGCTGTCCACAGTATTGGCTTCCTCCTCTAGCCGGCTCCAGATGGGAGCCAGAATAGGAAGTTGAGGTTAGTAGTTATACTAAGGAATGTATCTGGTGGTAATTCACGGATTAATGAGAATTTGATATTACTGAGTTCCTCTTCAAAGTTTGTTCACAGTCAGTATAGAAGGTATTATGTGTCTGCATACTCATTTGTATCTGTTACCTCATCAGCCACTCAGATGAGTGACAGAAGTTGTGGAGGCAGTGGTGTTGACTCAAGTGCATTCTAATGATTGGAAAAACGCATTTATAGGATGGCTTCATTCATGAAAAGATATTTTTAGCATCTGTCATGTGTCAGCTATTGTGATAGTAACAGGGAGGTTCAGAGATGAGTGAAATAGGATCCCTGTTCTCAAAGGTGCTTTATAGTTAGTAGAGAGAAGTGAACATGTGAATAAGGAACTTTAGAGGTACGATGTGGTCAAGACTCAGTGACAAGAAGTGTGCGTAGGACATAAGAGGTATAGGAGAGGTCTTGGTTAGATGTTTCTTAGTGGAGTTTGTCAGGGAATTTTTAAAGGAGATAATTTAGAGGTTGAGGCACAAAAAATATCGGGGATAAGGATAGTTTGGGAGTCCTTAAGGCAGAGAAGCTGAAGAAATTCAAGGGATTATGAGCTGGCATGGTGAGTAGGAATGTAGCACTCATCTCTTAGGCAAACTAATCACCCTTTTTGCCACTTGGGATGTAGCACATTGGGGACCTGATTGGAATAAACTTTCTAAAAAGAAAATCTGTTGACCCCTTTTGGAAGGATCATTTAACTTGATTGGGGGTGGAGGTGGTTTGCCTAGACAAATGCAATTGGTCTTGCTGGTGTCAGCATGGAGCGTGACTAATGTATATGTGACATGGTTGTAGGAACAGATGATAGCAGTCATCTTAGAAGTGATAATACATAACTGGAAGCGGATCGATGGCCAAGGGGGAATGAGTATTCTGAGTCATGAACTTTAGGACACACTATAGGGAGAAAAGGGACCAGGAAGATAAAGTAATCTTGCAGAAGTCATGAGAATCAAATGGACACTGAAAGAAGCACTGTGTATTTTTACATTAGTATGTTGTTGGGAATTAATGTGGTTTTCAACTTTTTCTCTCTTTGGAATTTTTCAGTGTCATTTGATTTAATGCAGTCTGCCAGTTAATTATGAGAGTCTGTGTAGTTTGCAGTCAATTATTTCTGAAGAGGAAATGTTTATGGATTAACAACTTCTTTGATTTTTTTCCCCTACATGTAACACTATGAACTTTGGGTTTCATTAGGTTTATTTTTATGAGCTATCTAATGAAAATGTAAAGTTGTGCATAATTTTTGGAACATAATCTCAATTATAGAGTGAAAATTTTAGTCGTCTAACTAAATAAGTGGAGTAGTCTAAACATATATCAAATAGGAATTGAATGTGTTTTATTGATGTTCTTTTCCTTTAGGAACATGTCTTCTGGGTGGTATCTTTAAACACACTGTTCATTCTTGTTTTTGGTAAGTGGTGTGCTTTTGTTTATTATGGTAGTTTAGTTTTCTAGGAGCCTTCCTATATAGGTTTTTGTTTTGTTTTTAAACAAGAATGTATGAAACAGTTTTAGATAGTAATTCTGTATAAGAATCCTGTACAGATAGATACCTTCTTTCGTAAGCAACAGTGACTTAAGTGACCTGTAGTTAACTTACCATCTCTGCTTCTGTTGGGCATTTCTGTCTCTTTGTAGAAGCTAATTTTAGACTGACTTGAGAATATACAATATTCCACCTCTGGAATTAAATTTTTGCTGATTATCTGTGTGCTCTTCCCTATGGCAGAAAATCTTGTTGCCATCTGTTAAAATCCTTACCAAAGCCTTACCAGAGACCCTGGCTTAGGGGCTTTTATTAGGTTTATCCACATCCAGAGGTGGATATAGGCTTGAGGGAGGACAGTGACCCTTTCCCAAGTGTGAATTCCCTTTAGAACCAGATTCCAGTAAATGCAACGTCACTTCCAGACATTTGCACAACGACAGCTGTGAGGATTCTGGGACAGCACACACGAGTCCCTCCCATTGGGAGTAATTAGAGAAAGGAAGGCAGGGTTGAGGAGATATAGTTGACAAGTTTTTCTGCTTTGGGAATGATTAAGTAAACTGAATCAAGTAAATCAAGACCTTAAAATTCAATTCCTGCATCTCTCAAGGGAGAGAAGGTGGAGTTTGATAAAATCATGTTATTGCTGGGCTAGGCTATGGTTTGTGTCCCCTTAAGCTACAGATCTCTCCACAGGGATCTTTGAGAAATTCCTTCCTTTAATACATGTGACTTTACCCCTCAGTTCTACTGAGGAGGGAGGAGGAGATTTCCCAAGGCTCTTCCACTGAATTCCAAGTTATTTGCTCTGTGTGTGGATCACTTTGTGACCTAGAAGGGGCAGTTGTCTTCAACAGGAAGGAAGCCATGTGGTCAAAAAGACACTGAATGTGGCCCTGGCTGGTGTGACTCAGTTGATTGGGTGTCATCCAGTGCACTGAAAGGTTGCCAGTTTGATCAGAGTTTCGGGGTCAGCCCCCAGTAGGGGCATGCAGGAGAAAGCTGATCAATGTTTTACCCTCACATTGATGTTTCTCTCTCTCTCCCTCTCTCCTTTTCTCTCTCTAAAAAAAAATTAATAAAAGCATTAATATAAAAGACAATATTATACTGCATTTATTTTTTATATGTAAAATTATCGATATTGTAGAGTGTGAAACTGTTTGATCTTGACCAAGTTTTATTTGAGAGAAAAAATTATCTATAGTATTTAGTCTTTGCTCTTGCAAGAAAATCTTAATGCAAAATTAATGTTTGAAGGAACAGATCACCTTTAAAACCTGAATTATAGAAGTAAGAACTCTTATTTATATAAAGGAAATATCTAAGTAAATATTTTATAATCCAATCTCCTAAGTTTATATAATCTTATATGAAAAAAAAATTTTTTCTTAGTAAACTTACATACATCATTTTTCGGCTCTCTTGAAATGAAACGAAGTTTTCTTCTTTTTAGGAATATGCTTTTCCTTTTAGGTGAACATAGTCATTGAGATTAAGCACACAGGTTTCTTTCCTGCCTGAGCTGCTCTACTGCAATGTTCCTCTGGCATATTTTTGACTCTTGTGGACATGTAATAACCTTACAGCACTGCTGTCTATAGTAGAAGGGGATGATCCTGAGAAACTGATCTTAATTTCAGGATACCTATCTAGTAGTTGCTGCAGAATGGGCTAGAAATTGATTATTACAATTGATGCTCAGGTTAATATTTACATATACAAATAGAGTTGAAACTTGAAAGTTTGCCTTTCCCAGGGATCTTCTTGAGTCATCCTCAGAGTTGGGTGTGAGAACAAATTAAGAAAAATTCTGTGTATTTTTTTTCTTATTTAAAAATTTCTTGTGTTTTATAATACACACAATATATTAGTAAAATAACATACATATCTACTTTGTAAATAAATTCTAAATAGATTTTAGACCCCATAAATATATTTCTGCCCATAGAATACTTGATCAAAACTGTTTGGTGGCCAGATCCCTATAGATTGACTCTTAACTTTTGTCTAATGATTAAGTTCTCCTCCCACCTTCCCTATCTATGCTGTTCATTTTGGGGGCATAAGTGAAAGATAATTAAATTTTATTAAGAACAAATTAAAAATTTATTAACATGGTAAGGAAGACTCGCAGAAAAGAGACTAAAAATTCTTACTAAGAAGTACTGAAGGATATTTTCTTATTTAACTATAATATCATTATCATACCTTAAAAATCACCAGACTTTAATGTTTCTTAGTAATCCAGCATATTAAAAGTTTCTAGATTGTCTCCTTAAATGTCATTTTATAGTTGGTTTGTTTGAATGAGGATCCAGATAAGGTCCTGACATTACTTTTGGTTGTTAATCCTTTTGATCTAGAATATTCTTCTGCTATCCCTTCCACCCCCTTTTGCCATTGCTTTGTTAAAGAGACTTAGGTCAGCTGTCTTGTAAGTGCTCCTTGTTCTACATTCGTCCAATTGTTCCCTGATGATTTCTGCCACCTGCTTCTTTGTCTCCAAGGACCTGATTAGATTCAGGTTAAATATGTTTGTGACAAATTCTTTTACTGGTCATGTGTTGCCTAGTAATACAACATATTAGGAGATAGATGATGTTCTCATTGGTTGAGGTGATAGTATCTTGAAGTCTCTATTGGTAGGTTTCATTTTTCCCTTAACCATCAGAAAGTAATGTGTGGGGATGGTATTTTAGTATCATGCAAATATCTAGTGTTTTCTTAACATTTCATCTAATGAACTCTTGGATTTGGATGTATTCATTGTGTTTCCAACAGTTTGGGTCATTATTCTTTTTGAGGCTCATATCTTTTCTTTGGCCTGTGAGACCCTCTTTACTATGGTTCCTGTTTTTTGTGTGTTTTTTTGCCATTAACCTATTAGACCTTGATGACTTTGTTGTTGTTTGGTTACAGAGAATGTCCCAGGAAATACATTTTTAGCTTCAGTTCTGTAATGTTCCATTTCTTTAAAAAGCCAGGTTCCTTTCAGTGGGAGATGGTACTAGGAGTGTTCATTGTTTTGATTTTGAAGTTTTCATTGAGTTTTTTTCCTCCCTTTTAGCATTTTGTCCTTACCACATTGGTCATTTCTCCCTTGTTGGTTTGGGATTTGAAGAACATGTGAGTATAATACTTTTACAAATTTACTTTCATTGATCCCCCCCCTCCCAATTTTCTACTTGTTGAGTAATTAATAATGTTGTAAAGAGTTACTTCATTTCTCAATCTGCCTTATACAAAGGAATAGTTATCCAACATAGTCTTGTTCTTTTTTTAAAAAACTAACAGTGGTTCAAGTCATAGTAGGTTAAGTTACCAGCTAAGGAAGATGTGCTCTGAAATCCCATGATGCACTGTGTTTCCTCCAGTGGGGTGGACCAGAGGCATATGGGAAAATTTTCTTGCAGGCTGATTTATGGCCCTTCCAATGAACCTTGTGCCCTTCCCTTCCTTTTTGCCAGATGCTCCCTAGTGAATTTAGAAAAGTAACAATGTGTCAATTGATTTATAAAAGGTTAGTCAATCTTGTAATGATGTGCTGTAGTGTTTTCTAAAGAATTTGCTTTAATTTTTGACATTTTATCACTGTCAGGTGGATGAATATTTTAATGGACAGCTACTACTGTTTGTAGGGGGCAGAAATATTTAGTTTTTTTAAGGAAGATCTGATATATCTGGATACTCTGTTCAGTTTGTGTATGTGAATACTGAGAGCACATTTTGAAAGGACAGAGATGTGTTTCAATATTTGATACAGCTTTTCAAATTCTCACTAGTTGAATGCAAGAACTTGAAAAGTTAGGATAAATTCCTTGATAAATTTTGACTTTCCAAACTATTGCCACATGCTATCTGAAATTCAGGATGGAAAAGATAAGCAATATTTGTCATTATTTAATCTCTTGTTCTGTAAGTTGAGAATGGGACAGATTTGGAGAGCAGTCACTTCTAGTGGTAGGAAATGAAGTGGCTGGGATGCGCTCGCTGGACAGGTGGACAGTTTGTGCTCAGCTTTTAGCAAGTCCACTTTAGAATAGAGTGCGGGATATTGTATCACAACTTTTTCCTTATTTTTGTAAAATTTAATTTGCTCTACTTTATTTTGTCTGCTTGAATAAAGTATTATTCTTTCATTTTTCCTCATCTTTTCATGATATGTAACAGTCTATGGGAGAATCTGGGTTTCAAAGATGTCATCCAAAGGGGATTTTATGGTTGTTTTTTAGTTGTAAATTGTCTAGACGGTTCACTTCCAGTCTACTTGAATTGTTTAATACATTGTTAAACTGGGGTGGAGGTCATATGGTACAGTTAAAGTTTATTTTTTTCTTATTTTCAGGTTCAAGCATCTCATTTTGAAGGCCTAATCACAACCATAGTTGGCTATATACTTTTAGCAATAACACTGATAATCTGTCATGTATCCTTTAATGAACCAACATGGGTATTTAGTAATATTTGTACCAGAGTTGTTACTATTACTGACAAAACTTTCTCTCTCGTTGTTCTCTTAGTAAAAGTTGTAGGCATTTGTAGTGAGGGTAAGGGAAGATAAAATATGAAGTAAATTCTGTCTGCCAAGTAATATTAAGTGTTGCCTGAATTTGTAAATGTTTTATTACACCTTGACATGCTCAGTTTTTCCTTGACTAGATGCTGCAGGGCTTGGCAACTCTTGTTAAATTTCACAGGTCTCGCCGCTTGCTGGGAGTCTGCTATATTGTTGTAAAGGTAATTCTTGCTAAAGTTAAAACAAAATGATTTCTCCCCATTTGGGTGATATTGATGACCTTTATTTTTGCTTAAGGTCTCTTTGCTGGTGGTGGTAGAAATTGGAGTGTTCCCTCTCATTTGTGGCTGGTGGCTGGATATCTGTTCCCTGGTGAGTTTATTATTCATTATCATACAATCTAATAATTTAAATGCTTCAAAACAGACATCTTTAGAATGGGTTTCTCTTAAAGGAAAGTCAGTATTTGATCATAATTTACTTCTTTTTTTCCTGAGAATGTATCACTGTGGAGTCTTTTTAAAAAAATCCTTACCTAAGGATACTTTTCCATTGATTGTTAGATAGAATGGAAGGGAAGGAGGGAGTGGGGCAGAGGGAGAGAGAGAGAGAGAAAGAGAGAGAGAGAGAGAGAGAGAGAGAGAGAAAGAAGGAAACACTGATGTGAGAGACACATTGGTTGCCTCCTCAGCCATTCCGACAGGGGCCAGGGATCGAATGTACAATCCAGGTAGGTACCCTTGATTGACAATTGAACCCTTGACTCTTGGTCTGTTGGCCCACACTCTAATCGCTGAGTCAAACTGGCCAGGGCTGTAGAGTTTTAATGTTGCTAATTTTTCTTGCATACCTGATTTTTTTTTTTCTGTGCAAATTTCTGAAGTCAGAGTATTTTGACTGGAATATTTCTAATAATCAGTGAAGAATTGTCTTACTGATTTTACTCTTCTAAATTTAACAGTAACTCTAAGATACTGTATACATAGAAAGAGCAATCTAATATGAAGATGGTCTTTGTAGTAATAAATTCAACCTTAACCATTTGTTTTAATTTAAGATGCTTATTTTTTTTTTTTATAATCTTTAATGGCTATCAGTGATGATCAGTTTTTGACTTTTCAAAACTGTTCAGTTTTATATGTAGAAAAGCACCTTTGGTTCTGAGATACATTTTCTTCCCTACTTTTCTATTAAAACTTGTCATGAATGCAGACCTATAACCAAGAAAAGAAGGTATAATGTTAGCCAAAAATGATTCTTCTTACTTACTAATTGGTTCATCAGTCTTGCTGTTTGTATTTAAAAATTTAAAGTGTCATACATCTTTGAAATAGTGTCTAATCTTATATCATATATATTTCTGTGACTGGTATTAAGAGAACTATGGTCCTAGAACATCATAACCTGTATTCACAGTTATGTTCATTTACTTCCTAGAAGATGGATGGAGATGTTAATTTAGCAAATATAAGTGCTACAACTCTGTTCACCTGTTCTATTTTGTTTTAGGAAATGTTTGATGCTACTCTGAAAGATCGTGAACTGAGCTTTCAGTCAGCTCCAGGTACTACCATGTTTCTGCACTGGCTAGTGGGAATGGTATACGTGTTCTACTTTGCCTCCTTCATTCTTTTACTGAGAGAGGTAAGTTCTATAGGGAAGTGCTGATGCTATACATTCATGAAAATGATTTTTGTTTAGTTACAGGTTGTGTCTCATAGGTTATTAAGATTTCCTAACTAAATCATTTTCTCTGTTTCATTTTAAGAGGGAATAATTGATAGATAAGTTTGGCTTAATTGCTTTAAACTGTTTTCAGTCATTTGTCTTAAAAATCGACAAGTTTTGATATTTCTACCTATAATTAGCTACAAGTTTGAAAGATGAGTAGACTGGGGAAAAAATTAAATGAAAGTACTTATTTTACATGTAGCCATCCTCTAATACACATTCTTGAACTTTTATGGGATCTGATCCTGTCTTGGACTTCATTCGAGGAAATGTAATACTGGAAATACCCAAAGGTTATGGTTTTGCAGTATCAAATATATAAAATGGTCTTGAAGCAGGCACCTTAAGTATAGAATTAAAATAAAGGTCCTTGCCCAGCTAGTGTGGTTCAGTGGTTGAGCGTCGAGCCATGCACCAGGAGCTCGCTGGTTCAATTTCTGGTCAGGGCACATGCCATGTCAGGGCCAGATCCCCAGTGGGGGGCATGCAGGAGGTAGCCAATCATTGTTCTCTCTCATCGATGTTTCTATCTCTCTTTCCCTCTTCCTTCCTCTCTCTTTAAACTCAATAAAGAAAAAATAAATAAAATGAAGGTCCTTTATGATTCCAGTTCACTTCCCAGATGGATACCTTATTAATCTTATTTTTGGAATATAGTCTTTATTGATTCGAAGACAGTGACAGTGGGGCCAGTATTTGATTAATATACATCTCATGCTCAGTCAGTCTGGTTCGATAGGAAGTATAAAACTGATACGTGTACTTGCCATTGTGCATTCTTTCCCTCAGTATTATTGTATATTCAGTCTGTGTTAGTCACTGTGCTATCTGCTGGGTTAACAGTGAGAAACAAAGACAGGATCCCCATTCTCCTTGATTTTGCATCCTGGAAAGGAATCCAACCATTGAACAAATCAACTCTCTTGAGTACTTTGAGAGTGGTGATGGAGATGTGCAAGGGCCTGAAGGAGAAGGCCAACTAATCCAGTGTGAATGGAATCCAAAGAGCATAGAGGCTTAATGCTATTCTTGTACTTTGTTGTTTGAGAGTTTTGAGGAGTTGGGGAGGGGACTGGGGCCAACATGTTCTTCCATGAATCTTATAATGTAAGTTCAGTAAATTCTGTGTGCAAATTAAGCTTGTATTCTTCCTTTGAGAGAGGTGGTCGAGACTAAATTAATAATGTTTTTTTTTAATTATAATTATACATGACCTCTAAATTACATTAAGTGATAAAATGTGTATACTGAATTTTTAAATTTTATCTATGTGGCTTTTTGTTGATACAGATTCCTAGTATTTGGGAGTTAGATGGAACCTTAGAGGTTATAAGTTTGTAACCCCTTCATTTAGAAGATGGAGACATAGAGTTTGGGCAGATGAGATGCTTTATATAAGGTAACTCAGTGAGTTTGAACCACCCAGAACTATTATCCAGACTCATCCATTGCCCCATCACCCACAGACTCTTGAGTTGATGATTTCCACTGAGAGAGGGAGAAAGATGTAGGTATTAAAGATATATACTGAAAAGTTGTAGGATCTCTCTTGCTTTTTTTAGTATGTTTTAATTGATTTTCCTAAAGAGAGAAGGGAGAGAGAGACAGAAGCATTGATGTGAGAGAGAAGCATCGATTGGCTGCCTCCTGCGCACCCTCTACTGAGCCTGCAACCGAGGCATGTGACCTGGAATCGAACCAGGACCTCTCAGTCCATGGGATGATGCTCAGTCCACTGAGCAACACCGACTGGGCTAGAGTTTTATAATTAAAATAGCTCTTGCCCTGGCTGGTTTGGCTCAGTGGTTGACATGCAGACAAAGCATTGGCCCGTGGACCACCAAAGAGTTGCAGGTTCAATTCTGGTCAAGGGCACATAGCTCGGTTGCGGTTTGGTCCCCGGCCCTGGTCAGGGTCGTGCAGGAGGCAGCCAATTGGTGTGTCCCTCTCACATCAATGTTTGTTTCTCTCTCCCAGTCCCACTCTATCTAAAGATAAATGGAAAAATATCCTCAGGTGAGGATTAAAAAAAACAACAACTTCTCAGTAAGTGTAATCATATCTTCTGTTTAGGATATTTATAAATTGCAACCTAATTCTTTCACCAGATGACACAATATAGTGACAGCTTTCTTTCTTTATTGATTTGAGAGAGAGAGAGAGAGAGAGAGAGAGAGAGAGAGAAAATCATCAATTTGTCCACTTATTTATGCTTTCATTGGTTGAGTCGTTTGTGCCTTGACCAGGATTGAACCCGCAACCTTGGTGTATTGGGACGACATTGTAACCAGCTGAGCTACCTGACCAACTAAAAAAATTTTTTTTTTCATATAGGAGATCTAGGCATGACAAATTGTTAATATATTTATTTTTCATTACTTGATTAAAAGCATCAAAAGATGCAGGGTAGTTTTTATAAAGATTCTGGTTTGGGAACTTATTTTCCCAGGAAAGCCATATGAATTTTCTTAGGCCCATTTTTTAAGATGTCAGAATAATTTTAAGATGTTAATTTTCTGTTAATGTTTTAGCTCATATACAGAGCAAGATATTGGTGAGTATTTATAGCATTTAAAATATATTTGTAGGTTCTTCGACCTGGTGTCTTGTGGTTTCTAAGGAATTTGAATGATCCAGATTTTAATCCAGTACAAGAAATGATCCATTTGCCCATTTATAGGCATCTCCGAAGATTTATTTTGTCAGTGGTAAGCATATCTTTTTATTGTTTTTGAAGTAAAGTGTGCTACCCTTTAGATGTATTGTTTTTGGTCAGGGGTACAGGTACAATAGATTGAGTAATTTATGTTTAAGCCTGTGGAACTTAGTTATTAAGTAGCAGTAATATTGGTTACTTTGATAAAACAAATAAAATGTTTACTGAAACAAAAATGCCTTCTATTAATTTAGCAGTATAATTGATTGCCATATTATGAGTTTCTGAATTAATTAATTTCCATTAAACCAGTGGAGACTTGTTAGTAGCTTCTAAATTAAACTCTTAACAGAGAGTTTCAAAGTTTCTTTACTGCCTAGAAGAAATAAACCTTGTTAAATATAATATTTTCCAAAATAAGATTTTAAAAGGAATACTGTACCCTTTGGAAACATTTGTAGCCATTAATATGGGTCATGTTTATAATGATTACAGGTGATATATTATTTTATTTATTATTTTAATCCTTACCTGAGGATTTTTTTTTTAATTGATTTTTTAGATAGAGTGGGAGGGAGGAAGGGGGAGAGAGAAAGAGAAACATCGTTGTGAGAGACACATCGATTGGTTGCCTCCTGCACAACCCAGACTGGGGCTGGGGATAGAACCTGCAGCCCAGATACGTGCCCTTGACTGGGAATCAAACCTGTGACTGTTCGGTCCATGGACTGATGCTCTAACCACTGAGAAAACCAGTCAGGGCACAGGTGATTTATTAAGTTGCAGACAATTCTGATCCTTCCTTGTGAGTTTTCACTCTCTCTTCCCATACCATGCAGTAATAATCCTTTGTGGCTCCTGTTTGAGCCCTTGTGTCCAGAAGGGAGGGAAAAATGGAGGAAAGGAAGGAGAGAAGAAGGAAAGTAGATGAGAGAGAGAGAGGAATAGCCATCTCAGGAATGCATTCTTTACACAGAGTGATTCAAGTGTACTGTGTGGAGTGACAACACTCTGGGTCCTAGGTGGGTATGCACTTGGGTTGGGTATTGGTTGAGTAGGTTCAGAAGTCAGCCTGTCTCTCACAGGAGTGGTTTACAATGGTGTCATGTCCTTTTTCGTACTGCAGATTGTCTTTGGCTCCATTGTCCTTCTCATGCTTTGGCTTCCTATACGTATAATTAAGAGTCTGCTGCCTAATTTTTTACCATACAATGTTATGCTCTACAGGTAAGTTTTTGAAATTTGGAAGTTTTACTAATTTAGGTCTGTTAGAGATTTGATATTCAGAGTACATACATTTAAAACATATATTTGTTACAGATATTGGAAATTATCTGAAAGTTTAATTTTGCCATGTTCTAGATCACATAAACATTAGTTTAGGCCCTCGCCGGTTTGGCTCAGCGGTTGGAGCGTCGGCCTGCAGACCAGAGAGTCCCAATTCGGTTCCCGCTAGGGGCATGTTCCAAAAAAAAAACACATTAGTTTAGCAGTTACGTTTTCCAAAGGAAGACATACTTGTATTTTTCTGCAAATGAAGTTTGCCTTTGTACAGCATTGAAATGTTTTCCATACCTAATGAGTGCTAGTAGCATCATCTTTATATGAAAAGTACATTGTAAGGAATGTAGCCATAGTTGCACATTTAATTGTGGATTAAAAATAGCATATAAGGTTTATAGATGGGAAATCTTTTTTGATTTAAAAACTTTAGTCACATGGAAACCTAGTCTCTCATTTCTCTACATTCCCTTTTTTAGTGATTTGCATTACCCCCTTCAGCCACCTAACGCAGAAATCTGCCAGGCAAATTGGATTTCTTTCTCAACTTCCAATTAGTCTTTAAATCTTGTCAGTTCTAATTCTTTAAGCTCTTACCTGCTCCAACTCTATTTACTACTTACTATCTTAGTTTAGGCCTTCCTCTTGTTCTCCATTTATAATCCATCTTTAACACCCCTCTTCCCCCCTTCCTCTATATTTTACTTGATAATATCCAGGTCATGATGATGAAGGGGAACCAACGCATTCAAGGTTTGTTGAGCCCTGGCCATTGTGACTCAGTTGGTTGAGCATAGTCCCATGCACCAAGAGGTAGAAGGTCCAATTCCCCTCCAGGGCTGGGTTTTAGGCTCGATTCCTAGTAGGAGGCATGCAAGGAGGCAGCCAATCAATGTTTCTCTCACACATCGATGTTTCTCTTGCACATTGGTGTTTCTCTCTCTCCCTCCCTGTCTCTCAAAAACAACAAAAATCATTAAAAACATACTTACCAAAAAGAAAAAAAGTGTATTGAGGAGCAAGGAGTGACCAGTCATATAATACAGCAAGTGAGGTAAGGAAGAAGACCTCACCATCGGCTTTAACCACATGTAAGTCATTGGTAACATTAGTAAGGAACAGTTCTGTGGAATTTGAGGGGGAAGCCTTGTTGGCCTCAAGTAGAATGGAGGAGAGGTGATAAAGACAGTGGAGTGGTGTTCATTCAACTGTTTAAGGAGATGTGCTGCCATCTCTTTAAATATTTAACATGATATAGTTGTAATGAAATAATAGAATTCACACGATAAATCATGGCTCTTTGTAATTGCCTTAGTGATGCTCCGGTGAGTGAACTGTCCCTTGAGCTACTTCTGCTTCAGGTTGTCTTGCCAGCATTACTTGAACAAGGACACACACGGCAGTGGCTAAAGGGGCTTGTGCGAGCATGGACTGTAACTGCTGGATACTTGCTGTAAGTATAGGGCGGCGACTCATAGGCATATTATATCTGTTAGTGTAATAACCTTTCTTAAAATCTATGTTTTATGTCCCGCTTAGGAAAAATTAGTTTTAATAAGAGAATTTAGTGATATCTGCAGGTATATATAATACTTAATTTGTAAACATTTTTCATTAAAAACACTTTTTAAATCATTGTGCATCCTTTTATGGAGAATGTATGCATGTTTTTATCCTCTTACAGAGGTTTGCTCCTGGCCTAGTTTCATTTCATTACACAGGGTAAAAAAAAAAAGTTTTTTAGTGCGTTAAAAACAAACCAACATACCCTTTCCTCCCCAGTATTTAACTATTTTTATTCTCTGATTTAAAATAGAAAAAAAAGGAAGAAGGGGCATTAGAAATTACTTAATGCTGATACAGGCTTGAAATTCTAGTCAAAGTTAAAACTCATTTTAAAGTTCAACTGAATCATACCCTTAGTTTTAAAAATCTTAACCTGATATGAGCTATTTTCAGGTTTGGTTTCTTAGTCATTTACTTAGCATGTTACATTTTTTTTTTTCAAGCTTTATTTGTTATATACTTATTTAAAAGCTGAATCTTTGTATAAGCTGATGAACAAAATAGATCCAGAAACATTTAAAGGAGTACCGTTGAGATTGACCAACCTCAGAGGAGGGGTGTAGGTGGGAGGGATGAGATAAACCAAAGAACTTACATGCATGTATGCATAACCATTGGACATAGACAACAATGCCAGGGGTGGGTGGAGGGTGTCTAGGAGGGAAAAGGAGAAACATGTAACAAAAATAAATTAATAAAAATTGGGGGAGGGGTGTTGAATCTTTGTGATTTAAACCATTTTTGCCCCAGAAAATATATGGCATTCTATAGATACTTTTATGAGGCCATATGTATTTGGCTGTATTTGATCATTTATCCTTTTCTAACTGTCCTATTCCTTGCCCTGAGACTCCTCCTCCCAACTAATTTTTGCCTTAAATGATCTGTAAATTGGAGGTTTTAGTTGAGATACATGTCATGGCAGACAGTAGCCATCTATAGAGAGGAAAAGAGTTGTTTTTTCCCCCTTAAGATCTTCCTATAGATTATCTTGTACATTGTACTTTTTATTTTTTCCCAGTTACTAATATCTTCTCGGATACTGGCTGAAGAAAATAAATTGAATTTATGGAATATTCTATATGTTAATTAACATTAAATTTGCAAAGGTTTAATTTAAAGTGGGCACCAACATTTAGAAAGTGAGGTAATAGCGCCATGAACAGATTCTACTTGTACATTTTCTACCCTAAATAATAATTATTGAGAAAGTAAATCTCATACCTGCTGTTTACTCTGATCCTGAAGTGACAGTTTTCACTGATGTACTTTTTGCATAGGGATCTGCATTCCTATTTATTGGGAGACCAGGAAGAAAATGAAAACAGTGCAAACCAACAAGTTAACAATAACCAGCATGCTCGAAATAACAACGCTATTCCTGTGGTGGGGGAAGGCCTGCATGCAGCCCACCAAGCCATACTCCAGCAGGGAGGGCCTGTTGGCTTTCAGCCTTATCGCCGGCCTTTAAATTTTCCACTCAGGGTAGGTAATGTATAGACTTAACCTAAAATAAAGGTTTTTCAAATTTCTGTTGAGAAATTTTCGTGCTGTTATTGTTTCTGTTAGGATGTAGTTCTCCTGTATAAACAGGTCTTACATTGTCCTAACAAGAACTCATGTTTTAGTCCTCTTACTATGCAACATAATATATGTTAATGTCAGGTAAGTTTATCAAATTTTTGAGATGGGTCATAGAATTGGGATTTCATGTTCTGTCGCTCCATGCTGTTTGAAAGGAACCCTATAAAAGACTTTAGAGCAAATAAGCCATTAATGTTCTCGATACATTTCAACTATGTATCAGGAACTGGAGTAGGCAGTTCAGTGTTTTTCTCCCATTTAATTCTGGTCCAGTACTTCAAGGCTTGAGTGGTGGTAATTTCATGTTTATATCTGATGGAACTGAAGACCAGATTGGTTAAGGAAGAGCCTGTCTGAGTGAGACATTCCCTACAAACCACCAAATGTGTTCTTGACAAGGGTTGTCAGTGTTGTTAAATCCTATGGTCAGGTCTTGGTCCTCATCTCACTTGCTATATTAGTAGCATGTTACATGATTGGTCACTCCTTGTTCCACAAAGTACTTTTTTGGAAGGTATTCAGGAATCTTCGTGGAGGTGATGCCTGAACCAAGTCTTTAAAGCTAGGAGGCCAGGCAGAGAGAGAGATTGAAGGGAGGATGGGCATTCCAGGCAGGTGTTAGGACAAGAGGCAGGTGAGACTTGGTAGGTTTGAAACTACCAGGAATTATATGTATCTAGAGGATGAGGTGTATGTAGGCAAGTAGTGAGAGATGAGGGGGAGCCTTGAGAGAGGAAGGGGAGCCAAGAGGGATTAGGGGGAGTTTGGAAGGATGGGGGGAGCTGGGAGAAATGGGGCTCTTGGATTGGCAAAAAGTACTTTCTGGCCTAGATCAGAGAGATAATTATTATTATTTTTATCCTCACCCAAATACATTTGCATATATCTTCAGATAGAGTGGGAGGGAGAGAGGGGGGAAGAGAGAGAGAGAAACAGATGTGAGAGAGACACATTGAGTGGTCGCCACCTACATGACCCCAACTGAGTCTGGGGACAAACTGCAACTGAGGTATGTGCCCTTAGTGGGAACTGAACCTGGGACACTCTGGTCAGCAGGCCGACACTCTAACTGTTGAGCCAAACCGGCCAGGGCCAGAGAGAGAAGTATGAATGACTTTCTCAAGCAGTGAAAGCTGACCAAGCCTCACGACTTCCTCCAGGAGTGTTCTTGCTTGTCCTTTTCAGTCTTCCCACTGGAGCTCTGCCTGCTGGGCTTGGGCAGGCTTGTGCCTGGTCTGGTAGAAGGCAAGCAGCAGTCAGTACCTCTCTGCCCAGGGAGCTGTGTGCCATTTTGATCTTCTCAGTACCGGAGCCAGTGGCTGCACGTGGCTGTTTACATTTAAATTTAATTAAAAATGAAGACAGCTTGTGAATATGTGGGATGATAGATATGTTAATTATCTCAATGGTGGAAGTTTCCTCACAATGTAATGTGTCAGGTCATGTGATACACTTTAAATATATTATAGTTTTATTTGTCAACCATATCACGAAGCAGGAAAAAAATACATTTTTTTGTAGGATACACACATAGTAAATACAATATAAGATTTCATGACTCGTGCACATTGACCCCATGTCAAGTGCTCAGTGGCTCCTTTGTTGGAAGTGCAGTACTGTTAGAAGCTTTCCCTTCATGAATAGTTGTTTTTGAGAATTTGATTTAAAAATGAATATTCTTACTTTTAATTAATAGAAAAAATTTAAGCTGATTATATTTTTATTTTTATGCTTTCTGATTAAACATATATTTACTTCTTGCTGATGTATCTGATTATGTGAAAATGGACATTTATTTTCCTTTTGGAGGAAATTATAGGTAATTTTATCTAAAATAAAAATTTTATTTCTATGTAAAATGGAAGGAACTCTGGAAATACCAATACAGATCATTTGTTTTTACTGGGAGAATTATGTTGATTCTTTGAAAGGTGCCATAATAATGCACGGAGCTCATATGAACCATTTATGCACTCTTGTTTTGCCTTGCAGATATTTTTGTTGATTGTCTTCATGTGCATAACCTTACTGATTGCCAGCCTCATCTGCCTTACTCTACCAGGTATGAGCTTATCCTAGCTTTCCACTAATGATGTCATGGAAAGGTACTCTGTTTTAAAAGGGTGTATCTTGCTGAGATATGACCATTCATCAGATATAAAATTGAAATGGTTTTCCTTTTATTTCTGATTGAATATGGGATATTGATCTATTTAGGGTTCTCCATCTCATTGGACTTCGTTGTTTTGGAGCAGGTGGGGACAAAGGATATAATTTGTGATTCATTTTTGGGGGTAAAGTACTTGTGGTTAACAGTTTTCATGGACATTGTCTTATTACAATATGGGTTTTCAAAAAGTCATCTGTGTTTACTTGTGGTTAACAGTTTTCATGGACATTGTCTTATTACAGTATGGGTTTTCAAAAAGTCATCTGTGTGGCTTAAGTCATTTTCTTCAAGCCAACTTTTGATGTTAATTATGTTTGCTGTCATCAAGTAATTCTCTTTTCATTCTACTGCATGCTGTTGCTAGAGGCCTTTATGTAGCCAGCCTGTTTCATTTTTATCATCTGGTATTCACAAGTACTCATCTTTTAGTTTCAGTTAAGCAACATTTCTTTATCTTACATGAAGCTGTAGATGAATATAGTAGTTTGTCATCTCCAGAGGTCAAGGGTAAATGGGGGTGGAGACCAAAATCAGTGAGTGATGAAATGACAGGAACAGCTTGCTGCCCCCACCCTCCTATTTAGTATGTATAGTGAGCCAGAAAATTATAAATCATACTGATAGGTGTTAGGCATTTAAATAATCATTAAGTAGAAGATAATTTTGAGCTCTTGTAAAGCATATAAGTGTTTACTGAGTTAGTGTCATGATTATAATACTAACTCAATATAATTTTATAAATCAAATTTGTATTAATAAGTACTTGATTTTTCCCATGAGGGCTAAGGCTAGGAAAGAGCAACTAGGAAGTGTTAATTTCAGGGGAGGTTTCTAAAATATATATATTTTCTTATTTATTTATTTTAATCCTCACCTGAGAATATTTTTTTCTATCTTCAGACAGAGTGGGAGGGGGAGAGAGAGAGAAACATCAATGTGAGAGACACATCGACTGGCTGCCTCTTGCACTACCCCAACCAGGGACTGAATCGCAACCAAGGTACATGCCCTTGACCGGAATCGAACCTGCGACACTCTGGTCTATGGGCTGATGCTCTAACCACTGAGCAAAACTGGCCAGGGCTATTTTCTTTCCTTTTTTTACATATGGTTTTATTGATTTTTTCGAGAGGGGGAAGGGAGAGAAATGAAACATCTATGTGAGAGAGAGTCATTGGCCGCCTCCTGCACACGCCCTCCTCCCCCCTCCCCGGGATTGAGCCTGCAACCCAGGAATGTCCCTGAACCGGGGATCGAACTGGGACTTCTCAGTCCACAGGGCAATGCTCAATCCACTGAGCCACACCAACTGGGCTATATATATTTTTCCTAATCTGTAGGAATTGTGATCTACCTTAAACTGATAAAAATATTTTTCCTTTATTACTGTTTCTGCATAATAATTTTTGTCCTCTGAACTTTGCTCTTAAGCTCACTACTCAACACAGTTGTTAAAATGATAAAATTGCATTAACCATTAGGTGTAATGTAGTAAACATATTGCTGAGAAAACTTAGGTTTTGAACTTTGTACAGTTTTACATTTATCATTTTTATGTTCTATTTTTGTACTTTATCAGAAATATTTAGAAAATGTTAACAAAAGAGGGAAACCTAGGTTTAGTACTTGAATTTGGCAATAAAAATACTTTTAATTTCATTGAGGATTGTTAACTAAATATTTCTCTGCTAGTCCAGTCCTACCATCTAGTGGAAAGAATGCAGTTATATTTAGTCATAGAAATGCTTAGTGTTATAGTACACATTTAAGGTGGTGAGGATGCAGATTTCCCCCATAGAATACTTTTCTGTAGCTACAATTTAATTGATGATAACTACAAACTAAAACCTAATCCAGTCTATTCGAAAACACTTTTGATTAGAAGTATATGAAGTATGGAATAGAAAATGGCCTTCAAATTTTTGAAAATCAAAAAACCAAAATTCTCAGAGTAGAAATATATATAAACACTAGACATTTTTTTTTTAATCCTCACCCGAGGACATTTTTGCATTTATCTCCAGATAAAGCAGGAGAGAAGGGAGGAAGAGAGAGAGAGAGAAACGTCGATGTGAGAGAGATACATTGAGTGGTTGCTACCCACATGACCCCACCCTGGGCCGGGGACAAACTGAAACTGAGGTACGTGTCCTTAGCTGGTACCAAACCTAGGACTCTCAGGTCCGTAGGCCGATGCTGTAACCGCTGAGCCAAACTGGCCAGGGCAACACTAGACATTTTTACAGAATTGTCAGTGATGATTATTGTATCTTCAAATTAACATGTATATGTGTTCATCTCATGTAACATTTACATGTATTTGTCTTTAAAAATGAAATGATCTTCCCATCCAAGTCATTTGTAAGGCTGCAAAGCAGTTTACTTATCAGCATTATGTTCTATAAGACTTGACAGTTCAACTGGTTTAGTTTTATTGGAGACGGTGTGATTTCATTGGTCAAGAGCATGAGCTAAGTCATGTAGACATGAGTTCAAATTTAACCTCTACCCTTGTGTGACCTTGATTGGGTAAGCTATTGTTGAGCCTAGGTTCTGTGGAAGTAGTAACTACATTGAGGAATTGTAAGGGGGATTAATGAGATAATATATGATAATTACCCCGGACAGCCTTTTTAGGTATTCAAAAATAGCAGATAGTTCTATATTAAGGAAAAGTTGGTTCATAAAAAAATGCATTGTAAATTTAGGTCTTGCTGTTCTCTCTTGTTAAGAAGTAACCATGTAAAGAACATTACTAAATAAATGATTTTGCCTGAGAGTTAATTTTTTGTGTGAGTACACTGAAGAATTTATTTGTAGTAACTCTGTATCTGAGGCTTTGTCTCAGACAACTTTCAAATCTGTTTCCTAAGTTTCAGTATATTTAGGTCCTGATTTTTTCCAAGAAAATTAATGATATTATTTGGTTATTGTGTTTTCAAATGTTGTTGTGCCCATTTCTTATTAAAATAAGCTTAGTTTTCTGTCTAGACAAATAAGTCATTTGAAAGAAATTATTTTAAATTGTTTGTAATGCTTCTAAATGTTAAAAGTATTAACAGCACAAATAATAGGAAATAAATTCTCTAATTTTGTCTTATGTGCATAATGATTTCATTTGGTGATAAAGACAGTGAAAACAACAACCCCCTTAAGATTTTTCAGTCCTGAAAGAACAAGTAGTTGGCATGGCAAGTCAGAATGCATGTCACAGAAGAGCTCGTCCCCAGTGATTAGCTGTGTTTTGGTTATGTTTTAATCAAATAATTGCATTCTTCCGAGTTGGTGAGGTTTATGGGTTTTTTGTTTTGTTCTGGGTTTTGTGTGTGTGTGTGTGTGTTTCCTTTTAATAAAGACAGTGATATATCAAAATGTGTTATCTTTCGACTAATCACTTAAAATGATTGAAAATACCAATAGTACAACATCAACATTAAGGTTGTAGTTCTCTTTTTGTAGCCAAGTGTCTTATTTATCAGCCTTTCTATTTTCAGTATTTGCTGGCCGCTGGTTAATGTCATTTTGGACAGGGACTGCCAAAATTCATGAGCTCTACACAGCTGCTTGTGGTCTCTATGTTTGCTGGCTGACCATAAGGGCAGTGACAGTGCTGGTGGCATGGATGCCCCAGGGACGCAGAGTGATCTTCCAGAAGGTTAAAGAGTGGTCCCTCATGGTAGGTTTTTTCTAAAGACTGATCTTATCTGATAGGAGTAGTGGATATTTTTCAGTTTATTTCTTTAAAACTTTTCACCTTTGTTTCTTCATTATCCAGATAGTGTCATTTCTAAGAGTTATTTCTTGAATTAGAAGGGATAGTTCTTTAATACAGTAGCTTTCTGGTTCATTCTAAGTACTACAGTCAAGTATATTTGAGAGGTAAAAGAAAAATCATGTTATTAAGTGAGCTAGTAAGGCTCTTGAGTAAGTAAGATAATTAGAAAACTTATTTTGGAGATTGACTATATTTGTAAGGAATAAGGTATTCTGTAGAATTTAAAATCAATTTGTTAAAGTAGAAATTTTCTTTAATGATTTTTTTCCCTAAAATTTAATTTTTTGATCTATTTGAATATATAAAATCTTGACTTCAGGATGGAGTTAGTGTTTTTCATATAAATGGGATTTCTTTAATTAGACAGTATATTGCCAATTCAAGAATGTCTTGGTTAATGTAAAAGTGTAGTAAGTAATAGAGATTTTTACTCTTTTTTTCTTCGTTGATTTTTTAAATCCTCATCCGAGGACATTTTTCCATTTTTTTGTTCAGACAGAGTGGGAGGGAGAGGGAGAGAAACATCGATGTAAAAGGGACACATCGGGTGACTGCCTCCCTCATAACCCAGCCAGGGTCGGGGACAAACTGCAACCGAGATATGTGCCCTTAGCGGGAACCGAACCCAGGTCTCTCTGACTGCAGGCCGACGCTCTAACTGCTGAGCCATACTGGCCAGGGCTCTTTATTGATTTTTAGAGAGAGAAAGGCAGAGGGGGAGGGAGAGAGAACATCGATTGGCCACCTCCTGCATGCTCCCCAGTGGGGATCGGGCCCACAACCTGGGCATGTGCCCTGACCAGGAATCAAACTGGCGACCTCTTGGTGCATGGGTCGACACTCAACATCTGAGCCACACCGGCCGGGCGAGATTTGTACTCTTAATAAAGAACTTAATTGCCTCAAAGATGGGGTAAAATGTCACTGTAAGACAGTGGTTCAAGTGGCAATTTATTGATTGTAATGTTGGCCACGACTGGTAAAAAATGTTTAGGTAACTGCTTATGCCTTTTCATTTGTATAACCAACTCTTGTTTTGTATCTGAACTTATATTTTGGTTTCAGTGAAAGTTTAATATCTATTTAATATTAATGTTGAAAGAAAAACAGATTCATTGTGTATTATGAGTGGGAGGGTTTGTTATTTAATCTATAAGATAATGAGACACAACTATATTTAAAATACAGAACCAGCTAATTCTAGTTTTCTTTTGATATTCTTTCATATCATCAATTTGCCATGTAAAGGAATAAGTACTGTGTCTTCATGCACACCATATTATCTCTTATTGAAACATGTACTCACTTAGGCTATCTTAAGATAAGGGAGGTCATCAGACATCAAGGCCACTTTAAAGACTGATCTGTTGTCAGGATTTCATAATGGCTCTTTCATCTTATCTCTTTTTTCTTTGTGTAGACTTTATTTTCATCTTACCACTTTGTCTAAATTCTAGAGCTGCACTATTTAATACAGTAGCCATGTGGCTAATGGCTACCATACTGGAAAATGCAGATATAGGACATTTCTATCATCATAGTAGGTTCTGCTGGACCATACTGTTCTAGAGGAAGCCACTTTGATCAGCTTGATTAATTACCTTAATTAGGCCTCTGCAGAGCCCTTTTCTTATACCAGTATATCTCAGGGGTCATAGGTCAGCTTGTGGGTGGGTCAGCATGGGATCAGAGGCCTGGGACAATCAGTAGCTTTTCCTAGACAAACAGAAGCCTACTACTGAGAATGAGATTGAGAAAAACAACAGAGCCACCTGGTTAATATATGTAATAAAAAGAATTTCTATACGTTTGTAGCAGCAAAGTATACTAATAACATGTTTTCATTATAGCTTGAGCTTTGATAGTTATATATTCAAATCTCATTTAAGCATGTAGCATGAAGCGTGTTTAAATTGTTTAAGGTAATACATTCATTCTTTTAGACATAAGGTCAAAGAAGAAAAATAACCTTCCAAATGAAATGAAGAGCTTGGCTAAAAAGTCAGAAAAACTTTCATTAACAACATGGCCTCTCTTTTCTTAATAGATAATGAAGACTTTGATAGTTGCAGTGCTGCTGGCTGGAGTTGTCCCGCTCCTTCTGGGGCTCCTGTTTGAGCTGGTTATTGTTGCTCCCCTGAGGGTTCCCTTGGATCAGACTCCTCTTTTTTACCCGTGGCAGGTCAGTGCGTGTCTTTTGCACATGATAATTCTTTACAGATTTGGCATCTGAAAAATCCTTAATTTAAAAAAAAATTTTTTTTAAGTGATTTAAAGCATTTTGTTTAGAAAGACTCCGTAATTTTTTCTATTTCAGGAACTTTTTTTTTCTTTATTGATTTTAGAGAGAGAGGAAGGGAGAGGGGGAGAGAGAGAGAAACATTGATGAGAGAGAACATTGATTGGCCACCTCCTGTATGCCCCCAACTGGGGATTGGGCCCACAACCTGGGTATGTGCCCTGACTGGGAATGGAACCGGCAACCTCTTGGTGCCTGGGTTGACGCTCAACCACTGAGCCACCCTGGCCGGGCTATTTCAGGAACTTCTGTAATATTGATTAAATAATGCATTTTATTCTGTGGTTTTCAAAGTATGTAGGTTATATATAAGTTCTTTAGACCTTATGTTATAGGTTAAAATGTCACTATTCATTTAGGCTTTACCAATATTTAAAGATACAGACCAGCGTGTGTTGACCTTTTTACCTTTAGGGTAAAATAGCTTGCTCCTTTGGCTTTGAGACTTTAAGCAGTAACTTATACTTCTGAATAATTACAGCATGTTATCCCGCAAAGTCAAAAGAGCATTTTGAGGGAACGTATGTAGGTCACAGCAAAAGTCTTAAAGCTTATGGAAAAAGACATTTTAACTTTTCTGTAGTACTTAGAGCCTGAAGTTAATGTCATAGACCTCAAGTTTTTAAGAGATATTAGGGGAAAGAGCTAGGCATTAACTTTAGTCATTCAAAAGCTTTTCAGCCTTGTTCTTACCTCCTCCTAGTACATTACAGTGGATTTTCTGGAAATGAAAATTATTTGGTATGTTTTTCTCTTCCTCCACTTTCCAGATAAGGAACCTCTACAAACTTTATTAAATAGCAGATATATACTTGACTATATGAATGTGTGTCAAGACCCTGTACTGCATAACTCAGATGGAAATGAGGCTAATGCAGGAGCTTCTTAAGGACCTTACAGGCTGGTGGAAAAGATTGACAAGGACACATGTAGACTGTGCCGTGACTGGGGCAAGCACAAGGAGTTATGTCACGTAGGAGAGGTATTTAACCAGCTTTGGGAGTATTCTGATAATGGTTGTCTGTAGGAGATAATGTCTAGGACAGCCTAATAGAGTAGGGAGGAGTGGGTAAAAAAGGAAGAAGTGTTCTAGGAAGCACCTCAGAGTGAGCCAGAGGATATGTATGTAGTGAACTGCCTCTAATCCAGTGTGCTCATAAGTTAGAATAGGAGAGAAAAGTGAGCAGGAGAGGGAAGTCATTAGGCATATGACATGCCTGTCTGAGAGCTGTATTGCAGTGTAATCAAATTGCATTAGTGTTGGAAGGAAATGACACCAGATAATAAAGGTAGAAAGACTAACAGCATTAGAAGATCATTGTTTTGTGATAGTTAACAAAAGAATTGAGTTCAGCAAAGATTGTTAGTGAATGCTGACCTCATCAGATGAAAATTGATAGGTCTTCAGTTACTGTTTCTATGTAACAAGTTAATTTACACTTAGTGGCTTAAAACTGCCATTTATTTTGTCCAAAGAACCTGAGGGTCAGAAATTAAGACAGGACATATGACCTTGTCTCTGCTCCATGTTATCTGGGGCCTCAGCTGAAAAGATTCAGTTGCTGAGTGATTTGACAGCCCTGGCTGGAATCATTTGGAGACGTCATCACTCACTGAGGGTCAGTGCTGGTTGTCAATTGTACCCCATCTGGGCTGTTGGTTGGAGCCACTGGATGTACCTGGACTTCCTCACAGCTTGGTAGCCTCAAGGGAGTGGGGCTTCTTACATTTTGCTTCAAGGAAATGAGTGTCCCAACCAGTAAGGCAGATGCTGCATTTCCTTTAGGACTACATCTCAGATGTCCTGCAGCCTTATTTTTTTCACTGTATTTTATGGAGAATAAGTAACAGGTCAGTCCAGTGAAGGCAAGGGGTAGTAGACCACCTACCACTCGATGGGAAAAGAATTTGTTGGCATGCTTTGGCACCATCACAATGCAGAAGTGATTATTTGCCTCGTGACACAGTATTACCTTACAGATTACTTGATAGTCTCAAAGGGAAACACACACCTTTTCAGTGGAGGGATCAGGTGGTTGTTGCCTTGACCCAGTGATCGCCGCAAATGCATCAGACAGGTAGTATGTGCTTCCTGGGGTCATGCAAGATGTAGCATTGAAGAAGAGCAAGGTAGTCCCAACATCCAGGAGCTGGCCTGGCACTATCAGCTAGGCCTTGGTGTTCTGTTGGGCATAAACAGTTTCATAGAACTTTCAGCATTACATAAGATCACTCTAACCATGATGGATCAAGACAAAAACAAGATCCTGCCATAATCATGTCTGAACACAGGTAAAATGTGAGTATTGTTCAAACCACAACAATGACCAAATATTTCTGGTCCTGGCAAACATGATTAGCTGCTGCTTCATCACCAATACAGGTTTAGCAGTCTGTTCCTCAGTCATTTATTAAGATACCCGATTATAGATCCTCTACTTTCTAATAACATCTGACACAGAACAAAGCCCTGCTTCCTCAAATCCTCCCCAAATCACCTCACATAAGCCCAAATCCTGTATCAAACCCTTCTTAACATACTGTTACTAAGCACCCCCAGTTCCCCATTCTGTGTTCTCCCTCACCTCAGTGAGTAGTAAATGCAACTTGTTCGGTTACATGTGTGTTCTTGGTGGTCTTGACAGTACCCAGCATTGTCACCTTGGAGACTTATTTGAAACTATCCAATTTCAAGAATGATTATATGTTGTGACCCAGCAGTTTCATTCTTCAGAATCTGCTGTGAAGAAACATTTACATACGTGAATGTAGAAGGGGGCAAGAACAAGGCTGTTTCTGCTATTCTATCATTTTTTATAATGTAAAAAAAATTAAAAGCAACCCAGATGTCCACTAATAGAGTGACTAAATAAAATGGTAAACCTTTGCTTTGGAATTCCGTGTTGCAGTTAAAAGAATGAAGTGGAGCCCTGGCCAGTTTGGCTCAGCAGTTGAGCGTTGGCCTGCCGACCAGAGAGTCCTGGGTTCGGTTCCTGCTAGGGGCACGTACCACCAAAAAAAAAAGAAAGACTGAAGTAGAACTGTGTTTTTATATAGGTATCTCTCAGATACATATTTTTAATTCTTAAATTAGTTAAAAATTTTATGTATTATTTCTTGATTTTAGAGAGAGAGAGGGAGGGCGAGAAAGAGAAACATCTATCTGTTCCACTTATTTATGCATTCATTGGTTGATTTTTGTATGTGCCCTGACCCAGGATCGAATCCACAACCTTGGTGTATTGGGATGACCCTCTACCCAACTGAGCTATCTGGCAGGGCTCAGATATGTTTTTGAATAGGGGAAAAACACAAGTTGTAGACAGATATGTGCAGCATGGTGTCCTTAATATTAACATTATGGACTTTGAAAGCAGAACAACTTGCTTTTTCTTCATTCTTAACTTTAAGCTACTTGCTTTTCCTACATCAAGCAGCTGCAGATCTGTGGGAGACTGAGGAATTCTAGCAGAGGAGCTAGTGTGTGTCCTGCCTGTGGGAAAAGACTGGAAAGCAGTGGATCTTGAAAGAGTTTGAACCTCAGTGATCTGTGTACCTCCTCAGTGAGGCATCTCCCACAGTGAGGAGACTGGTGTGGGAGTGGAGGTTCTAGTAACAGTTCAGCAGAACTGTGAATGCACCAAGCTAGAAGCTCTCTGTGAGCCTTTGGGATGGTTTCCTTAGGCCAAGCATGGCTTCACATGTTGACATAATCAGCTCAGCTAAAGCCAGTAAAACAGCCTAAGAATGGTTTGATGAAATAAAATCATGGCACTATTTTATTTATTTGCTCTTTGTGATTTCCATGAATGTTTATACTCCTAATTCTCTTGGGGAAATAATGTAGATTTCTGAAAGATCCAAAAAAGATTTTTGATAGAAATGTTGATCTTGAGCCATTGAGGAAAAAAAATTTCCTGTATTTTCCAGCATGTTAGTCTTCTATAAAACTCTTACTCATCCTGCAGGACTTCTGTTTTGAATGAAATAATTAAGAAAATTATATGGCCTCTATGTTGGGTTTATTGCTAAAAAGAACAAAAAATCTGTTAAATGTTATTTAATCAATCTAGGACTGGGCACTTGGAGTCCTGCACGCCAAAATCATTGCAGCTATCACATTGATGGGCCCTCAGTGGTGGTTGAAAACTGTGATTGAGCAGGTAAGCAAAATAATTTTTCTGAAAAAGACTGGGAGTAACAGTGATTACGTTTAGCTGATGGGACTCATTTTTCATTTTTTAACCTTTCTGAGTTTTCTATGTTTTATTTAATGAGTATATATAACTCTTTTTTATTTTATTTTATTTTTTGGTATGTGCCCCTAGCGGGAACTGAACCCGAGACTCTCTGGTCCGCGGGCTGACGCTCCAGCCGCTGAGCCAAACCGGCTAGGGCTATATAACTCTTTTTTAAAAGGAGAAGTCAGCCCTACTGGTTTGGTTCAGCAGTTAGTGTCGGCCCGCGGACCAAAGAGTTGCAGGTTCGATTTCGGTCAAGGGACATACCTTGGTTTTGGTTCAGTCCCCAGTCCTGATTGGGGTTCTGTGGGAGGCAACCAGTTGATGTGTCTCACATCGATGTTTCTCTCTCTCTCTCTCTCTGTCTGTCTGAAAATAAATGGAAAAATATCCTCGGGTGAAGATTTAAAAAATAAAAATAAAAAAAATAAGTCAGTTTGCTCTTTTATCACCATGAATTTTCATTGTCCACTCAAGATTCCCCTTATCTGAAGGTTAACCAGTAGTTTAAAGAACCTAGAACCTTATCCAAAGTAAAGGCAGAAATTAGCATATGTGCTTTATTTCAGGGCAGGTGTTCTGATGGAGGCTTATTTAGGTTTCTAAATCTGTAGTAGGGGAAAAGCTATTGTTCAAGGCAAAAAAAAAAAAGGCAGAAAAAACAATATATTAAAAAAGCAGAGCTGTTTGGGGATATTCTAGCTATATAGCACATAAGAGTGTTTTTGCGTTATGGAACTTTCAGATAATTTGGTCATTGTGGTGATAAAATCTTTAAAAAGAAATTGTGCTTCTGTATTCTGATAGTAAGCTAGGAAATATACAGTTCATTTTAGGAAGATTTCTATCTAGAATAGCCAACATAACAGATTTTGGTACTTAAGTTTTAATTATCTAGAAAATGTTCTGTGGACAGTCTTCTTATCCTTATCCAGTGTCAAATAAAGTGTTACAGTTCTATAGCAGTAAAGGTACACCTCCTCTTGATGAATAGGAAATAAAGGCAGTAATTTTCAGCCCAGTCTGCGTAAGAAAATGGTAAAAAAAAAAAAGTGCTATACCTGGAGATTTGTAGGGGTGGGGAGGAGCCAGGGAATTGCTGTGTGTTTGCATGCATCCCTCAAGTGTGGGCTTGTTCTGTAAGTGCTCCGAAGTGAGGTGGGTTGTGGGTGCATGGCAGCATATCCTTTCATGGTAGGAGCGTGGGCACTCCACTGTAGAGTTTCCACGTAAGACTCCTTTGCCCTTGCAGAGGAATATGGAGAATAAGGGTTTAATCACAGCTGGAGGCTGTGAAAGCATAGTTGATCTTTGTAAAATTTTGCTTGATGATGCATTCTTTCCTCATACATATGTGTAAGTTTAAAATGGTTAAGAAACACTGGGATTCCCTGCTGCATGACTATAAATGCATTTGGGTTAACTAGGTTTTTTTGGAATCAGAAACTGCCTGTAGGGTGTTAAGCCAGTTTGTTCTCTCTGGCTCTCTTCTCAAGGATGGAGTGAGTTGTACCATAAAGTATGACTATGGGTCAGGTGAGGTTGAAGTGCTGGAGAAAAAACAACAGTAGCCGTTTTGTCCTTCTCTGCACACCATCTTTATTTCCATTATTCCCAAGGTTTTCCCACTTTCATCCACTCTTTCCTCTGTAGTACTGTCTAATAGAACTTTCTGGGTAAGATTATGGAAATGCTCTAGAAATTTTTGAATTAAAAAATATTCACTGTAGAATTTTTATATACTACATTTTTATATAAATACCTTTGATTTATTAAAATATTTATACAGGATTTTCGGAAATATGTTCTTTGTTTACAATGTTTTTTATATTCAGATGAAATGAATGCAATCTTGAGTAGTAACAGATAACTTATGAAGATACTTCAAGTTAATGTGGTCTTAAACTAATCTTACTGGATGCCATCTGGTATTGTATAGATCAAGGCTAGTGTAATTGTGATTCTAAATTAGTGTCGTATTATTTCCTCTCTTAGAGTTCATTGCAAAATGTAAATGCATTTCTTTAAAAACTTGTGGGCACCATACTTATGTTTGTGTTCCAGAATTTGCTTTGACTTTGGAAAAAATAAGCAGTTTGAATTCAAACTTTGGGGCTGTTAGAATCAACTTCCTGAAGCATGGATTCAGTAGAGATTGCTCTGTTAACTTGGATGAATTGTTTTATATTCTTGTTCTGATATTTCCCCCCATTTCTCAGGTTTACGCAAACGGCATCCGAAACATTGATCTTCACTATATCATTCGTAAACTGGCAGCGCCTGTGATTTCTGTGCTCTTGCTTTCCCTGTGTGTACCTTATGTCATTGCGTCTGGGGTCGTTCCTTTACTAGGTGAGTCATTCTGGCTGGGGAGCTGAGAGAGCACCTTTATTGACATCATTACGTTGTTGTCACTTCTGGTGTCATAGGTTGGCTGGCTCCAAATGCTTTATTTGTAAATATAAAAGCTAAAACAATGATTTCAAAACAACACTTTTCTTTTTTTTTTAATATGTTTTGTTACTGATTTTTTAGAGAGAGAGTAAGGGAGAGAGAGATAGAAACATTGATGTGAGAGAGAGAGATCAATTGGCTATCTCCTGCACATCCCCTGTTGGGGATCAAGCCCATAACCCGGGCATGTGCCCTTGAGCAGGAATCAAACTGGGACCTCTCAGTTTGTGGGACGATATTTTATCCACTAAGCCACACTAGCCAGGCAGGCCAAAAAAAAACCTTTTACTGAGATTTAACTACTGAGAGCACGACTAAGGATTGTGAAGCCTTTGGTAGTTTTTTCTCTAGGCAGATGAGAGAGCGTTGACCTTTATACTGCCCCCCAAAATAGGCAGGAACAGATTTCCTTCAAGTTGTCTTCTGGCCAGAAGTGCTATGATTACATACTTATAAAATTAAGGACATGTTATATAATTAATTTAAAATTTTTCTTTAGCATAAAAGGAAGACCAAAGAGGAGATGCTAATTTGTGACATTTCATCAACTAGAAATGATCAGTTTTGTACTGAAGAACCCTCACAGGACCTTAAACCCAGCATGTGTTCAAAAGTATCAGCACAAAGTTTTCCCCTTCAAATCGTTTTCTTCTGACTTCACTCATAGTAACTAGTGTTACAATCCAACAACTTGTATGAGTCAGAAACCTTGAAGGGCATTCATGTTACCTGAGGCTCTCTGCTCCCTATACTCAAATGGTCAAGTCCCACTGACCCGACCTCTGGAACCCATTCTCTCATTTCTGATGCCTTACCCGTGGCTCATTGAGCTGTACATATCTCTCACCTTAATAGCAGCAGCCTCCTGTCTGGTTTCCCTGCTTTGACAAGTATTTCATTCTCTATGCTGCGGCCACAGTAACCTTTCATAAGAACGAATCTCGTCATTTCTCTTTAGTGAACATCCTTTCTTTGGTTCCTCTGTGGCCTTTAGAATATAATCCAGCTCTTAGGCTTAGTTCAGAGGCTCCTCCTCGGGCTCTCGTTTGACCTCACTTGTTGCCTCACTTCACTTCATACGTGATGAGTTTTCAGTTAAGCACCACTAATCAGTCCCCTCTTCTTAGTGAAAGGACATATTTTTATTTCACTGCCATTCCATATGCACTTAGAGTTTTCCTTTTTTGATTTTACAGGTGTTACTGCGGAAATGCAAAACTTGGTCCATCGGCGGATTTATCCATTCTTACTGATGGTTGTGGTATTGATGGGGATCTTGTCCTTCCAGGTCCGCCAGTTTAAGCGCCTTTATGAACATATTAAAAATGACAAGTAAGTCTAGACTTCCATTCATCTAGCCACTCTTGTTAGGATTTCTCATTTGTTAATATTTGTGTCTAATGTGATAAATCATAGGAGGGAAAATTGCTTAGATTCTGGATGTATTTTGGGGTAGAATTAATAGAATTTGGTAAGAAATTGGATGAGGGTGTGAAAGAGAGTGTTATCAAAGACTGTGGGACCAAGCAACTGGTAATAGGAAGTTGTCATGTAGATCAGCAAGTTTCAACCGGTATGCTGTAACAGTTTTTAAAACATGCAACACCTGACTATTTAGTCAGGGGCACTAACCTCTTTTCCCTTAGACTGTCAAATAAAAAAATGACAGCAGCCAACACAACAATAGCTATCTGGTGTGAATGAATAAAAATTATACCTATTAGAAATTTGTGTGTGTCATGAGATGAAAAATGTTGAAAATTGCTGATGTAGGTGAAAAGACTGGGAAAAACTGGGTTGGGGAGGAAGATTTTTTTAATGCCCATTTCATATAGTTTTCAAATGTTTTGATCTGATAATATATTAAATAGTTTGATATAAAAAGGAGCCATTAGGAATTAGCAGTACCTGCCTAAGCCTTTCTTTGTAATCAAGAGCCATTAGGTTTACTCTGACCATTGCTGAAAGATGCTACAAGGTTACTGTAAAAGTGTTAAGCTCTCTGTTTTAAGGAAGCTTTTGTGACCTCACCTCACTGAAAGATTGAGGACAGCCAAGGATAACAGCTTTCGGGGATAATAGCCATTTGACAGTCCATGTCCTTATCGGAGGCTGAATCTTGTTCTGCTTTAATCGTGTCTAGCAAAGAAAATGTGTTTGTAACTATTCATCCTGGTTTGCCCGGAGAGTCTCAGTTTACACGGGCTACCTTCGTGTCATCATTAACAGTAGCCCCCGTTTGGACAACAGATTATGTGCTCACCTTATTTACTCTGAGGACTCATAAGAGTAATATTTTTAAGAATGAAATTTATAGTGTCTTAGGCTTCTCTGAAGCATTGACTGACAGTAGAAAACACATTTGTACTTTTTTCCTAATTTTTAATTAAGATGACTTTATCATGTTGAAGCTATATATTTTGATATTGGACAAAATTGAGAGGATCTGTTCTACCAAAAGAATTATTTTAACAAAAACAGAGTAAATGCATGACGGTGTTCTTTTGTCCACATCCTTGCCAACATATGTTATTTGCTGACTTTCAAAAAACACTTCTTTCTTTATTTATTTATTTATTTATCCTCACCCGAGGATATTTTTCCATTTTTTGTACAGATAGAGTGGGAGGGAGAGAGAGGAAGGGGGAGAGAGAGAGAAACATCGACGTGAAGGGACACGTCGAGTGGCCGCCACCCGCACGACCAACCAGGGCCGGGGACAAACTGCAACCGAAGTACGTGCCCTTAGCGGGAACCGAACCCGGGTCTCTCCGGACCGCAGGCCGACGCTCTAACTGCTGAGCCAAACTGGCCAGGGCACTTCTTTATTTTTTAATGTATTACAGATGTTCCCCCTTTTTCCCCCATTGACCCCCTCCTTTCCTATCCCGCCCCCCTTCTGCCTTCCCCACACTATTGTTTGTGTCGATTGGTTATTCATATGTGCATATAAGTTCCTTGGTTTATCTCATCCTGCCCTCCCTTCCCCCTACCCTTTGAGGTTCATCAGTCTAACAATATGTACTTCTCAATTCCTTCACCTTTTTTACCCATTCCCCCAGCCTCCTCCCATCTGGCCACCAACAAAAAATTATCTGTATCAATGAATCTGTTTCTGTTCAGCTTGTTCATTTGGTTTATAGATTGAATTGTTGATAGATATGTATTCACTACCATTTTATTGTTCATAGTTTTGTTCTTCTTCAAGAAGATCCTTCAACATTTCATATAAACTAGTTTGGTGGTGATTAACTCCTTTAGCTTTTTCTTGTTTGGGAAATTCTTTATATGTCCATCAATTCTAAATGATAACTTTGCAGGATAGAGTAATCTTGGTTGTAGGTCGTTGCTTTTCATCACTTTGAACATCTCTTGCCACTTTTTTCTGGCCTGCAAAGTTTCTTTTGAGAAATCAGCTAACAGTCTTATGGGAGCTCCTTTGTAGGTAACGGACTGCCTTTCTCTTGCTGTTTTTAAGATTCTCTCTTTGTCTTTAACCTTTGGCATTTTGATGATGATGTGTTTTGGTGTGGACCTCTTTAGGTTCATCTTGTTTGGGACTCTCTGTGCTTCCTGGAGTTGTATGTCTGTTCTTTCACCAAGTTAGGAAAGTTTTCTGTCATTGTTTTTTCAAATAGGTTTTCAATTTCTTGCTCTCTCTCTTCTCCTTCTGGCCACCCCCATGATGCAAATGTTGGCACGCTTGAAGTTGTCCCAGAGGCTCCTTACACTATTCTCCTTTTATTGGATTTTTTTTTTTTTTTTTCTGTTTGGATTTGGTGTTTTTTGTTTCTTTGTATTCCGATGGTTTGTTTCTTGGCTTTACCTACTCTACTATTGATTCCCTGTAAATTATTCCTTATTTCAGTTAGGGCATCCTTCATTTCTGACTGGTCCTTTTTTAAGTTGTTGATGTTCTCACTAAGTTCCTTAGAGTTCTCTTAAGTACCTTGAGCATCCTTATAACCAGTGTTTTAAACTGTGCATCTGATTGATTGCTTATCTCCATTTTGTTTAGTTCTTTTCCTGGAGTTTTGTTGTTTTCTTTCTTTTGGGACATGTTTCTTTGTCTCCTCATTTTGGCTGCCTCCCTGTGTTTGTTTCCATGTATTAGGTAGAGTTGCTATGTCTTTTAGGCTACGTAGGGTGGCACAGCCTCCCTCATCACTCTGGCTGGGCCCTTGAGGTGCACCCTTAGTTGTAATTGAGTCTTGATTGCTGTTGGCATGTCAATGGGAGGGATTTACTCAGGCTGATCAGCTGTAGGGACTCGCTGTGCCCACTGATCACAGGCCTCTGACTACCTTGGAAGATCAGCTGTGTAGGGTCCCACCACATAGAACAAGACTTACTTCATCAGGGCTGTGGTATCCACTGAGTCCATTCATTGAGTGTGTCTCTTGTGGCAGTGGTTGGGTGATGGTGCTTCAGTGAGGTCTGATGAAAAGACTGTCCACTGGGTGTGCTGGGTCTGGGGCAAGGTTAGCCACTGCTTGTATTCTACCTGGGGCCACCAGGCATAAACTACAAAGTGATCTGCCGATGGCTGCTTCTTGTGCTGGGCTTGGAGGTGGCAGTCTTGATGTAGCTTCTTTAATTTTGTAGTTGTAGGATTTCCATGCAGCTCAATTTCAGGTGGTTCTGAATGATGGTTCTGTAGTTTAGTTGTAATTTTTATGTGGTTGTGGGAGGAGGTGAGTACCGCGATTGCTTATGCCGCCATTTTGACCGACAAGTACACTTTTAGATGGTCAGAGTACCAAATTCTGTCAAACGTGAAAGAAGGGGGTGGTGGGCTCCCATGATGAAAGTTTATTTTCTCACTTCACTTGTTTTGGCAGGGTCTTACTGGGCACTCCTTGATCTGCACTGATGCTTCCAAATGGTATGGTACTTCACACTTGTACCAGAGTCTGCTCCAGCTCTTTGCCATCAATTTTGTCACCCACTGGTTTCCAGGGGTCAAGCTCTAGGCCATTCCCTCATGTTTAGTGAGGCACATCACTGCTTCTTTTTGGCAACCTGACGATGTTATGGGGATGCCTTGTCCCGGTGGTGGAACTTCAGTTCTTGTCATTTCAACCACAGTTACTTCTGTCTCTGTTTCTGCTGTCTTGCACTCTTGGCCATAACCTCCCTGTCAACATGTCACATGAGTTAGGAACACTTCATATTCTACTTTTGGAACGACACTCCTTGCCTTCTATCGCTTGCATGCACTCACTTCTCTGCCATCTCCTCTTTGATATCATTGAGATCATTGTCCCTTGATTTCTCCTTTTCTTTACAACTAGATTTGTTCAAGTTCTACTAAAATGGGTAGGGTAGGTCCCCACTACCCAGCTTTCTGATTATTGTATTTCCAGTCCATTTCTTCAGATCTGTCCACTGAGCTGCTTCATAAAATATGATCCATACAGATAAATCCCTTGCATAAGTTTACTCTGCCTTACCCTCCTCTGGCCTCTGAGTGTATGAGTCCACGAGAAGCCCTAACCTATGGATTGGGACGTGTGCCCCATTGTACACATCTGAGCCTTCTGACCTGTGTTGCTCAGGACTTCCCACACACCTGCCCCTCTCCGTAAGGTGCCTGCTTTTGTGCCTTTGGCTGGTGTTCATTCTAGACTCCAATTCTACCTACCTAACTATGGAAGTAGGATGGAAGTGATCCGATTTGCTTTTTTTTTTTTTTTCATCATCCTCACCCGAGGACATTTTTCCATTTTTTGTTCAGGTAGAGTGGGAGGGAGAGAGAGAGGAACAGAGAGAGAGAGAGAAACATCGACGTGAAAGGGACACATCGAGTGGTTGCCACCTGCACGACCAACCAGGGCCAGGGACAAACTGCAACCGATGTACGTGCCCTTAGCGGGAACTGAACCTGGGTCTCTCCGCACCGCAGGCCAATGCTCTAACCGCTGAACCAAACCAGCCAGGGCCCGATTTACATTTTTAAAAATGTATAACTGACTGCTTTTTGGAAGAATGTTTTAATATATAAGACCATATTAGAGTAACCACCCTGTTTTTACATCCTAGGTACCTTGTGGGCCAACGCCTTGTGAACTATGAACGGAAATCTGGCAAACAAGGTGCATCTTCGCCACTTCCACAGTCGACCCAAGAATAAAATGGTTGTCTCAACTACCTTGACCTTCCCCTTGCCTTTACATGTCCTTTTCTGTGGACTTCTCTCTTTGGAGATTTTCTCCAGTGATCTCTCAGCATTGTTTTTAAGTTAAATGTATTTGACTTATGTTCTCAGAATTTAGAGAGAGCAGCAGATTAAGTTGCTGCCTTCTTGCATCTTCTGACATCACTGCTGTCTGAGATCTGTATATGTGTACATAGAAGTTCCTGGATACCCTAAAACCTTGGATTAAACAGAATGTGCATTGTACATCTTTAAACAAATGTATATTAATTTATTAAATCTAGTTGTCACTTTATTTTGGACCTGCTGTGATCTCGACAGGAAATGTGCCACAGAGCCACAGTGCGGAGGCGAGACTTACTAATGACGTCTCTTGGAGCACAATGTCATGGTGTTCCTAGCAGTTCTTATTAAGTAAACTGTACATTCTGTCTGTCTTGGCTGTTGAGACCTTACCAAGAACATAAAAGGAAACAAATAGGAATCAGCAGTGGAGTGTCTGTGGTAAGAAAACATGAACTTTGTGCTTCACTGTCTATCATTTTTGGAAGTTATTTGTATAACACCAAAGCTGTTGTACATTTTCTACTGCCGGATTTTTTTTCACGTGTTTCTGTTTGTAATATTGTATAGTATCTGTCTTGTGCTAGGTGAGGAAATTATTTTTAATTTTGATAATTTAATATTCCTAGTGATTAGCATTGGGAGTTGGGTTTTTGTGCTTGTAGGGGCATGCCTATACTTAGAAGGAAAAAAAGTCCAAAAGAAGATTTTCATTTGTCCCCTCACCCTCCTTTTTCCCACACACAGGTATCTTTTTTTTTCTGTTTTGGCAGCAGTGGCCAAAAGTCACGCAAGATGATAAGTCTTACAGAAGAATATTACCGATGATCTTACTGGAGTTAGGAGATACTGAGGTGTTCCTGAAATGCAGAGTTGGTTTGTGGTCTGAGATCGACAGCATTAGAAAAGACTGGTTAGAAAACGGTCCTGCTGGTTACTGCATCATTGGGTGAGGGTGAGGGAGTACATTTCTCCTAGTTTTCCATGAGAAAATCCCACGGTTTCCAAAGCTTTTTGTTTACAGAATAAAACTACAAACAAAACCAAATTGATTTTATTTGTCCAGAAGGAACCTGGCTGAGTTGGCAGTTTAATATATGAGTGTAGAATGTATTTCATTGGAAATGTGCTGTAAAATCTCAGAGAACTAAACATGCAAACTTGGTTTTCCCTTATAACCAAAGCTTCAAGTAGAAGTTTAGAGAAATAGAATGGTTGGGCACATGATCTAAGTATTTAATGGTAATGGTTTATTGTAAGGGTAGTGTTTGTTTTTTCAACAATAATCCAAAAGTTCTCCGAGAATATGAACAGCATAGGTCTTCAGAAACCATATAAGAATTTCCATATAGTATTAAAACCCATAGACTAAAATCTGAGGATATTTTAAATATGAAAGTCAGCCAAACATAAGCTACCAGAATCAAAAGCAACATGTCTAGTTGTTTTATAATTCAATAAATTTTCCCCCAAATGGTAAGCAATTACTTTATATTTTAAGACATCAGTATCCAAAAAAAAAAAAAAAAGCTTGACATAGGATTCAGTGTTACACTTTTTGGCACTTTGCAGTAGGCCTTTCTCTTGTATTTAAAATAAGGTCTTCGCGAGCCCTGCCTTCACTTAGACATTTAGTCCTACTGTAAAAAATAAGGAGCATTTTAAAACATAATACCATCTTTCATGGTATATGTCTATACAAATAGAGAAGTATACTATCAAATTTGGCATATAACTTGATTATATTAATTGAGGTCTCTCTGAATTTTTCAGAGAATTTGTAGATCATTGGAATATATTTATCTGTTTAGCAGAAAGATATAGGCAGATACCACAAAAGACTAAAAATTGTTATTCTACAAAATTTTAAATGAATCTTACCAGATGTTTTGTTTTATATATCTATGAATGGCCAAAAGTTGCCCTCCATTTCACTTGCAGATAACTTTATCTTGTCTTACTTAATGATGTCTTCTAGTTTTTCGGGTGTGCTTTGTCCTGTTTTCAAAAAGATGAATACTTTCATAGGAAAGCACCTGCTGGCATACTATTTACATGGGTAGCATCAAGATTTTATTAACCAGTTAACTTACAGATATTTAAAATCTCTAGTTCAGAAAGTGCTAGTATTACTTACTGCCCTTCATGTAGAATTTAGAATTTATTTTTAATAATAGTGTAGTTTTACTTCATTTTACATTGGGTTAAAACAGTCTTCAAGGAAGTTAATTAGGAAAGAAGGCCTTTTTGCTTTACTTTTGCTATTTATAAATTGAAGACAAATCAACATTTAGGGTAAGTTTTACATGACCAGTTACCAAATGGTCATAGTATGAGGTGTGCAGTTGTTTATTACTAGCAAATTATGTTTGATTTTTAAACTATTAAGTACTAAAAGTTGAGATGAAAACTGAAGAAAAATGCCAGTGTAAAGTTAGCTTTAAAAAAGCTACATTTTTAAAGGTGATCTTTTCCTGTTAGTTCTTTGGAGAAACAGTAGGGATTGGACATCTCAATTCCAGATGTAAACAAAGGTAATTTTTTATTTCAACATTTAATATAATTGTTATTACTGTGGATTCTTAACTTGTGTTTTTTTCTTGCCCTTATTCAAGTAATAGAGAATAGTTTTTTCTCAAATGATTTGATCTTAGATATATAATTTCTGTACTGGCAAAATGCTATCATTAAAGTGTAATTCTTGAATTTAGGATGAATTGATGACTTTTTAAAACAATGCAAAGAAGCACTGGACAGTTCTACATTGTATTTTGTTTACACACATACACGCACGCGCACGCACGCGTGCATGAGAACGTAGCACCAGAATATGAACATTGGCACAAACTTTGCAAGTTAGCTTCTTATTCTCATGTTCAGGATTATTTTAAGCTCTCTACTTACTGTGATACATTTTTTACATTGTGAAATTAAATGATTATGTGTAAAATACTCCTTTAGAATGGTACCTAATGAGTCACAATCAAGAAAAGACTAAAGTAAAATGCCTTACCACTGAAGTATTATTAAAAGCCTCATTTGCGGAGGTTCTCTGACTTACTTGCTGGAGCCGTCTTGGGTCTGTTTACTTAATTTGCTTCCTCATTCAAATGTTTTCCCTTCAGCCCTTTTACTGCCCTGTCTTTTTTATTTATTTTTTATTTTTGTAAACAGCCAGTGTGAGCAAGGGCTTCTTTCACATAATCCCCGACAATATTTCAGCGTTAATACAGCATGAAGATAATATAGTATACCTCTGTTTTCATTTCCATCTGTTTTATAAGTACCTCATTTTTAGTCATAAAAGTAATATAGTACCTTAAATGAATATGTAATGACTGTAAGGCCTGGACATGACTATTGTAGAAGCTAAATAGAATACTTTGTTACTTGGGATGCCAATTTTCTATTAAAGCAAACACATTAGATACGCAGACCAATTTTATGTATATATTCTAAAATGCTCCTTTTTTTATGTGGTCATTTGTTGTCTTCTGAGTTGAGAGAACAAAAGTGAATAAAGTGAATGTTAGTTTTAGCCTAGTTTTTTTGGTTGGTTTTTGCTTTATTGCAAGATTGCTTCAGAATTATAAAAATGTGTATTATTAGAATAAGTAGATAATCCAGATATTTCTAACATAATTATGGAAGAAAAAGAATTCATTCAAGTTACATGTGATGATAGCCCCTCTGTTCTAAGTATAAATAAAAAATGAAAATTGCAGAGGACACACCTCTCATCTCCCCCTCACTATCATAGACTCTCAGGAAAAGGAAAGACCTTCATCTGTGCTACCCACCTCTGTGCTTCAGCTACAAGCTCTGAACATCCGAGCTTCACCACGTTGCCTCTTTTAGGTGGATACTTGGGTAGAGTAAAACCAGTCAAATCAATTTTACTTAAATGACCATAAGTCTCAGAGAAAAAGGAAAGGGTTGCATGAGGACTTTTTCTCCTAAGTGTCCTGTATGACGATATCATTTTTTTGTAACTTCTCTTTGTTTCTAGGTTCATTTTAAAATTTTTTTCCCTTTTTATTGAATTTATTGGGGTAATATGGTTAACAAAATTATGCAGGTTTCAGGTGCACAATTCTACAACACATCATCTAAACACTGTATTGTGCGTTCACTCCAAGTCAGGTCTCTCTGTCCATCACCATTTAACCTCACTATGATTTTTTTAATCAAGTACATTTTTATTTATTTTAAAAGCAGTGATGGTAGATAAAATGCAGTTTGAACCATAGAACATTCTTAGTCTGTGAAGTTGACATTTCACAGCAAAGGAAATTGCATGGTGAATCTCAGAAAGGGGCCATTAACCCTGCAGTTAGCAGCCCCTCTTGTTGCAAACACAGAACCCATACATACCACAAGTAGATTACAGATCTGAGGAGGTAACATTCTCCCCTCATACCCACCCCTCATGTTTTTCTAGTGTCTGTTTTGTTTATCCACACTGTACATAACACTATAGTTGAATGAGGTATGGAGTTTGTCGACAAGAAGCCCAGTTAGAGTGGGAAAGAATAGAAAAATGAGCAAAAGATTCTGTTAGATAAATAAAATGCCATGAGGAACGCAGAGAAAGGATCTACCTGGGGGGAGTGTGTGATAACCTAGGTACATCTTTAACAATTACTTGATATATATAGACATCCTCCCTCCATACCCCCACAATGCCTCTTTCAACCTCTGCAGTCTACTTCCTCTCAGTCCCACACTTCACTCAGACTGTCCACACGTCAACAGCCAGGAACCTGGGTTGAAGGTTCCATTTTGCACTTTACATTGTTTAACTATCTGAAATTTTATTTTGCATAGGTAACAGTGTTGTGCCTTTCTGCTGCTTGTTTGTTCAGTAACTTCTGTAGGACAAAAAGCTTCATGCCAGGAAGCCAATTCATTCACTTCTTTGTTTTTTGCCAAAATCAATGAACCTCTTCTGCTAGCTGCACAAAACCATTGGTCTGATGGAGCAGAATAGAACTCAGAAATAGACCCATGCATATATGGACAGCTAACTTTTGTGAAAGGTACAAAAGTCAAACAAATGGTGCTGGAATAGGACATCAGATGCATAATTAAAAATTGATCCTTATTTCAGTGTATGCAAAAAATAATTCAAAATGGTTTATAGTCCTACGTATAATATTCCAGACTGTATAAGTTCTAAAAGAAAACAAAGGAAAAATGTTCAGCATTGGTTTAATTACAGATTTAGATACAACCCCAAAAGCACAATCCAAAGAAGAAAAATTTGATTAATTGGACCTGATCAAAATAGAAAATATCTACTCTTTGAAGTATACTGTTTAGAGAACAAAAAGACAAGCCATGGAGTGGCAGAAAATGTTTGCCAAACATTTCTGATCAAGGACATGCATTCTGAATACAAGAAGTCTCAAATGCTATAGTAAGAAAATCTACTTGATTTAAAAATGGGCAAAATATTTTAAAAGACTGAAGATGGCAAATAAGCACATGTAAATCTTCATCATCAGTCATCAGGAAAGTGCACATTAAAACCTCAACGTGATACCACCGCATGTCTATTAGAAAGGCTAAAATTAAAAATACTGATGGTATGGATTGATGAGGATGAAGAGGAACTGGAACTCTCATAACTGCTGGAAGGAGCATGAAATGGTATAAGTACTTTGGAAAATAGGCATTTCTTGGAAGTTTAAAATATGTACTTACCACTCCTAGTTATTTACTGAGAAAAAGTGTAAGTCCATGTGAAGACTTGTACATGAATGTTCATAGTACTTTTATTTGTAATAGCTGGAAGCTGGAAACAATCCATATGTCTAAGAGGTGAATAGATAAGTGATTATCAATATAATGAAAAGCAATTAACTATTGATATACACAATATATACAAATCACAGAATATGCTGAGTGAAAGTAGACCAAAAATGTACTGTATGCTTTCATTTATATAAAATTCTAGAAAATGCAGAGTAACCTACAGAAATCTATAGAAAGATCAAAAGGAGGGATTTCAAATGGGGGTGATGGATGTGTTACTATCTTGATGGTGTTCTAGTATGACATGTCTACATATTTCAAAACTTACCAAATTGTACAATTCAAACTTGTGTAATTTATTGCATGCTAAATGCACTTCAGTTTCAAAAAGTAATACTATGGACCATTTATACCCCCCCTCCCCCAGTGCCACTTTCTTCTATTTTCTCACTTTTGGCCTATGACTTTTATTCCTGTTTCACTGAGAAGAGAGAAGCAACCAGAACAACTTTTCACAATTCCACACCCTTTCTGATCCATCACACCCTATCTGACCCACAACACCCTATATGTACTGCTCCAGCCTCCCTTATTAGAACACATCAAACCTCAACACCTTTGCACTTGTTTGCCTTGCCTTAATATTCTTTATTTAGGCTCTCCCCAACCTTCTCCTTTCTTTACTGAAGCATCATTTTTAGTGAGGCTTATCTAAAATGGCAGCGACATTGCTCTCTCTTCTGTATTTTTTCTCTTTCAAATTAGCGTACTATAGAGTTTACCAACTTGTTGATATTTACATGATTTTCCTCACGTGGATGTAAACTCCAGAGATTTCAAAATAGAACACCTATTGGTGCCCTGGCCTGTGTGGCTCAGTTGGTTGAGCGGCCCATGCACGGAGAGGTGACTGGTTTGATTCCTGATCAGAGCATGTACCTGGATTGCTGACTGGATCCCCAGTAGGGGGCATGCAGGAGGCAGCCTATGCACATTTCTCTCATTGATGTTTCTTGCTCTCCCATCCTCTCTCTCAAATTAACAACAACAAAAACTATTTGGGGATTATTACTATATTCCAGAACAGACCTTGGGACATATTTGGCATTCAACATTGTTAAGTAAATAAATCAGAATCAAAATAATGTGCATATGGTTAAAATGAAACCTGAAAACCCTGTGCCATTCTCCAGAGGTAACCACTGTCAGTTTTCTTAGCATATGCTTCCAGACTGGACAAACATACTTTCACAGACCTTTTCAATCACTCTACATGTGACATGCTCCCCAGCCTGCTCTACAGTGTACTGGGCTGCTCATATCACCTTGTCCTGATTAAATAATACAAAAGGCCAACTGTGGAGCTTTCAGAGGCAAACCGAGAAAGTGCCAGCTGGACTGATACTCCTCTAAATGAATTTGTCCTCTAAGTGAATTTGTTATTTTTTAGAACTTAGAAGAGAGAGTGAATAGCAGGACAACCCTGACCATACATGTGTGCTGACCAGTTCCCTCCCACCTCTGTTTCCTCCCACTTATCACCAGCTGCCTCCACTTCTGTACTTGCTTGCTTGCTCTCCTCCAAGGCCAATATGAAATGCCAGTTGCAGAAATTTGTAACAAGCCCCCTATAAAATAAAAATGTAGCTGAAAGTCAGGGCTGATCTCTGAGAACTCGGGATCAGTCACCGGCCGGCTTTGCTCTCTATTTGGCTTTAATTTGGCTCTGGTGGTCTCTCTGTTTTCTCATGCCACCACATTTGGAGGCCCCAGTGAGATCTTTCTCTTATGGGGAGGCCCCGGACCAGACCACTAGATCAGCTAGTCTAGGTGAAGGCCTCAGGGGGGCATTCCTCTGCCTGGAGATTAAGCCTGCCTTCCCAGTTTTCCTAGCCAGGTCTCAAATCCTGCTCTAAATTGAATTCTGAGAGAGTGTCTGAACTCATCTGAGTCATCTGGAATCTCACCGGTGAGAACTGTTTTCTGTTCAGTCTGGTAGGTGCCTTTCAATGGCAAAGGGGAAGGCTGGACATGGCATTATTTCCCCGGCCAGGTTCCCTAGCGAGAAGTTGCAGGGAACTTTGGTTTCAGTCAGTTCTGTCTTTGTTTTTTGGTTGAACTTCGGTTTCAGTCAGTTGTCCTGTGTTTTTTTTGTGTGTGTGTTTTTTGCTTTCAGTAACTTCGGTTTCAGCTCTGCATTTTTTCTGTTTGTTTATTGGCCCTCCTGATTGTCTGTTGTTGTATGGTTTCACTTCCCTTTGTTGTCATGGGCCAAAGTCAATCTGGTACAAAAATTCCATTGCAATGCCTATTGGATAATTTAAAAGATTTGAAAGCTCAGGCAAAAAGCTATAATGTCCTGGTAAGATCTGGGACCTTACGGACCCTGTGTGAACTTGAATGGCCTACCTTTGGGGTTAATTGGCTGCCTGGAGGTAATTTCAATTTGCAGTTGGCTTTTATGGTCTGTCAAAAATATACAGGAGCCCTGGACACCCGGATCAAATGCCATATATTGATATTTGGATTGATGTAACTGCAGACAAACCCAATTATATTTAAAAATGTCAGTGTCCAGAAGTTCCAAAGAAAGGAAAAACAGTTTTGTTAATGCCTCAGTCTGCCCTCAAGGAAATTATATCCCGTCCTTCAGGACCCCACTGAGGATATACTGAAATGTTAACCTGAGTTTGCTTACTTTGGGTTCTTATTACAGAAAAGCTAGAGGATGGATTTGGATCTGTTAATGCTCTATTGATTCGAAAAATATCCATTGAAAATATGAATATATTTGCCAATCTGAGGAATGTTAATTACTTGTCACAAAAAAAGAAAATCAACATTTCTAAGAATTAAAAGTTAAGATTAAGTTAAAAAGAAATTGTATAATTTTGATGAAAGAAAATAAGGTATAGAAATATATATATTTTTTGAAAGAAGTTCTAAAACTGATTATTTCTGGATGGATAAAAAGGTTTATGGAAATTAAAAGATTCGTTAGGAGAAATCTTAGAAATCATAAATAAGATAATAAATTTAATAAAATAAATGAATCTAAATTAATATAGAATTTATTTGTTTTTTTTCTCAGCCTATTAAAAGGGAAAAGGGTGTTTTTTTTTTTTTTTTCCAGTATTTGCCTAGGAAGCAAAAGTTATATATATTATTGAAATGGTTCTGTGTTATGTTAATCAGGTATTGATTCCTTAAAGACCCATTTTTTAATCATAAGAACTGAAGTTTCATGGACCTATGTTTATGTTTAACATCTGTTATTGTCACTTTAAGTGAATAAATAATTAAATACTGTTTAATAATAATACTATATAATCTTTTGGTCAAATATGTTTGACAATTTTCCCAGGATTTGAATTTTATGAAACTTTTTCTTGACCTGGAATTAGCTTTGGGTCATTCCAATAGGACCTGGAGTTCCTCAAGGATTTGTTTTCTCTCCTTATGAAAGGAAACCAAATCAATGCAGATGGCTTAACACAGTCTGTTTCCCCACTGGAGTATGGGTAAGGGGACAACAAACAAACACAAACTCCAAATGCAAGAGCATACACACTACTAAGAGTGATTATTTGTTCACTTAGCAGATGCATAGAATGCCTCTTATATGTGGGTCTCTGCTAATGCTGTGGGTTATACAAACACAGTCCTCACTCTCAAGGGGCATTTAATATAAGATATTTGGTAAAGTCATGCTTGGATTATTTAAAGAAAGAACATGATTAAGCCCCAGAGGCCTGAAGATCAAGCTCTTTTTGGTTTAACGGAGAAAGTTTTTTCTTTCATGGTGCTACAATTCACTCACAAGTAAAAAAAAAAAAGTGGAGCTTTTGGTTACATAGTGAGCTATGGTTACTATAGCATGGATAAAATTATACCTCTGATGTACTTTGGGTCTCCAGCTGAGAAGGGCTTTATGAAAGGAAATTATAAAAACAATAAAGATTTAAGATTTATGAATGATAAAAGATGGGAAATTGACATGAAATAATAAAAAAAGATGATTCTTTACCACTTCCTCCTGCCTTGCTGGCGGGAAGGGCTTCTCTCAAAACCTCAGCTGTTGCAGCCCCCTGTGTATGGGAGGACCCAATGCCTGAACGGATGTGGATGTATTAGGAGGTATTGACTTCTTTGTGGTGAGGACTCAAGGCCTCTCTGCAAGGCTTATTAACATTCTCACAAGCAAGCTATTTAACTACTGATGTGCCAGCCCCTGAATCACTCATTACTCTGTTGTCTGCCGGCCTTTTATGATGTATGTCTCCTTCTCCACTAGTGACCTGTATAATTGGAAACAACAAAACCCCTCTTTCTCTGACAAACCCCAAGGATTAATCTCTCTGTTAGAAACTGTGTTTCACACCCACCAGCCCACTTGGGATGTTTGTCACCAGCTTCTGCAGGTCCTTTTCACCCCTGAAGAAAGGGATAGAATCTGTAGAGAAGTAGCTAAGGCTGTTCTCAGGCCAGACAGAGAACCCACCTCTGATCCCGATTGTCTCCATCACGGGCTACCCACATCCCCAAGGTAAGGAGGCTCTCAAACAATATCGCCTGACTCTATTATGGGGAATCCAAGGAAAAACTAAAAAAATTGACCAACTTGTCTAAGATAAACGAAACTGTCCAGTGGTCAGGGGAATCTCCCTCTGCTTTCTTAGAGCATTTGATGGAAGCTTACCGGCTGTTTACACCCATAGACCCAGAAGCCCCTGATAATAGGAGAGCTATTAATATTGCTTTTGTTACCCAGTTGGCCCCAGACATTAGGAAAAAACTACAGAAGTTAGAGGGTTTTGAGGGAAAGCTCAGTTATATACTGAGAACACCACCTGTCCAGGTTATGAACTGAGAGGAGGAAAATGGTCCCTCTTCACAAGCTGCATTGAGGCCATTCTGAAAATACCCTGACCACAAACAAAGAAACAGGTCTGGGAATTTCTGGAAGCAATTGAGTACTGCTGCCTCTGGATACCCCGGTTTGCGGAAATTGCAAAGCCCCTATACACCAGTACAGGGGGAAAGACAACTTAACTTGGACTGAAACTGAGAAAAAGGCTTTCCAAGAACTAAAAAAGACTCTCATCAGCGCCCTGGCCCTGACCCTGACCCAGCTGACCTCAATAAGCCTTTCCAATGATTTGTTTATGGATTGCTAAAGGAATACTCCCACAGGCCCTCGGTCCCTGGAAACGTCCCATGGCCTACCTATCAAAGAGACTCTAGACCCAATAGCCTCTGGGTGGCCACACTGCTTAAGGGCTATAGTGGCTACAGCCTTGCTCACTAAGGAAGCCTTTGAGCTGACCCTGAGACAAGATTTACAAATTATAGCACCCCATGCTGTTGAAGCCCTACTCAGGAATCCCCCTGAATGATGGATGTCCCATGCCAGAATTGTCCAACATCAAGTGCTCTTGTTGGACCCTCCAAGGATTCAGTTCCTAAAGACTACTGCCCTAAGCCCTGCTACCTTGCTGTCTGATGATAACCAAGCAGAACCTGTTCATAACTGCCTCGAGGTTCTGGACTCCTTGACTAATCTTTGAGGAACCTCAGAGACACACTCTGACCAGACCTAGATGCTGATCTCTACACAGATGGGAACATGATCTCATGCAAATGGTACCAGATATGCAGGAGCTGCTGTGGTAACACAAGATAAGGTACTCTGGGCACAGGCAATGGGACATGGGACTTCTGCACAGAGGGCTGAACTCAGCCGTAATACAGGCCTTACGCTGGGAAAGGAAAAGACTATAAACATTTACACTGACGTAGATATGCATTTGCTACTGCTCATGTACACGGGACCCTCTATCAGGAATGGGGACCCCTCACCTCAGAGGGAAAGAAAATTAAAAACAAAGCTGAAATCCTAGCCCTGTTAGAGGCCATCTGGCTACCTCAAAAGGTTTTCATCATTCACTGTAAAGGACATCAGACAACCAATGACCCGATGGCCTGGGGAAATGCTTTTGCAGATCGGACTGCGAGAGAGAGACCATCCAAAACCAGTGGGGCCTCTCCAGATTTTACCTGTGCTACTTCCACGAAATCTCCCTAAAGTTCCCTCTTATACAGAAGAGGAAAAAGAACTTGGAATTAAGCTAAGAGGGAACATAAACTCTTCTGGTTGGTACTCCCTGATCGGAGAATTCTATTACCCAAGGCACTGGGACGAGATCTTATTTTTAAGACTCACCAGAGTACCCACCTAGGAGGGAACTAAACTGATTGAACTTCTTCATCAAGATTACATTCCAACCCTTCACCATTATGCCAAGCAAACAGCAGCCTGCTGTCCTACTTATGCTCAAATAAATACAAAACAACAAGGAAATGCTCAATCGGGGATTCGACTACGCGGACAGAACCCAGGGGAACATTAGGAAATAGACTTTACTGAAATAGTTCCAGGAAAGTTTGGTTACAAATACCTCCTCGTTTTTACTGACACTTTTTCAGGTTGGACAGAAGCCTTCCTGACTAAATCTGAGACAGCTCAGACAGTAGCTAGGAAACTAATATCAGAAATAGTCCTCCAATGTGGCCTTGGGGTCCAACAATGGCCCGGCGTTCGTAGCCCAGATCACACAAACCTTAGCTATAATTTAAAAAATTACTTGGAAATTACACTGTGCATATAGGCCTCAGAGTTCAGGACAGATAGAAAGGATGAATCAAACATTAAAAGAGACTATTACTAAATTAAAATTAGAGACAGGCAAAAATCAGCCTCCTTTCTTTTGCCCTATTGCGGGTCCGATGTACTCCCTATATTAAGGGTTTCTCTCCCTAAGAAATAACATACAGGAGACTACCACCGCTTCTCCCCACATTGGGAGAAGCCCCAACTGAAGTAAATAATCATCTTCTTAAGTCCTTACGGGATCTGCAACTCATCCAGCACAAGAACCAGTAGATGATAAGAGATTCTACCCCTAAGCCTTCTCTTCCAGGTGACTCAGATCTCTACAATGTTCAGCCCAGAGACTGGGATCTGGATCAAGAAAATTCAGCCTGCTTTGCTGGAACCTAGATGGACTGGTCCCCTGCCTGTGATCCTCACCACTTTGACGGCCCTTAAGGTGACAGGTCGCCATTTCTGGATTGATCACACCCAGTTAAAGAAGACACACCCCAACCAGATACCAGAAAAATGGACCCTTCAATGGACAGACGATCCTTTAAAGGTAAAATTATTCCAATCCTGATCCTGCTACTTGGGACCTCTGCTTCTCTGACCCTGGGAAATCCCCATCAGCTGACTCAGTATCTATGGAACCTTAGTCGGACCCATGATGGACACGTTATTGCCACTAACACATCCTATGGAACCCCAAACTTATATTTTGATTCCTATGCCAGAGGATCTCCAAGAAGACGAAGACCCTATATTACTTGTAGCCCCAGAAGGGACTTGGTTCGCCTGCACTACCAGACTAACTCTCTATATTAACTCGCATAATGATGATTTTGGACTATGTGTTCTAATTTATGTAATCCCACAGGTCTACTTTTACTTTGGTGAAGGCAGGTGCGAACATTTTGGAATCCCACTGGAAGGGAAAAACAGGCAATACTCATGTTAGTTCCACTCTTAGTAGGCTTAGTAGCAGGCTCTGCAGCCATTGGTACAACTGCACTAGTCATGGAAGACCAGAATTTTAAGGCACTTAGGAAACAGATAGATCAAGACCTCTCAGACCTGCAAAACACTATCACCCATTTAGAAAAGTCCTAAATTCCCTAGCTGAAGTAGTATTACAGAATAAATGGGGACTTGATCTCTTCTTTTTTTTTTCAATCATCCTCACTTGAGGACATTTTTCCATTCTTTGTTCAGATAGAGTGGGAGGGAGAGAGAGGAACAGAGAGAGAGAGAAACATCGATGTGAAAGGGACACATCGAGTGGCCGCCACCCGCACAACCAACCAGGGCCGGGGACAAACTGCAACCAAGGTACATGCCCTTAGCGGGAACCGAACCCGGGTCTCTCCGGACCGCAGGCCGATGCTCTAACCGCTGAGCCAAACCGGCCAGGGCGATCTCTTCTTCTTAAAACAAGGAGGTCTGTAGGTGAGACCTGCTGTTTCTATGCTAATCACTCTGGAATAATAAGAGACAGTTTGACTCTAGTTAGACAAAGAACTAAAGACAGAGAAGAACTAAGAAAATCAGAAAGCAACTGGTTCGAGGGTCTATTATTTTTTTTTTATCCTCACCCGAGAACATTTTTTTGTTTTTTGTTCAGATAGAGTGGGAGGGAGAGAGAGGAAGAGAGAGAGAGAAACATCAACGCAAAAGGGACACACTGAGTGGTTGCCACCCGCACGACCCAACCAGGGCCGGGGACAAACTGCAACCGAGGTACATGCCCTTAGTGGGAACTGAACCCGGGTCTCTCCAGACCACAGGCCGACGCTCTAACGCTGAGCCAAATTGGCCAGGGTTCGAGGGTCTATTATCATTGACCTCCATGGTTAACGACCCTCTTATCAGCTATAGCAGGACCTCTTCTATTATTGCTCATAGGGCTACTTTTTGGCCCTATAATTGTGAACTGTTTAAATATATTAGAGAAAGGATCCAGACAGTTAAACTTATGGTCCTAGGCACCCATTACTAAAGAATTCAAAATTCAGGAGAGGAAACAATGATTTGATTTTCCTGAAAACCAGTGGTGAATGTGCTGGCCTGCTCATGTCACCTCATCCTGATTAAATAAACAAAAGGCCGACTGTGGAGCTTTCAGAGGCAAATTGAGGAAGTGCCAGCTGGCCTGATACTCCTCTAAATGAATTTGTCCTCTAAGCGAATTCGTTATTTTTTAGAACTTAGAAAACGGTGAATAGCAGGACAACCCTGACCATAGATGTGTGCTGACCAGTTCCCTCCCACCTCTGTTTCCTCCCACTTATCACCAGCTGCCTCCACTTCTGTACTTGCTTGCTTGCTCTCCCCCAAGGCCAACAAGAAATGCCAATTGCAGAAATTTGTAACAAGCCCCCTATAAAATAAAAATGTAGCTGAAAGTCAGGGCTGATCTCTGAGAACTCGGGATCAGTCGCCGCCGGCTTTGCTCTTTATTTGGCTCTGGTGGTCTCTTGGTTCTCGTGCCACAACAATAGGGTGCTTTCCATTTATAATTCACAAACATCTTTTTATGCCAGCACATAAGTAGCCTACTCAATTTTAAAATTCAGACTATTGTATTCCATTGCGTGGATGAGACTGTGATTTAACTTTTCTGAAAGAATTAGTTAACCCATTTTTTTGTATGCTGTAGTAAACATTTTTGTTCATATTACTTTATATACTGAGGCTAGAATTTCTGTAGGATAAATTCCCCAAAGTAAGATTGCTGTCATCCAAAAATGTTAAAGTGCCAAATTGTCCCCAAAATGTACTAGTTAACACTCCTCTCTCATCGGTGTATGAGATTCTTTGTTTTCCCATATCGTCATCAACATTAGTGACTATTTTCACTTTTTGCTAATGCTGTTAATTTGAAAACCTATGTTAGAGGAGTCATGGTTGGGGCTTGGTGCATTTAGGGAGGGAAGGAAGCTTGTCATTGGCCCCTCCTGGAAAAAGCTCATTCTAGTTCTCTGTCTTCCTCTGTAGCGGTGAGCCTTCCTGTCTAGAGGAGGTGGGTCTTGGGGCCTCTTTTATTCAGTATGGGTGTTAGGGGCAGCTGCAGAAGCCAGCTGGGATACCCCCTAAACCAGTGTTCACATCTTGGATGCTGCCCTGGTCAGCATCCACCAGAATGGAACAGTTTCTTTTACCCTTCTACCAAAGCTGTTGTATCAGAAGTGGCTTCTTTTCTCCTACACTCAATCAGATTGGCTCAACCACCCTACCTTGGTTAAGAGAACAAGTTAAACAGAATCTTTTGGCTGGAAACTCCCCAGAGTCTAAATTCTAAGCAGCTTTTAAACTGAGATCTGAAGAATGAGTTCACCAAGGGGAACCGGTTGGGCCACGGGAACAGCAAGCACAAGGCGCCGAGGCTGAGATGTCTATTTGGACAAGCTGCCAGGAGCACGTGCAGGATGAACGAGGAAGTTGAAGGCAGGGGCCAGATTGCTCCAGGGAAGCTCGTGCTGCCTGCACGGATCAGCCCTCCCGACTTCAACGGCTTCCAACGGAGGAGGACCCAAGTCACCTCGTCCCTGAGCTTCACGTGGCCAGAGCAAGAAGGGGAGGCGGCTTCTGTGAATTCGCCGTTCACAGTCGGCAGTGGGAAAGCAATCAATGGCCCTTTTATAAATGAAACTGTCAGCTCGAGCAGCTCTAAAGTATTAGTGGTAAAGGTTGCGTGGGGTGGGGGCGAAGTCAGAGTGCGCACGCGCATTGCCTCCCAACCCCATACTGGCCACAGCCCACCCTTGGCCCTAGGCGTGCGCTGCGCTAGGGGGCGGGGCCGGCGCGGGCGCGCGTCCCTGTTGCCTGGATACTGTTGCGAAACAATAGCGCCCGCTTGCGCTCCAGAGCAGTTGTGTCTGGGCCGCTAGAGCGGGCGGTTGGCCCTCATTTTCCCGAGGCCGAAGAGGAGCGGGTAAGACCTCCGCAGGCCGCCCCGGCCCTGCGAAACCCGCCTCTTGGCCCAATCCCCATCCCAAACCCGGACCCTGGCCAGGACCCGGATGCCGGACTCCAGTCCGTCCCCCGCACCCCCGCCCGCTGGGTCCCACACCCGGGGCAGGGAGGCCGGGCTGCCCGCCCGGCCCCAGGCTGACTCACCGCCCTTCCTCCCTCGCAGCACGCCTTGGTCTTCCCAGCCTGGTCCCGGTCTTTGGAGAGCGATGCCGCTTCCCGACACCATGTTCTGCGCGCAACAGATCCACATCCCCCCGGAGCTGCCGGACATCCTGAAGCAGTTCACCAAGGCAGCGATCCGCACCCAGCCCGCCGACGTGCTGCAGTGGTCCGCGGGGTAAGCGCGGCCCGTGCCGGGCGGGCCTGCGAATCCTCCGTCCCGGAGCGGCGGCCCACGCCCGGGGCTCTCGGAGTATCCGCCAGCCTTCACTTTCCCCGCGGTGGTACCAGCCCCCAAGTGTCTGTCTAGGAAGCATCGTGGTCTGTTGACCCTGGGACCAGAAATTACTGCAACATGCTCACTTATCTACAAAGTAATAACAACTCCATTGTTGGATAGTGGTATTCATGCAGCTACACTAAAACTTCGAAAGCAATTGCATTGTGTATAAAATTTCCGGTGGTTATAAAACTGTCACTACAATCCCTTAATTTTGTTTGTAAAGTGATTTTTACAAGGCAGAGTCTTATGGCTATGAATCCTCCCAGGGTTAGGTACTGGCTGAAGCCGAACGACTGGTCACGTTGGTGTACTCAGCCCTAGGCTGCGATGAGGGTAAACGCTGCCCAGCTTAGTTCTCAGCAAAGGAGCCGTCACCGTTTCTTGGGGCAAACCTATTCCCAGGGACAGATACTCCTAGTTTTAAAGTTACAAGTCAATAGACCTTAGAACCATTAAAATAAACCCTTTTGATTTTACAGGAAAGCTCTTTGCTCTTTTTCAGTAACCAGGCATAGAAGGAAGCTCAATTTTATGACCATAAAAATGGGTATAAATTTAAAGTGTTTTAGTAACTAGTGTATCAAATTTTGCTGGCCTCTAAGCTATTTAACCAAGGTGAATTAGTTTCCCAAGACTGCTGGACACCATCCCACAACATTTGATGGCTAAAACAACAGACATTTATTCTCTTTACAGTTCTGCTGGCCAAAAGTCCAAAATCAGTTTCACCTGGTTAAAACCAAGCTGCTGGCAAGACTTTGCTCTGTCTAGAAGTGCAACAGGGAATCCATCTGTTTGCTTGCCTTTTCCAGCTTCTAGAGCTGCATTCCTTGTATTGTTTGGCTCATGGCCCCTTCTTCCTTCTTTAAAGCCAGCAGTGTGGCATCTTCAAGTCTCCCTCCATCTCCTTCATTTAAGGTCACTGATTGCATTTAGGACTCATCCAGATAATACAGGATAATTTTCCCATCTCAGAATCCTTACATCATAGGCAAAGTCCCTATTACCATATAAAATAAGACCCGAAGTTCCAGGATTAGGACCTAGATATGTTTGGGGCCTTACTGAACCTCTCATACAATGCTACTACTTGTAAATCCGGTGCTTTGCTTTCTGTCAAACGCTTTTGTCAATTGCTTCTGAAATATTCTCTTTAGGTTCTTGCCAAAAAAAGAAAAGAGAAAATCATGGCCTCTGGTTTTAATCATTATTCAAGCCTAAATAAAAGATAGTCAGGACTCATAACATTTGTACTCTACAAAACATTCTAAAATGTAGTCATTTGCCCTGGCCGATTTGGCTCAGCTGTTAAAGTGTCGGCCTGTGGATCAGATAGTCCCAGGTTCAGTTCCGCCTAAAGGCAGGTACCTCGGTTGCAGTTTGTCCCTGGCCCCGGTTGGAGTTGTGTGGGTGGCAGCCAGTCGATTTATCTCTCTCACATCAATGTCTCTTTCTGTCTCTTTTCCTTCCTCTCTCTCTCTCTCGCTGTATTTGAAGATAAATGTGCAAAAATGTCCTCAGGTGAGGATAAATAAATAAATGGTAATCATTTTTCTTGGAACATTCAGTTATATTTGGTAACACTCTAAAGACAACTATTTTAAGCTTTAATTTAAAAGGTGTAGTTAAGAACTTCCTGAATGTTCCATGCAATTTATTTCAAGAACAGTTTCGGAGTTTAAAATCGAAGCGTAATTTATTAAGCAGTGTGTGTGTCATGGACTAGAATGTGTTCCAGCTCTCTCAGAATGGTATCTGTTAGGACCTCGTTCAGAAGAAGGTGAATTGGTCTTTGAAAGATATCGTAGGCAGAGATTGGGATTAAGACAAGTTGGAGGGTATTCCAAGAAGAGGACACAGGCTATGAACAAAGGGGCTGTGCCAGGAAGAAAAACAGAGCAGGAAACCAGGGTGCCCAAGGACGTAACTGTGCTGCGGTAGACTCAAGTAGACATTCAGGTTAGCATTCTTTTCAAATGAGGTTTCTGGTGGCGAAGGGGGGACAGCCTTGCCCCCAGCCTGTGTATTCTGCTGTGATGTCACAGCTAGTTGGCTGTTCTTTATTATGTCATTGAGCAGTTATTCATCATGCAGTGTGATAGCCAGAACTGGTTGAGTACTAAAAGGCCGATTTCACCTACATGTGCCTAACACAACTGGTCTTGCCATTAATGCAGACTTCCTCAGCCTAGCTCATTTGACACTTTGGAGGGGACACTTTTTGGGTGGTGTATGTGGAGGTGGGGGTGTAGGATTCTTGGCAGCATCCTGGTCTGCACCCACTAGATGGCAGTAACACCATTCACCTCTTGTGGTGACAACCAAAATATCTTGCCAGTGTCTTCTTGGGAAGGGGAAGGACCCAAATGGCCCTGTTGAGAACCAATGTTCTATAGGCTCTATCAGGTTTGGGGATGGGTTTGATAGGTTATGAAAAGTCCATGAAGTAGGTGAAAACCCTAATTAGGAACAATATGGCAAAACTAAGCATCCATTCTTTAGGTCTTAAGGTCCACTTTTGTCTAACTCACTGCTGCCTTCGTTTCGACTCTCCCTCAAACAAATAAGATATAACTGGAGTTGTCTTAAAAGCATGAAAGCAAAGATGAATATGAGGGGTGGTAAAAAAAGGGGTTGAGATACAAAATTTATTTTAGCCCATTAGATATCTTGCAACATTTTGTTACATATTTAGAAATGTTTTCAATTATTCATTTCTTTTAAATTATTACCTGTGGCCCTGGTGTATCCTTTAGTGTTCCTTTTCCTGGATATGTTGTTTCTTTTTGTGGTGTTAGTCATTAGAGCTGCAAATGATGGGGCTCAGCAGCCAGCTGCCTCTGGCATGCTGGCCCAAAGGTGAGTGAGTTTTGCAGAAGAACCTGCCTGGCACCTCTCCCCTACCCCACCAGCTAGAGGCTAGGTATGTGTCCCCTCTTGACTTGTTGCCCCAAAACATTTCTGTGCCCCTGCTTGCTTTCAGTATAAGCAGCAATATCTGGGGCCCAAAAAGGAATAATTAAGGGGAAAATACTAAAAAATTAAACAAAACAAAACCACAAACAGGAATAGTGAAGGGTTGGAGAAGGGTGACCTCTGACTTACCAGAGTGGGGCAGCCCATTTCCAGTGGAGCAAACAGATGACATTCCTGAATGGGCAGAGATGGTTACACTCAAACCCCTGGAAAAATAGCAAGGCCCAGAAATAGGAAGATAAACCCCAGCTGTTAAAGTGGAATGACTGGACCGTGACATTACCCTTGGGTTCTGCGGCTCAAATTTTTCACTTTCTCTGGCCACATTTCAGAACCACTCATGGTATTTGCTTGATGGGAACAGCACCAGTTGTTCACTCCGGTGAACAGCACTGGAGTCTGCTCAGTACTCTGGGGAGCCCTAAGACAGGCTGTCGTTATCCCCGCTTTGCGGGCAGAGACACAGAGGTAGCAGAGAAGGTTAAGTAGGAGAGCTGAGTGGAGAAACCAGGACTGACCTGGGCCTTCAGACTCTAGACCTCTCCTCCCTAATTAATCACTGTTGGGTTCACGGGTGTTTAATTATTATTAATTAATTTGCTTTTTGTGTATTGATAAGTCTTCAGAGATGTCTTGTTGTTATTAGGTATTTCTCAGCTTTGTCAAGAGGAGATCCACTTCCTGTAAAGGACAGAATTGAAATGCCTGTGGCCACGCAGAAAACAGACACTGGCCTGACTCAAGGAATGCTTAAAGTGTTGCACAAGCAGGTATGCGAAGGTTTATGTTATAGTCTGACATGAGAGAGAGCCCAGCCTGATAGAAACCACCAGTCATCCTTGCAAGTCGCTTCCCCTGTGATGAGACTCTGAGTTTTCATTCAAAGAGGAATCTGTTGTGTTCAGTGCCCTTTTCTAGTTGATAGTACCTAGCAGAGCTATTCATGATTAGATTATAGGAAAGTAAAATACAATTTAAATACCAAATTAAGATGCTTAGATGCTGCTGGACTGAAAAAAAAGTCTAAAAATATGAAAGTATGACATTGTAGACATGGGGTTGCAAATCCCTTCTTGAAATACGTGTTTATGAAAGCTGTACACGTGCTGAAGAGATGATTGCCCTTGGGTGGCCGGTTTCCCGCGCTCCAGACAGCACGGGCCTGCGTCCTTCCGTGGGTCTTCTCCCGACCCACCGGCTTGCTTTTAGAAAAGCGAGTTCACAGGAAGTGTATCACCCAGCCTTGAGGTTTGGTGTTCATAGTGATTGGTTGTATTGCTAAAAATGACACCAATCACGTAACCTTGATTTTTAAAGTGACTGGTCTCCATTATACTTTTTCTTTTTAAATAATTTTTTATTTTTCAATGACAGTTGACATCCAATATTTTGTTAGTTTCAGGGGGACAACACAGTGCCCATTACACATTTTGAAGTTCTGTGCTTCTGTACAGGGGACATTGACTTCTGAAACTAGGATTTCCCATGGCTCTCCATTGTAAGGGAAAGGACGGGCACTGGGGAGGGGTGGTCACTGGGGAGGGGTGGTCGGGAAGGACCGCGGGCCTTGCCAGCAGGGCGCAGAGGCCCTCCACTCCCACCAGCTGTTTCAGAGTTGTAGAGGGAGCCACTTCTTTCTAGTTTTAAGATTTCTCCCGTGTTACTGTTTACATGTTTATGGGATTGGGTTTCTAATGTTTTTATTTTCTTTATTGAAGTTAATTTTTTATTGCAAAGTACTGTAGTCAGATAATAGGGGATCATATACCCAACATCAGTATGCCCATTTTATTAGGTTATAACACTATGCCGTATTTGCTTCACAGTCCTTATTTAAGAAGTAAATTTTTGACAAGCTCGCTGCCCCCCCTCCCTGCACATGGGCCCCTCCCACTGCACATGTGCCCCCTGCTTTCCAAAGGGCTAACTGGGCCATGAATTCAGAGTTCAACTGCCCCCTCATGGGGCTGGGGACTTGGGATATGTTCAAGTATCCACAGCATTATATTATTTCATGGGTTTTTAAACTTATATGAATTGTATTATACTGTGTTTTCTAAACAGTGTGGCCATAAGCAATATGTGGAGTTAGCTGACCTTGAGCAGAAATGGAAAAATTTGTGCCTGCCAATTGAAAAATTCAGAGCCATCTTGCAGTTGGATCCTTGTGACCACAAAGTGGAGTGGATAAAATTTTTAGCGCTTGGATGTAGCATGCTTGGTGGGGTATGTACCTAGAAATAGCATATTGATAATTCTGTGTAATCATAAGCCTGGATTGAAAAATAATTTAGGGGTTTTAGTCACTAAAGGAAACACATTGCTTTAGTAACTTTGTCTCAGAAAAGCAATGTTTTTCAGATACCTATTGTATTTTCAGGCGTATAGTTATTTTGATTTACAGAAGTTAAATACTTGTGAATACCTCAATTTAAAAGATGTTAACAGCAGGTAAAATATATGGATACCATTAACATACATTTAAGTTTTATTAAACCACACATTTGGTAAATGGATAATATCATTTTTCCTAATCTGTGGAGAGAGGCACAGAATTATTTTATACTTTAGTTAAAATCTATTATTAGTGACTAACAGATACAATACAGCTTTGCTGATGTTAAAATATAACCCAAGACTTTGGAGTGAAGACCTAGAGGGCCCTGCTGTTTCTGAGGTGAGAGGGTTTGTGAGCACAGGAGGGAGGAGGGGCGGGAGGGGGGGGGCTGGAGCTGGGAGGACATTGGCAGGACTCCCTTTGGAAATCTAGAGTCTGTCTCTTCAGCTCACAGGTTTGAGTCACTGTGAGACACGGGGTCAATGGAGGGAGAGTTACCACTGAAGAAAGGAGGTTGAGAAAAGAGAACACCCTTTACTGCAGAGCAGTGTTTTTTTACCCCCCTCCCTTCAGTCTTTGGAGCCCAGAGTACATAACTGTGGATCATTCAGATCCCTCACTCATGGTACACACTCACCATGCGTCATCCTCTTTGATTCAGTTTTCATTTTTAAAAATGACTTTATGGCCCTGGCCGGTTTGGCTCAGCGGTTGGAGCGTCGGCCTGCGGTCCAGAGAGACCCGGGTTTGGTTCCCGCTAAGGGCATGTACCTCGGTTGCAGTTTGTCCCCGGCCCTGGTTGGTCATGCGGGTGGCAGCCACTCGATGTGTCCCTTTCACGTCGATGTTTCTCTCTCTCTCTCTTCCTCTCTCCCTCCCACTCTACCTGAACAAAAAATGGAGAAAATGTCCTCGGGTGAGGATTAAAAAAAAAAAAAAAAAAAGACTTTATGGCCCTGGCCGGGTTGGCTCAGTGGTTAGAGCATTGGCCTGCGGTCCAGAGAGACCCGGGTTCGGTTTCTCCTAAGAGCATGTACCTTGTTTGCAGTTTGTCCCTGGCCCTGGTTGGTCGTGTGGGTGGCAGCCACTCGATGTGTCCCTTTCACATCGATGTTTCTCTCTGTCTGTCTTCCTCCCACTCTATCTGAACAACAACAACAACAAAAAAATGACTTTATGTAGTACTACCCGACATGATCCCTAACACTGACAATAGCGTACCCCACCTGAACCAGGCTCTCCTGAAGCTCACGCTTCCCTTTCATTGCATGTATACCCCGATAAACACCTTCTTTAATTGTAGTTGGTCTTATCTTTACAAAAAGATAATTATGTTGTTAGTAGTAATCTGGAACTTTTTTTCATCCCCGATTATATTTCTACATTTGTGTGTCTATATCATTACAGACTGCTGCAGATTATCCACTCTGCCATTTAAGACCCACTGTGGGAACACACTGCAATTGACTGTCTGTTAGTGGCCCCAGTGAGAAACCCTGAAAACCCAGTAAGCTCAGGTGCGGGTCGGTGGCTGCCCAGTGTTGCTCACTATTGTTGTGTAACTGCCCACAGACCATGTTCCTGTTCAGCCACAGAGAGGGCAGTGTACCTGGGCGCATGGTGCTGAGGGCTGGACACGGCTGACCCAGTGGGAAGCCAGGCTCAGGTGTCACTGGGGAGTAGTATCTCAGTGGCGTGCTGTAGGGAAGGACAAAGACAAGTAAATTTAATTACTGGAGAAAATTTCATGTTGCTTTGTTCCTCTAGAACTCTGTGAAGTCAAGATTTTAGTACTAGGAAATTAATACAGAATATTTGAATTAATGTTTATGGTTTGTGCCTCTAAACTTAGTTGAGAAATTTGAATTTTAATAATGATGAGAAAGCAAATATTTCATATTTTGGGATCCATCTTTGTCATTTCTACATCTCTAATTGTGAGATCAAAGCACCAGATTTAAAACCACAAGGAATCTCTTTTGGAAGATGAGGTATTTTATCCATGTGTAGTGTGTGACGCTAGGTGGAGACATTGTCGAGGATGGAGCTTCGTGCTGAACTGCGAGCTGGGGAAGGGCCCTGGGAGAAGGGCACACAGCCTCTCTCCTTCCTGCAGTAGGGTATGTGGAAGCGCTCGCCTAGGCCCTAGCCTGGCCTCTCCTGGAGCCGCTTCCTGCCGTGGAAGCCGTGGCTGAGGTCCAGGTGTGAGAGACTCGGGGTGGTGGTGGTGGGGTGCTGGCTCTGCCTGGGCCTGCTGCCCCACGAAGGGCAGAGCATGAGTTCAGACAGCCCTGGGGCAGGGGCTGCAGGGGCAGGGAGGCCCTGGGGGCCTGACTCGGATGCGGATGCGGAGATTTGCCTTATTGACGCCACTTACCCCACGTTGGTGGGGTAGCTTGGAGGTGCACTGACTTGAAGCTGTGACTTCCATGAGAGGATTCGTGGTGTCCTTTGGCATTTTAGCATTTATCTTGATGCTTAAAAACAAACAAACAACCTTCAAAAAGGAGGGGATGAAGAAGTGAAGTGAGATGAATGAGGAGGAATTTAGGATGGATTACTGCCTCTTTTCCATGTAGGATTTCCGTAAAATCGGAATGTAGTCTCTGCTTCCATGACAGACCCCATTCCTGTCGCTGTGTCCACGGCATCTGCCTGACTCGGGGCAGATACATTCTCCGTGCTCTAGAATTTCTATTAAAAGTCACTCTAGTCAATGAATCAAGTTTAAAGTTTCTACAAGACTAGAACCCACTCCTTCATTCCTTCACAAATGTTTATGGAACACGGCTTCTTGCTGGGCCCCGCTCTGGGTGCTGAGAGTGCCAGTCAACAGGAGAGGACGCCCCTGCGCCCTGGGAGATGACCTGCTGTTACCTCCTTGAGGCGCTGGGCTCTGCTCTGGCCATTGTGTTGAAAGCTGCAGTTGGGAGTCAAGGGTTAGGGTTAGGGTCGTGGGCTGCCCCAGGCAGGTCGGGTGTGGTAGTGCTTCCTGTCCCCTTCCCCAGAGCCTGGTGTGGTCACTTGGCGAAATGATCACATGTATATGGCACGACCTGTGTCTTTACCTTTCTGCAGCACCATCTTTGGTCCTATGGTGTCTTACGGACTTTTGCAGCCAGTGTGTGTAGGGAATGGGGGACTTGGGTTGCAGTTTTTTTGTTTTTGTTTTTTTTTTATCCTCACCCGAGGATATTTTTCCATATTTTGTACAGATAGAGTGGGAGGGAGAGAGAGGAAGGGAGAGAGAGAAACATCGACGTGAAGGGACACATCGAGTGGCTGCCACCCGCACGACCAACCAGGGCCGGGGACAAACTGCAACCGAAGTACGTGCCCTTAGCGGGAACCGAACCCGGGTCTCTCCGGACCTCAGGCCGATGCTCTAACCGCTGATCCAAACCGGCCAGGGCGGGTTGCAGTTTTTGAATGCTCGAAAAATGATCCCCATGCATCAAAACACAACAAAACAATTTCGATCCACCACTTCGATGCGTAGGGCCATGGGTGGCGTCACCTGCCCAGTGGTGGACGGCGTCCTGGCTTACTCTCCCACTGCCTTCCTTTCAGGTCCCCGCGGGCCTCTCAAGCCTATTCTGAGATGGCCAAGAAGATTCCTTTACCACCCCTCCCCCCCAGGCCAGTGGCAAGGTACAGCCGCCTGCCGTACGTGAGGGCCTCCAGCCCAGAGGCGTTTGGTGACTGCTCCTCCAGAAGAAAAGGCTGCTTTTGGGTTTCTGGGCACACCTGCCCCCAGCACCACATGCCCATGACTCGCCCTCTGTGGGAAGAGGGCTGACTGATGGGTGTGCTTTCCACTGGAGCTGTCACGGTGCACACCCATCCACACACATCGGCAGATGCCGGACATCGTGGCCTCTCCATCCCTTTCCTGGGCAATGCCAAGGGCAGCGTCTGGCCTGAACAGGCGGGCTTCCCTCGGGGACCATGTTCTAGCCACCTGGAAAATGCCGGTCTCCCACCCTCACCGGCCACAAGCCTCAGAACTGCATTTTAAATGAGGAATCTTGTGAGGCTAAGAAAATGAAGTGTAAAGGCTCACGGGCTGAGATCGGGGCTAATACCACTGTTTGCCATGAAATCCGCTTGCCTCCTGAGCAGTGGGTCACCCTCAGGGAGCAAGAACTCTGTTCTTACTCTATCTGAAGGGGCCAGTCAAGATACTGTTCTCATTCTTATTTCCATGCTCCCTGGAAGGGACACTTTGGGTGTGTGTGGGAGGTGGTTCCGTGTGTCGTCATGATAGCAGATAAAATTCTGAAATTGAAAAATTCCACAGAACTGGCATGTGGAAGATGCTCAGGAAATATAGGTGCCTCCACGTCTTTGTTTCTTACACGTCTGCACTTTAATTTCAGATGAGGGCTCAGGCATGAGAACGCTTGGCTAAAAACAAAGTAAGCATGCCAGCCCCCCCCCCCAACACCCCCCGAAGTCTCAGGCACCTGAGAATGAACGGGAAGGGCAGGAGGTTAGCAGGGGCCACCTGCCAGGGCAACGAGCAAGAAGCTTCGCTCCCTCTGCCCTTTGGAGCTGAGACATCTGTTCATGAGAAACAACTCAGTGAAGAACCATGCAAGCTGCTTTATGAATCCTTTACTGCAAATCTTACTGTCAGAAATGTTGACACCAGCAATGTCATCGTGCCTTTGCAGGAGGCAGAGATGCTGGAATGTTTTGATGTGTTTTTTCCCTGAAATACCTCTTCCTCGGGAGCATTTGAACCTCCCATCACACAGACCTCATCTGCCTGCTCCTCACAGCTCCCGCTCCCCATCATCCTCACTGGGCTCCCACACTCGGCTCGGGGACCTCCTTCCACTTGTGTGGGATATAAAAGCAAAATCCAACATAACACTATGTCTTTGTAAAGTTTCCAGCAAGAAACACGTACTGTGAAACACATAACTTCAGTTTTAGCAGGTCCTCAGAGAAGTGCAGAAAACAAAGGCCTTTCCTGTGGAGCGCCCTCGCCCGCCCGCTCTGCACCCGGCATTCCCTCCCAGGGGGAGGCAGCTTTCCAGGCCTAGTCCCGGCTGCTCTGCTCCGGCCTTCGTCTCCTTCAGCCCAGGCCTGGAACCAGGACCGGGCAGCCTGTCTGCGCTGTCACTCCCCGCCTGAGCCCGCCCAGCGGCTGTCAGGTGGAATGTGGTGGTCAGCACTGCCTGCGTCTGGTCCCGGCGGCTCACCTTGGGCAGTAACGTAGCCTCGCTGGGCCCCACGGTGACTGCGAGGAAGAAAGGAAATGCCCCCTCTGGCTCCCAGATGGTGCCTTCTGGGCAAGGACCTCTCTCTGTCACTCTACCTTTTCCCTCCCCCTGCCGGAAGCGCAAGGTGATTTTTCTTGCACTTTCACTGTGAGAACCTGATTGAGCTCCTGGAGCACCGAAGGAAGGAACGACTGCTGTGTGTGAGCCGGCCACGTGTCCAGGAGCTGAGGGCGGCTGAGCCAACACGAGCAAGGAGTGAGACCCGTAGATCTCCCAGCAACAAGATGAGTTCCGCCAACAGCTGAGCGAGGCCACAAGTGGTTCCTCAGCGCTGGCGCCTCTGGACGAACACCAATTCCTGGCTCACACCTTGAGTGGAGCCTCACAGGAGGACCAGCTGAGCTGTGCTGGGACTCCCGACGCACAGAAACTGCCAAATAATAGATGTATGTTGTTAAAAAAAAGACCTGGCTCCAGCCCTCTGCATGTCCCTGAGGACATCGGAGTGCTGTCTCCACTCCGTCACTGTTCCAGTCAAGCAGGGCTGTGTGACTTTCCCTATACCTGCAGCTCTCCCTTGGGGTCTGCCCTCTGTGCCCATCCCACTGTTTTTTTTTGTTTGTTTGTTTGTTTTTCATGCTCTTTCCTAAGTGCAGCCCAGATTCTCCCCCCAGGAGCTTCCCTGGGAGGAAGGCCCTGATTTGCAGTGTTTGCTCATGAATGTTGTGCGACTGCTCCCATCACAGCTGATGTCAACCTACCAACATAAGATCTACCATCTCACAAAACTCCTGGAGATTTAACAGCCAGGTCTCAGGAGCCGTTCCCACACTCCACTTCTGCCCAGTTCCTGGGTACGCAGGCCTTGGCCCTGACACTTTAAGGTGCTCCTGTGAAGTCACAGGGATTGGACAAATTCTGGTACTAAAGCCAGCCCCCGACCCTGAATTCCTCTCCTTATGCCCTCATGGCTTGAATGGCTTGAAGGGGTGGGAGGGGTCACATGCTCCGGAATTTTAGTGCGGATGCCAGCCAGGGTGGGGTGAGGGTAACTGATGCAGCAGAGGGAGAGAGCGTGAGCAAGATGCACAGTGCTCCAGGGAGAAAGATGTGCTTTCCAGACTGAGCCAAGGCAGAGCCAGGTGCACAGGTGGGCAGCACCAGGACCCTGCCAGCACGCCCTCCACAGGTGGCATCTCTGGTTGAAAACAGTTACAGTTTGCTACTTCCCTGGTTATGTTGGGGCCAAAGGGGCTGGAGGGTTTTGCACTGGCTTAGGAGGTGTGTCTAAGAAGATTGACGCTTCCTCTTTATTTATTTTTTATCCTCACCTTTGTTCAGATAGAGTGGGAGGGAGAGAGAAGAGAGAGAGAGAAAGAGAGAGAGAAACATCGACATGAAAGGGACACATCGAGTGGCTGCCACTGGCACGACCAACCAGGGCCAGGGACAAACTGCAACCAAGGTACATGCCCTTAGCGGGAACCGAACCCGGGTCTCTCTACTGAGCCAAACCGGCCAGGGCTAAAAGTCATTCCCATGTTAATATAAAATCGATGGATTAAAAATTTTTGTCTGACCAGTTGCATCTTGATGAGAACTTTTTATTTCCTTCGGTCAAGTATATATCCACCTAGTTCTTAATTTAGATCAAGAACATAGTGTACTTTGGGAGAATTTCTGCCAAACGTAATCAAGTGTTTATTCTGCTGGTTCTTTGCTTCCAATTTTAGTAAATCCAGGTAGTAATCATCTCCCTTGCCCCTTATTTGTGGTGTTTCTAGTCCTTGAATACCACGATGAAGAACCTGTGCGAGATCCTGACCAGTGACCCGGAGGGGGGGCCTGCACGAATCCCCTTTCAGACTTTCTCCTACGTGTACCGTTACCTGTCCAAACTGGACTCGGATGTTCACACTGCAGACACGGAATCCTATCTGGCCTCTCTACAAGAGAAAGTGTGAGTATACGCGCTCCCGGGCATGCGGGCCTATTGATCATTCGAGAGCTTCCGCTTATCTCTCATACCGTGGTCGTGGCTAAACCTGCCGTGATAGGAAGAGGCGCCCGCACCGGCTTCTCCAGGTCGTGCCGAGGAAGCTATGGCAGGAAGCAGCTCTGTTCCCGCGGGATTCGGGGCAGTGTGGGCTTTACGTTTGGTTCTCTTCAGACTTAAGAGGGAGAACATTTATGCTGTCTTTAAGGAAAGTTTATCCAAATTTATCTTGATTCCTAAGTACAGTATGCCAAGTAGTTTGAAATCAGCATATTGAGCGTGGCCACTGTGGCTCAGTGGTTGAGCATCGACCTATGCACCAAGAGGTCGTTGGTTCGATTCCCGGTCAGGGCACATCCCCAGGTTGTGGGCCCAATCCCCAGTGGAGGGCATGCAGGAGGCAGCCAAGTAATGTTTCCCTCTCTCTCTTCCTCTCCTTTCTCTTTCTCTAAAATCAGTAAAGGGAAAAAAAGGCATAGCATGTTGAAAAGTAAGATAGAATTTCTTAACAATGAAACAGAAATGGATTACTGTAGGTGGAGGGTGTGATCAAGCTAATGGACACAGCTTCATTCTCTGCTCCTTAAACATTTATTGGGTGCCGACTGTGTGCCCCATAGTATGCTCTCTGGCAGGGGGTTGTGCAGAGGAAGAGCAGCTTAGAGGGGGCAGCTGGGGCAGTGGTGGCAAATCCCACTCCCACTCACCAGGGGCTTTGGCTCTGCAGAGGAGGCTCCCTGAGGGTGGTGATGATGTACCTCGTGAGCTTAAGCCCAGGAAGCCTAGTGATTACAGAGCAGGGGGCTGTGGGTGAGGCAGGATGGAGCCTGGCTCCCACAGGCTTCAGGCGGGCAGAGAGAGAGCGCCTGTGGTCTGAGGCACTCCAGTACCTCCTGCCCCCCCACCAAGTGCCTGTGTAAGGGGTGTCCCCAAGCCTCATACCTGCCATCTGGAGCTGTGTGTCCCCAGCACGTTTATGGAGAGCCCACTCTATGCCAGGGATGTAGTTCATGGACCAGATCGCCCTGGGCCCTGTGGAGCTGCAGGCCTGGGTACACCACACACACAGCACCCAGGCCGCAGGTGGGCTTGAGGGCAGTGAGGACGAGAGAGTCCAGGGATGGGACCTTGTCTGGGAAGGTACATCCCCCTTGAGCCCCTGAGAAGCCCTACCCAGCAGGCCCATCCTCGCTGCCCCGATGCTCGTCCCCTCCTACCCTCCCAAACCTTCCATCTGTGGAATTAGAGTGGGCCCTGGACCGCTCCTACCTGCCTTCCTGCCTGACAGAACCTTGGCTGCCCCACAGCCCTCCCTCCTTGTCTCTTCCAAGACATTTCCTCTCCTCCCTCCTTCAAAATCACATCCCCTCTGAGGCCCCTGGCCCCTGAGGATGCCTCCAGACTCCACAGCCCACTGTCTTTCTTCTGGTCTGTCATCCACCCACTCTGTAACCACTCCATTGTCGCTCTCGGTCACTCTCCACGTCACTCCGGACACTGTCAGGCCCTTGGGTGGCCCAGTACTCTGCCCTCTGGGATCTCCCTTTTGTCTCTTCTACCCCCAGGGCGCCAGCAGACACAGCCCAGCCTGTCCCCACTCTCCCCCAGCCCACCCTTTGCACAGTGACCACCAGAGGGGGACTGCATCGTCCTAACACCAGACCTGTCAGCCTCCCACATCTGACTTGGGGTCCATCCTCCTGCCTGCTTCCCTCCTCTCGAGTGCAGTGGGGCAGCCCCCACCCTGGCAGAGAGCTGCCCCCACTGTGCCTGACCTGGGACACCATCAGTTTCCTCCTTGCTCATGGCTGGGCTGGACAACCAGGAGCACTGGCTGAGCAGATGCCCCGGGGGTAGCATTGGCAGGATGTGCCCTGGGAACCTTGGGAAACCTCTGGAAGGTTAGAGCAGCCCCCCTCTGTTGCCTGAAGGACCCTGGCCTGGTGTGTTCATGCAAGCCACTGGACTTGACCTAAGGTAGAAGTCCACATAAAGTTCCGCTCAGTGATTTTCTTCCCTCACTTCATTAATGGTTCTTCCCCAGCTGAGGCCATGAGCTCCAGTGGGCCTCCATTCTCCTGCAGCTTGAGGAGGAGGGTAGCAAGTGGTCAGGTGACCGGCGTCTTTCTCCAGTGTCCCAGTCTTCTCTAAGTGGCCACCTGACAGACTGTCCCACAGTGTAATTCCCCTGGGCCTGCACAAGACGCCTTAGAAACTGCTAACTTGTGTCTTGTTTGCTTTTCACTGAGTCCTAAAGGCAGAGCTCATTTCCCCTACACTGAAGATCGACATGTTGTCGTTCAGGGTTTTTGCAGCACATCTACGAGGCTGACAGAAGTTTCCTCATGTTCACCATCTTTTAAGAAATAAAAATATCTATAAATAAAGAGAAAAGTCAAAAGATGCTGTTGTTAGTACCAAAATTTCATAGACTTAAGATAGTTCTTTGAATTTCACTGGACCAACTTTTTAAGTAGAAGGGTACTTTTTGTTAACTAATGACTAAAATTTGAGTTGTCAATAAAGAAAAATCTTTAAATATAGAAATAAATACCCATTTTTGTATGAAGAACAGAATGCTGTAATTTTTGAGGTAGGAATTACTGAGTAGAGACCATAAAGAATTCATCTTTAAGGTAAAACTTTAACATTGTATTACATTTAAATTATATTTTAATTAAATTATAGTAAATCATAGTGTTTCATAAAATATGTGTTGTGAGAAATGACTAACGTGTGTTTACCTATTTCTGTTTTAGAGACTCTAGAAAGAATGTCATGATAGGACTTTCGGATTTCTTCTTTCTAAAGAGGAAAATTTAAAAAACCTCGAGCAGAAAACTCGGAAGACATGCCATTAACACGGAGAAAAACACATTTTAATGTCAAAGGAGTGCTTTTTAAAGCCTTGGCACCAATTACAACTTGTCATTAACTACATGCATACGTTGCGTGACTTTTTCTGATCATAGAAATGGAGTGTGGCCATTGCGTCTGGGGGTCTATTTAATAGTCGCTCTTCACTGTGTTCTTGTAGGAACCATCAAGGTAAATCATTCCTGGTAGTAAAATGATTAATTCGAGTAAAACAGTATATTTGGAAACTCTAGAGTCGGGAGGGGGATGGGCAGTTTAAAACTGGCTGTCCTTTTTTTCCCCTATGGGAAGCTCTTGACCAGCAGACTGCAGATACTCTTTACTCCCTGCACTAAGACTGGAAGAGCATCTTCTCCGGGAAAGGCAGGGACTGCTCGCCGGAAGGGCAGCCATGGCTGCGCCTCAGACTGGACCAGCGATGTGGACCAGCACTTGGTCCCTTGTACGGGAGGAAGCATCCAAGTGCCTTTACTTGCCTTCCGTATGCACAGTCTTATGTACAACACAGGAGCCCGTAGGGAGCACTGAATATAAGGGAACAATACATTTGGGTAATTTCCCTGAGCTCAGGGATGGTTTGGCTTCTTGGCCGCTGCACATTGGCCACCATTGCCAGTCCAAGTCTCGTGAAAACCCAGTTAGGCGAAATGTTTTGCTGTTACCTAAAAGTGTTTCATTTCTTTGCACTGAGATGCGTAAAGTATATGTTCCATCTGGACACTAAACTCCCTTATTTGAGATCATTATTTACCTGGACTATTTGGTCACCTTCCTAGCAAATAGACAACATGTAGAAATTATGCATAAATGTACAAGTAAGTTTCAGAGTTTTTAAAAGCTTTTATAGTTTTTGCTTTGCTTTAAACTTTAAAACCTTGACAGCCCCAAAGAATTTAAATATTCTCCCGTGAGCTGCCTTGCCTGAATACATGGGGATCAGAAGAATGAAGTCTTCGACTTTGCCTCAGCGCAGCTGTGCGTCATAGAGTGAATAACACGTTGAGGGGAGATGCTGCGGGAAAGGGGCTGCCCAAGGAGCACAGGACACCAGGAGCGCAGACGTGCCGTCCACTTGCTGCAGACTCGACGGAAAGCGTGGAAGAGTTTTGTGTTTATTTAGGTCGGAGAATCAGCCCCCAGAAGAGCACACATGGCGTGGAGTACACAGGATGTTAAGATTCTTTGGCCTATCAGGAGACAGAACGGAGAATTTAATATAGTGAATTAACAGCTTCCCCTCAGATGGGACAGCGAAGGCACTGAGGACTTAGGAGAGCCTCCCGACCCCTAGGCTGGACCTGGCCTTCACAGTGCAGGTTGCCCTGCAGCCCTCAGAGGTCTGCTTGGCTCTCTTGGTGAACAAAAGGTGAAGCCAGAAGCGGAAAGGGATGTGTTCTGCCCCCTCTTCCTCCAATGCTAGACTGTTGGCCAAAGATGAACATAGAACCAGCTGGCAGGGAACTGTGAGGTATGAAGGCCACAAAGAAGCTTGTTTGAAAGTGCAAGTCCTCAGGGAATGTGTCCCAACGAACCCTTCCTTGCTGGGGAGTCTGCTAGAGGAAGAGAGCCAGGAAACCAAAAAGACGGGAGAGGTCAACGCAAGAGCTGGTAGGGAGCACTGCATATCATATACCTGTGCGACCAAGATCAGGTGATGTGCACACGGGATTGCTTGGTATACAATGGATGTGTGCTCTGACCATGTGGGCAAACAACATCTGTTGAAAACTTGGAGATTGGAAAGCCCATATGAAAAGAATCTGTTAAAACAATGTTTACATCAGATGTAGGGGAAATTTCATTATTGATCATAGTAAAGAATCAACATATAGTAGCCAAAAAAGAAGACTAAGGGTATCATATAAAGATACATATGGTAATCATTACAGCAAAAATACGAATCTTTCTAAATACCTAAACAGAAGCAGGGAGGTAAATAGAACAACAGATGGTTAAACCATAAAATAAAAAATGTTATCGTGTAGGAGGAGGGAGGTGTGGGATGGAAGAGGCGGAGCTTGATGCCAGACTTCTCCACACACACCTTTGTTTTGATTTGACTTTGGAATCCTGTAAATATTTTACATAAGTATAAAACAAAATCACATTTAAAATAAATAAGTGGAAAGTGGAAATAAAATGAAACCAGTGAACCTGTGTGTCCTGTTTGCGGTGTCGCTGTGGGAACGATTCCAAGTGACTTTGACGCACAGCAATTTGAATATTCCTGGTGGAATATTCAGGCCCCAAAAAAAGTTACAAAAAAATTTAAAAACCTCAAACTTCTTTCAGGAATCAGTATTGGTGGTAATAGAATAAATGAATTACTTTGGTGTCATTACCCAGGAGTTTTGGCATGAAAGAATGAGGAAATAAAGTAAATTAGATAAGGTTAAGTCAAAATCCTATAGTCCTGATTTATAACTGCGAGTATTTGTATCCAGTGATAGTCTCTGTCTACGGAAAAAGGCTAGAAACAGCCACCCATCCAGTCATTTTGGGAGCACATCTACTAGCCAGATTGTGGGCCCTAAATACCCTTCTCACAGGAAGGAGCCAGATTCCTTGACGCAGGACTGACTCAGGGTCTTGGGTAGGGAATGTGCCAGATGAGGCCCAGAACACTGCGTGACACTACAGTCAAGGTTAATGTCAAGAAGACTTGGGAGTCAAGTTGAATGAACTTCTCCTGGCTCTGCTCTTTGGGGATCCCTTTGACAGTCCTGGGTTACTCCATTTCCATCTCAAAATGTGCTCTTTAGAGTGGTCCATGAGGCTTTAATGGACTCTGCTTCTGGGAGGAAAATGTAATCACTTCCCAGGAGCCAAAGGCCTTTTCTTGTCTTGGTTCTTTTGGCAGAATTTGGGATGAGACTTACTTTCATTTGAATGATCTTTCAGGGAAGTTACAGGGGAGGAACATAGAGACCTCTCGTCCTCTTGTTAGTAGAGGCCACCCACATTTACCAGCAGAACCTCATCAAATTGCTGAGCAGGCACACAATGGCTTAGGACAAGAAAATAAATTCGATAGAATTTTACAAGACTGAGAATATATTAATATTGTTGTGGATAAAGTTGCTAATGTGACATCTGAATTCAAAAAGCATAAGTTGGAATACTATCTTATTCTATAAAAAAATCATACGGTGTTTTGGTAATGACAGAAAATGGAAGTAGGTAATGGATAAATACTGTGGTCCATGTAGACAATGGAATACTACTAAGCTCTAAAAAGATGAGTTATTAGCCAGGAAAGACATAGAGGAAACTTAAATGCATATTACTCAGTGGAAGAAGCCAATGTAAAAAGGCTATGTACTGTATGATTCCTACTACATAACTACATACCATTCTGCAAAAGGCAAACTATGGCAACAATAAAGCAGAGGGAGAATGGATGAATGAGTGGATCACAGAGGTTTTTGGGCAGTAAAAATACTCTGTATAATACTATAATAGTGGGTACATGTCATTATACAGTTGCCTAAAACTGGAGAACGAACGATACCAAGGTGACATCTAAGGTAAGGTATGCACTCTGGGTGATAGGATGTGTCAATGTAGGTTTGTCCATTATAACGTTCAGCACTCTGGTGGGGAGCATTGGCATCGGGAGGCTATGCATGTGTCTGTGGGGGTGTGTACAGAATGAAGAATGAATACATGCTAGTGTGAGGACGCCAGCCCGTAGGTGAACAGGTTCTGGTGTTTGACTGTCTCAAAAGGTGGATCTTCAGAGTGACTGTCATGGAACTGGAACTGGAATTCCCTTAAAAAATTGCAGTACCCAAAATCGTTCTTGTCTGATTTAAGGTCCGAAAGTTGGAACAAAAAGAACTTGACAGAAACACGTGAACTGGGCTTTGTTTAGCTGGTGCTTCCTGAACACAATGTGTCATCTCTGCATGTGGGGAGAGGGAGGGCAAATTCTATTTCTGAGGGTGAACACACATCTCAGTGGCCAGATCCAAGCTGGGTTTCCAGAACATTATTCAGAGTCGAGACTGATCAGCAGAGTTGGAGGTGAATGTCCACCCCAAACCTGTCCCCCTTAATGTTGGCCTCCTACCTGCCCAGTGAAGAGTGAAGAAGAAAGGCGGAGTCAGTAGAGCTGAGCTGACTTAAAATGGAGTCCGTATAACTGGTTCAGATCAAATGAGCTGAAGCATCAGGAAATGATTTTATTCTACTTTAGCCTAAGGACTTAAACATCTGAACTTTTGGTTGCGCAGCAATGCCTGGAGATGTATACAGTCTTGTCGATTAGCCTCTGAAGGGCTTAGGAAAGAGTGTTCAGGTGGCCAAACCACTTGACATCCCATTGTAGTTAGACCACCGGACATCCGGAAGATCAGTGTCTCAGATCATCTCAGAGGCTAAGTATGCGGGATGGATTCTTCTCAATAATGTGCTTTTTACTATAAGAACCCTCAGCTTTTTTTCTTCAGCCCACTCTGGGTGTTACCTGGTAGCATTCTTGATGTGCAAATCCTAAGACCCAGAATAAAACTGTCTTTTTTTTTTTGTCTATTGACATCCCTAGAAGAAGGATCCTGGAATTTTCTCTCCTGTGTGTTTTTGTCTCTTTTCTTCATGGTCCATGATGTCTGCTGAGGTGGTCAGTGCAACAAAACCAAACTGAAGGGATGGAAGCAAGCTGTTCTGCCATTTTTGTAGTTTTGAGTTGCACATCAAATCTGGGGCTGGTTATTCCTCATTTATTTAACCTGCCTGTAAGGTTCACAATTTTCCCAGCTTTGTGGTCATCAATAATTTCAGATTCACCAGTGAAACCACGCTTTATCATCACAGTTATAAACTGGACGATGACAATGAGAACCTGGCGTTTGCCCCTCATCAGCATTGTTGATAATCTCGGGAGCTTCAGACAGGACATTCATGTGCCCATTTTGGTGGCCTGAAAAGATGGCTGATAGAGAAACTCTGTCATTTTTGAGTTTAGCAAAGCCTAATTAGTTTATGCATGGTTGACACCAAGAAAGGATATGGAGGCAGCCCCTTAGGTCTGACCCTGCACTGAGATCTTTGTGCCCTGTCTCTGTGGGGTCTTCCTTGGGG